GGTAAATGGTAACAATCCCGTTAATAGCTATAAAGTAATTGAGTAATGGCTGCCTTGAGTGATCCAAATTATAAATTCATAAATAATTCTGTCCATTTCAGTCACTTTCACTCCTAAATCGTCGAGCAAATTTTGATGAATTTCGGCATGGAGATAAGAGGCAGCAAAAGGATATGAGTGACTATTTGTCAGAAAACTACATATAATTTAGCGGATGTGAAATACATCTTCACTGAGAGTGAACTGCATAATATATATCTTATTTATGTAGGAATAGTATTTTTTTTGATATTATAATCATTTGTAATAAAAAATACCCAGTAAACAGCTGGCTATCTTAGCTTTTAGCTGAAAACAGCGTGCGGTAAAATTTTATACTGGTCATAATTTTAATTTATTCACGATCGCACTCATAGACGTCAGTTAAATTTTAATGTATGCCAAATAAACGTAACAGTAAGGACAATCGTGTATCTGGCCACCTGATATATTCGCAAAATCCGTGGTAGTAACAAAAAATTTATTAAGAAGAATTGAACGCCTTGTCTTATTTTATTGCATCAAAAGCGACCTTTAACCAAACTTAATTGACGTCTCTGAGTTGAACCGTAAAATCACATGATTTTTTTTACACATCACAAACTCACAATCAATCGCTACAATAACACTTGAGCGCATAATTATTCAAAATACTTTGCGTATAAATAAACGCTCTACTTATGTCATAAATAACTTTAAAAAATTAAACTACCTTTCTAAATATTTGTAGAGACACACACGACTACAGAAAATTATCTAATTAAAAGTCATGAAAGAATAATTGAATTACAATAAAAGAACTGAAACGCTTAATATTCGCAATAATCACATTATTAAAGAAAATAGACTAAGAAAATTACAATCGAATTAGAATACTATTTCTTTGGAATTAGTCTTCTTCTGATGGATGTGCAATGAAATAAATAGCTCATCTGCTATTGATTCAAAAACATATCCATTATTCTGGCGCAGTCGGGTAAAAACACCAAAAATCATTTACCCTTAATCTCTTCATAGATTTACTCACCAAAAATATAGTTGGATCACCTCTACTCGTAAATATCATGCATTTATAAAAACAGCCGTACGATATACCATTTAAAAATTACATCTACACATAATAATCGTATCATTATTAAACCAGACCAAACCAAAAACGATATACACTTTCGGACACATTTATCGGCCACATTAATAATAATCATAATATTCTTTATTGTAATACACCATACCAGAGACACTAATAAATTAAAAACATGATAGACAGAACGTACACAATATAGGCGGCTATATTGCAACCCATAACAGAAAGTTAAATATTAACGAGAAAAGGAGGAGTGAAATAGAAAATAATAATAATATCAATGGCAAGAAAACAGATCTACAGCCAAAACCGAATATAAGGACATCGTTTATAACGACGTGTCGGTTATTACTACCAATAGGGTATTTGACAAGTTTTAGAAAACGATCTGACGTTATTGACTAATGTTTATGGAGTCCGTAAAAAGTGGATATTCATCATTCTGTTGTGTATTTCAGTAAAAATAACCAAATCAAAAACTCCCATTTTCAAGTTGCCGCGAAAACGTTTCTCTGAACAATATGGCGTCTTACTAGTGTGCGACATCACACGACTGTAATTAAAACGTCAAACGATACAATGTAATGTCACTATAACCGGAAGTTTACTTGCGTGTGACGTCATTTTAGGCTCGGCCACTCCCAAGCGTTATGGATCACGTGGCATTAGATAAGAAAACTATTATCTATTTCATTAGTTTTTTAGTCAAATTATGAATATTTTTATTGTAAAAATAGTAAAAACTCCTGCCAATATTCATTCTAAACACAGATGCTAACAATTGGCACTTTATATTTAACACTGTCAAATACCCTATTGGCAAGGTCTCGGCTAAAACCCTAACCGACTATAACAACACCGGATATAGCGTAACACCGTTTAAAACTATTTAAAGCCAATGAATATTGATAAAGTTCATATTGCTATTCAGCCGCAATGAAGACTAACCGTTTTACTTGTTACAGCAAAACAAAATATACTGAAGGTACTTAAATTTTTTCATAGTAAACTAATTACTTCTATTTTCGATATTTTATATGAAAACAAGCTTATATTCATTATCTATAACCATACTTCGTACATACATTATGATAATAATATGACTACTTTTGTATATTGCTTGTAACAACTATCGGATATAACGTCCGAAATTATATGGTCCCTTCAATGTGGTTATATCCGGTTTCGACTGTATCTATATATATAAAACTCAAAGGTGACCGACTGACACAGTGATCTATCAACGCACAGCCTAAACCACTGGACGGATCGGGCTGAAATTTGGCATGCAGGTAGATGTTATGACGTAGGCATCCGCTAAGAAAGGATTTTAATCAATTCTACCCCCAAGGGGATAAAATAGGGAATGAAAATTTGTATGAAACTTTGTCAATTTTAAACCGATCGGGCTGAGACTTTGCATGTAGGTATAAGAAGAATCATAGATGAATGTCATTGTGTATAATACAAGCCTGAGAGCAAAAACTGTAGTCTACACATCAGCTCTACACCGAAGCGAAGCGAGGGCGGGAAGCTAGTTTGTTATAACTTTCAACACTCTGTAGCAAAAATTGATTAAAATGAGATTGAGCAAAAATAATATATTTATTGAACACACGAAAACGATGGTTAATAAATAAGCTTCAAATCTGCGTACTGCCTTTTTGCTCAATGTAACATTTTTACAATCAATCAGTCAATCATTTATTTATTTGTTTGGTGCATAGGTACTACATGGATTTTATGCTAAAGTATAATATATAGTCCAACTATGTCCAGCCATCAAGCATACAAACATAAAATCAACAATTAAATTATACTACATTTAAAAAAAAACAATATCAATTAATTGACATTGTGGGTTACCTATAATGCGAAGAGATGGCGCTGCCTTGCAGCGCAGAATATGCGCAGAAATGCAGAATGGCTAGAGGAATTTCGACGCGGCCATCACGGCCGTAGTAGCTAGCACAATTGGTCAGTGCATTCGCCCGGATTGCGAAGGGTGCAGGTACGAGTCCCGTCTGCAGCCTGGTCCGCGTGGATATTTTTTTTCTCGTTACATTTTCTTTAGATTTAAACATCAAGCAGTTACATGCTTAAAATAAAAATTATAAATGTCAATTAAATTAAAATTCTAAATAAAGTGTCATCATAATATGAACTGTCATTTATCATAATTAAAGTTACTTCTCACTTATTAAAGTCCTGCCCATCAGATATGCATTTACTACATTAAAAAAGAAACAATTACAATGAAATTAAATTCAAAAGCCATCAAATTATTAAATGTCATTCATAGTAAATATATAAATTTAATTACTACACTTAATTAAGTCCTTTTCCATTAGATATTCATTTATACAGTATTTTTTTTTAATAGCATGACTCGAAGTCTTTTCTTTTTAATATTAATTTGATTACTGCTCCGGATTGTAAACGGAATTTTATTGTAAACCAGGGAAACGATTCCCATCAAACTTTTACGTTACATCAGGAATTGAACGCATATCATTTAAGCTAGGGACCGTCAAAACCATATAGGTCAAAACTTAAAATGCTAAGTGGCCCGATAGATGTTTCCGAAAATATATATCTATATATATAAAAATGTTATGTTGGTTTGTGTACGCTACAAAAACTCAAAAAGTTCTGCACCGATTGAGTTGAAATTTTAACATGATATAAAATCCGCATCAAGGATTGTTATTATCTCTTATTTTTTGCATCAGTCACATATCTGCGACCGCGAGAAAACAGTTTTTTAACGATCAGCTGTGTACCATAGACCACGCCATCTGCCAGAAGCGAGGAAAACACTCGCTGACAACCGCAATAGTAATGACGCAGTCACATGAGAAACAATTTCGTTCCCAATTACATTGTTTATTTACAAAAAAAAAATGTTATTGCAAAATTAAACTTATGTGAAATGTATTCTTTGTTTTGTTTCTCATTTCTCAACCATTCAATCACAATGTGCCACTGCGAAGCGTGGCAGGGTACAGCTAGTATATAGATATATATATTTTTGATTATTAAAACGCCTAGACAGAGGCTAAGAAAACGGCTGATATTACGCGTAATGTGTGCGTGACTCTAATGCCAGATTATACTAAAGCAGTCAATGTGTGTATGTGTAGAGACGAGCATATCTACCATATGTAGTAGATATTTTTTGTGCCGCTTCCGTGCTGTTAATACGGCACTTATCTAGGTTGTTACGTATATAATCAAAGCCTCCAACCTTAAGTTAATATAAAAATCACGGTTGCGTTTCTATTGTAATTTAGAATTATTTTATTGTCACAAGAATTTGATCTGAGTTTATATGTAAACAAGATTGATTTTACATTGCAATTGAATCAGTACATTCGCCTCAACTGAAATCGGACTCAAAATCGATATCACAAATGAAAATAACTAATCCACTTTAAATATTAAATTAAATGGTTCGTATAAGTAAGTCGCTAATTATACACATAGGTCAGATCACTTCGTAATAAATTACCAACTACACTCGGTGTCAAAAAAATCGCACCTCGGCGAAAATAACTTTCAAGCGTTGTGAAAGATCTTCTCGTGTGTCCTCTTCAACGGTTGGATAGCGAATAACCCCCATTGAACCGGTATTAGCTGTTTTATACCTACTAAAGGTAGCGCAACTAGTGGCCCTTTTGAGGAGCAAAATTGTCATTTTTTAAAGTCACACTTGTGGTATCAGCCCTTTTTTAAATGAAATGAAATGGTTTTTTAAGTTTTTTTAATGGGCTTTCAAATGACACTATTGTTGGGGGTGAATGCGTGTGTTAAAGGGTTATAGCAACACTTGAAAGTTATTTTCGCGGAGGTGCGATTTTTTTGACGCCGAGTGTATTTTTATTTTATTTTGAACACAAACATACTTTTTCACGTTTTAAAAACGTCATACAAAATTATTTATTACATTCAGTTTCAATAATTAAACTCAATTAGAGCATTGTTGCCTTCATGTTTAAATTCTTTTTTTAGATTTTAATAACAAGTGTTGCTAAGGAAACAGAACCAGATTATCCTAACTAAATGTTGATTATTAAAACTGGCCATTAGAAAAGGAACTGAAATTTTCACAGCATAATCTTTTGACAAACTACTTTAAAAACGATAAGAAGTCACAGTTGTATCATATGAAGAAGTCATCAAGTTTCAATGTTCTTTAGTCCTCTACTCCGTCTTGAACCAGTAGATCGCTTCGGTGTGTCTATTTCAGATTTTTCACTATTCACATTGCTATTGTTTTCCTGCAGAGTTTTCTTTTTCCTCGTGGATCTCTTCGGAGTCTTTTCCTGTGCACAGTTTTCTGAATCTTCCTTCGGTGTATTCATGCTTTTGCGACGGCTTCTGGTCATGACCGGACTCCAATCATCGGTGACTGCTTCTTGTCTGAACAGCTTACTTTTCCTTCGAGAGCTTTCTTTATTTTCCTTTTCTATGTCCATGCTTGAAACACCACTGTCTGCATTGTTGTCCGATTCAGGAAGTGTTTTGAAGCCAATGAAAGGTTCCTCTGCGGAATCAGAGTTTTCTTTGATGTCGTTGTCCGAGTCGTCGAAGAGAACCTTCTTTGAAGACTTCTTTTCGGAAATGCTGACGGATTTTAGAATGCTACGACCCGGTGTAGCATTCAAATTTATGGGAGTTTGCTGGAACATTACAATAATAAATGTTACTAAAGTACAAGCGGGAACAAATAGAAAATTTTGTAGATGCTTGTATGTTTATATAGTAAGAGTTGGTGAAGAAAAAAGTGTAGAAAATTTTACTCGAAAATATTCTACGCGGCCAGGCAGCAGACGGGACTCGAACCCGTACCCTCCACTAGCCGGATGGATACAATGACTACTTTAAAAAGTATTATATATTATCACTAGCTGTCCCAGCGAACTTTGTACCGCCATAAAAAAATAAGGGTTGGTGGTAGGAAGGTGAAAATTTAGGGTTGTATGTATTTTTGTATGATGTTTCATAAAAAAAAACGAAAATTTTGTACAAAAAAATGTAAGGATAGACAATCCTTAACATTTACTGGGATGAAAAATAGATTTTGTCCGATATTCAGACCTACTGAATATGAATATAAAGTTTCACAAAAATCGGTCGAGCCATTTCGGAGCAGTTAGTGCGTTCAACTACGCACACCGTGACACGAGAATAGGTGTGATGACGGGGTACAGTAAACAAAATTCTTTTTAGTCCGTTGTTAGAAATTAGATGATCAAAAAATAATGGACACGTATTTTTTCTTTTGGCCATCAACCAAAAAATGACAAAGTTATAGCGCATCAAAGTTTGGGAGTAGGGGCTCGTGACGTCACTTTTAAGTGAAAATTGTACCAAAATGTGACGTCACGCTACTTTTCAAATCAATATATCTCTGCAATGTTTATATTATGTGAAAAAAGAACGTGTGTATTCGTGTCCAATACTCTTTGATAATCTACCTGATAAACGAAGAAAAAAAATAGTCATCATCCCTATTTTTTTAAAGATTAGATTAATCAGGTCATCTACTCATGTTTGAAATTAATCTACGGTTGGTCGAGCCGTTCGCTAATAGCAATTTGCTCAGTTTAATCTGTGATCACGTGACCAAAAATCCGTCGCCTCTGCGATGCAAATACCATCAACCAACCAACAAATGGAGGAGCTCCATGGCGCAGGTGGCTAGCGCGTTCAACTGCGATCGTTGAAGTTAAGCAACTTTCGCAGTGGTTGGTCATTGGATGGGTGACCAAAAATTTACTATCTCGAGCTCCTCCGTGCTTCGGAAGGCACGTTAAGCCGTTAGTCCCGGCTGCATTTGCAGTCGTTAGCACCCACCAATCCGCACTGGGCCCGCGTGGTGGGTCATGACCCAATCTCCCTATTCCATCCATAGGGAAGGCCTGTGCCCCAGCAGTGGGGTCATTAATAGGCTGATGATGATGATGAGATTAATCAGGTCATCTGTCATGTTACAAATTAATCTACGGTTGGTCGAGCCGTTCGCTAATAGGAATTTGCTCAGTTTAATCTGTGATCACGTGACCAAAAATCCGTCGCCTCTGCGATGCAAATACCATCAACCAACCAACAAATTCTGTGCAAATAATGTATGTACAATAACCTAATTAAATGAGCCTTTGCTGTTTCCGTAATTACCAAACAATATCAACTATCGTGTTTGGATATGAATACTCACTGGCAATAACGCTATTCCGTCATGTTCCATGTTCTTACTCAACACGGACGCACGCAGCATCGCGAAAGATGTGCTCTGAAATAATAAACGATACTATAAATAAATATTTTCAACACTCACACCAATGAGGGCTACCGTTTTCTGCCTCACCAGATGGCGCCACTGTTGAGTGAGGTCCTAAATTGTAACTTTTAAAGTTTATTAATAAGCACATGAAATCAAAGGTTACATTTAGATCGTATTTTAACACAAAAGAACCATATCCTAAACATAATAGGCCATGCCACAGTGACGCGCAGTTCCGTTTTATTCGGAAAAAATGGGAACATAATCATTTTTCTAAGCTCAAATTTTTAATAACTGACATTCATTGCCACATAACTCATATTTGCCATAATTAAGCCGAATTGTTACCAATTATTCACAACATTATTTTAATTAGAAATAAACCCGCGTAGTCAACCAACAAGCAATAACATTTGACATTTCGGAGACCTCACGCTACACTAGCGCCTCTAGCGGCGGATTCATACGCGATAGCCCTCATTAGCCTAGCCCCAAAGTAAGCACTGTAAGGCTTGTGTTATGGGATGCTAGAGTAACGGATAGAATACATATACTGTACACATATAAGTATATTTATATAGAAATACATATTAAACGTCCATGACTGGAGTACAAATGGTCGTATTCATCACACAAACATCTGCCCCCACCGGGATTCGAACCCGGGACCTCTCGAGTCGGCGACGCCACGAAACCCGGCGTACAAACCACTCGGCCACGGAGGTCGTATAGAATTATTACTTTATGCAATTTTGTTTTGTTGTGCCTCTTAAAGTGTTAGTCCACACTTTATAAATTGAATATTTATTTATAAGTTTGATTAAACAAAGTCCACGATATTTATTTATAAGTTTGATTATACAAACGCACCCAAAGACGTCAATTAAATATCGAGCCGTTACCGCCAAATTATCGTAAGCGACACTCGCCAAATTATCGTTGCGACACTTTTGTCGAAATGCGTTTTTTGTGGAAACTAATATTTTAAACCGTAACGGACCCATCTCTGTTGATATTTCCCTCCAAAAGAACACCGTTATAATATAATAGAGGGAAGAATAGAGGGAAATATCAACAGAGATGGGTCCGTTACGGTTTAAAATATTAGTTTCCACAAAAAACGCATTTCGACAAAAGTGTCGCTTACGATAATTTGGCGGTAACGGCTCGATATTAAGCCTTATCCTTAGCTCGTCCTGAACAAACCTTTATGTTTACTTTATATGTAACCTATATGATAATAAACTATTTAATAACATAATAACCATTATATAATGTAAGATAAAACCCATTGTAGGTAACCCACAGTGTGAAAGGAATACATACAATATTATAGTAACATTTTTTAAGCATTTAACTGCTAGATGTTTAAATGTAAAGAAAATTTTACTATAAAAAACAAACAAAAACAATGCGAAGAGATGGCGCTTCCTTGCCGCCTAAGGCTAGAGAAAATTCGACACGACCATCAGGGCCGTGGTAGCATAATGGTCAGTGCAATGGTCGCCCGGATAGCGAATGGTGTGGGTTCGAGTCCCGTTCGCTGTCTAGGCCGCGTGAAATTTTTTCTAGTGAAATTTTCTTTAGATGATAAGGTTCGAAAAATCGAAAAATGTGCTAGGGGTACAGGTTCGAATTTTGTATCATAAACATCAGCTTTTGATGCCTCCTTATTAATGAACGAGGAATTAGCTTACGCTGCGTTTTGTTCATATCACTTAAGTGCCATTTGTAATTCAACTAACAGAGAAAAAACTTAAGGGTAATCCAAGCTTATTCTTCCTTTTTTCTTAATAAGCTGAAGTTGAACACAAATACTTATTTTTTAAGCATTTAACTGCTAGATGTTTAAATCTAAAGAAAAGTTTACTAGAAAAATCTCCACGCGGACCAGGCAGCGGACGGGACTCGCTAATAGTGCCGTGGTAGCATAATGGTCAGTGCATTCGCCCGGATAGCGAAGGATGCGGGTTCGAGTCCCGTCCGCTGACTGGTCCGCGTGGAGATTTTTCTAGTAAACTTTTCTTTAGATTTAAACATCTAGCAGTTAAATGCTTAAAAAATAAATAAATTCACAAATACTTATTGACGACCTCCGTGGCCGAGTGGTTTGTACGCCGGGTTTCATGGTGTCGCCGACTCGAGAGGTCCCGGGTTCGAATCCCGGTGGGGGCAGATGTTTGTGTGATGAATGCGAGCATTTGTACTCCAGTCATGGATGTTTAATATGTATTTCTGTATACTTATATATGTACAGTATATGTATTCTATCCGTTACCCTAGTATCCCATAACACAAGCCTTACAGTGCTTACTTTGGGGCTAGGCTAATTGGTGTGAGTGTTGGAAATATTTATTTATTATATTATTATTTATTTAATATTTTTTTTAAATTTACAGCAAACAATCAGCTTATAACTATGGCTCTCAATGAATGTTTTTTTTTTGTGGGCACCCAATGAATGATTTTTTTTTATATATATAGCCGGGTAGGCAAATAACACTACCCCACCTGATGTTAAGTGGTGATTAAGTCCAAACACGAAGATAGCTGGTACGGCAGTTGTAAACAAGATTACACAAACATGATACACACACATATATAAAAATACACATAATTAAAACTAAATCATTTTAAACAAAAAATAAAACCGACTTCAAAATCGAAAATGGAACTAAAAAGTAAAAAATACTTGACCCCGCCCGACTTCCAAATCATGATCCAGATATTATTTTTTAATTTTTAGTTCCATTTTCGATTTTGAAGTCGGTTTTATTTTTTGTTTGTTTTTTTTTATTTCATCCATTTTAGTGAAAATTACATCGTCCAAGTAAACAATAACACAATTGACGGAGAAATCGGTGAACATGCATAAAAACATAGTGCGTGCCTTTGAAATTTGGATGTTTCCCTCGATTTTCCCGGATTCCACCATCAGATCCTGACTTGGTTCCAATGGGACCACCGCGGAAATGCGCTCTTTTAGAATAAAAATAGAATTTTGGAAATCGGTCCACAATTGACGGAGACATCGGTGAAAATACATAAAAAACATAGTGCGTGCCTTTGAAATTTGAAGGTTTCTCTCAATTTCCCCGGATTCCACCAACAGATCCTCACTTGGTTCCAAAGGAACCACCGCGGAAATGCACTCTATCGAATAAAAAAAGAATTTTGAAAATCGGTCCACAATTGACGGAGAAATCGATGAACATACATAAAAAAAAAATAAAAAAAAATACAGTCGAAAACAGAGCCTCCTCCTTTTTTGAAGTCGGTTAAAAATACCTTAGAAGCAGATTTCTTCGCCTCGCTGGATAGCACTGCCTTCAACAACGTTGGTTTAGCGGGCGTTACGCGCGGCGACGGCGCCGGGCATCGAACCGGCGACTGCACGCTGAAGAACCCCGCCTCGAATGTCTTACTTTCCGTACTAGGTCGTACGGGTGTGAGCGACGTGGTAGATACCGAGGTGTCGGCTTCCATTTTAGCTTTTCTTGCAGCTAAATAGCATAAATAATTTTTAAGTCAAAACCAATCCTACTAATATTTTTAACGTCTAAGTATATTAGTTAAATAAAACTAGTTTTAACGGGTTAATGCACGAAACTTTATTTATTCATTGACGTTTCGCAGCCAAGATTTTTTATTTAATTTTGTCGGGCTACCTTCGAAAGACTTTTATTGAGCGTTCGGTTATTTCATTAGAAGATTTTTAAAATTTTATTACATAGATATGTATGAATTTATTAGTGAATTTAGTTAATAAAGTACTTTATTTAAAATTATTTTTTTGTAATTTTGAGTTTATTTATTTGACCCTTATTACCGTAAATCAGTATTCTGACGATGCAGACCTGAAAAGGCTGCGAAACGTCAATAAATAAATAATGTTTCGTGTATTAAACCGTTACAACTAATTTTATTTAATGAGTGATGTGCGTGAAAACTTAAGAAACAAATTGTATATTAGTTACTCAATCACGTAAGAACGGCTCAATGGATTTCGATTAAATTCAAACACTTTGCTTGCCATTAAACAGGGTGTGGGTACATTGAAATATTGATGTTGTCAAAAAAATAAACGTTACTTTAAGCCTATTAAGATATCACACTAATATTATAAAGGCGAAAGTTTGTGAGTGTGTGAGTGCGTATGTTTGTTACTCCTTTACGTCTAAACGGCTGGAGCGATTTTAATAACATTTGGTATGGAGTTAGCTGACACCCTGGATTAACAAATAGGCTACTTTTTACTGCGGGAAAATATCCCTAACAAACCGCGGGTAACACCGCGGGGCACATCTAGTAAGAAATAAATACAGAATTTGTGAGTTTGAGTGTTAAATGAATAAATGGGGTGCATATGAAAAAATATATTAAGAAATGTTGTAATAAAATCTCACCAGCGATCATTTCACGCAAGCGGCTAGGCCCAGCGGTGGGCTTATTCGGTTTCTTATTAACGTTGGCCTTGTTGACCACTTTCTTCTTCACTTCAACCGGTTTGTCCTCAACCCAACCACGACTCTTGAGCTCTTCCAGTTTCTTGAAGCGCATGTCTATGTTTTCCACCTATTTAATTTGAAAAAAAAAAAACGGGTAATGCACGAACTTTATTTATTTATTGACTTTTCGCAGCCTTTTGAGGTCTGCATCGTCAGAATAATATTTTTTTATTTACTTTGTCGAGGTACCTTCGAAAAAAAAATAAAAAAACATTATTCTGACAATGCAGACCTAACAAGGATGCGAAACGTCAATAAATAAATAAAGTTCGTGCATTAACCCGTTAAAACTAGTTTTATTTAATGAGTGATGTGCGTTAAAACCTAAGAAATAAATATATTTTTTCTAATCCAAAAAAGTTTTAAAAGACATTTTCATCTTTAAAAAAAATATAATAATAAATTATTTATATCAAAACTAGCTGACCCGGCGAACTTCGTACCGCCCAAAACTAATAATATGCAATAAAATAATATTGCGATTATAAATTGAGATATGAGCTATCCTATTTTTCAAGTTGGATCAAACTGCACATAGTGTGCAAATTTGATTAAAATATGTTAAATAGTTTAAGAGATATTACTAGCTGTGTAATACATAAATAAATAATAGGGGTTGGTGTTAGAAGGGTGAAAATTTAGGGTTGTGTTTTTTTCGTATGATGTATCATAAAAAAATAAACACAAAAAAATTAGTCCAAAAAAAAATTTTAAGTGTGGAGCCTAGATTCATAAACATTTATCTCACAGACCGCAAAAATACGTAATCGCTTATAACTTTTAGAGTGAAAGAGATAGAAAATTTAACTCCTCAGTACCTTCCTAGTTCATTAATAAATTACTTTTGCGCCAGCCACATGCCAGGGCGCACATGTCCTAAAGGAGTTATAGTAATTAGGTTGTCCGACAGACGAATGTTTATGAATAGTGTTACTATTGTAGATTGGATCTGATTAAATTATTTGTTGTTACTTTTTGGCACACTAAATATTAATTTATATGTTACTAGCTGACCCAGCGAACTTCGTACCGCCATAAAAATAGGGGCAGGTGGTAGAAGAGAAAATTTAGGGTTGTATGTATTTTTTCATACCACTTAATAAAAAAAATTATATTGTCCAAAAAAAATTTTAGGAGTGTGTAACGTAGTGTTCTATCAATTTCTAACATTCCTCCTCACCCATATGAGAACACTACGTTACAATACCCAATAGTTTGAATTTTGGCGCGAAGACGCATTGTAGGTTTCAGAACACAACGTTGCAGGTGGACAACCATTATCACTTAAGGATATGAAAAATAGATAGTAGCCGATTCTCAGACCCACGGAATGTGCCGTATATATCGGTCAGGCCGTTTCGGAGGAGTATGGTAACTAACATTGTGACACGAGAAGTTTCAATAAGATATTTTTCGATAATACTATAAATAATAATAAAAAATCCATGTCCCGACAATCGTATACAAAAAAGATGTATCGACGAAACTATGTGATGCTTGGTTGGGTCGACGCCATGAAATGGCAACTTTGAAGCGATGCCTAAAAAGGAAAATTGCAGAAGTACATGGCGAAACTTCGTGCACTACTCAACCATAACCCAGTAGATCACAGAAAAAAAATGTGCTTTCTGCGATTATAAAAAACGTCAAATGACAAGGTTCTGTTGTACCCAATGCAAAAAATTCATGTGAATGGATCACCAATGAACAGTATGTGTTGATTGCTCAGAATAACTTTTTTTGTAATTTTTATTTCATTTTATTATTAATTAGTAAACAACTTATAAAATTCAAATGTATTTAATCGATTTTTTTATTGTAAAAATCTAAAATCATCGAAATAATATGTACGTCTGAGAGGCGAATGTTTATGAATAATAGTGTATCTCCCAAGTATGTTTATGAATCTAGGGTTAACATTTAGGGGGATAAAAAATAGTGGTCCGATTCTCAGACCTACTGAATGTGCATATAAAATTTCACGAAAATCGGCCGAGCCGTTTCGGAGTAGTTCAATTACGCACACAGTGACACGAGAATTTTATATATTAGATTAAGATTACATAAAAGAATGTAAAATATGTTAAGCGATGGAAGGTATGTTACGTATGATGTATGTATGTATGGAGCGAATACACTTGGTACTTAGCCCAATTACGAGTGCCAATGGAATTCGGGTAAACGACTTTGTGTAAATGATACGTTCATTTACACAAAGTCGTTTACGGTACTATTATCTATACAGTATTGAGACTCGGTCATGTCCTTGAAATAACTGCCTACGGCCGAGCGGGGCGTAGACACGCAGTAGGGCTGCCCGCCTACAGTATTTTAATTTCTTCTACATAATTGAGTTTCTTTCTAGTTTTGTGATAGTAAATATTTTATTTCATATGTAAAAAAAAATGTTGTGAATGAATTAGGAAGAGTTACAGAAAATACATGTTATTTTAAGTGTAATATTTAATAAAAAAAAATATAGATTTGAGACAAAAAAATATTTACGCCTCGACTGAGACGTACGACAAGCTTTATTATTAAACTTAATAGTATAATAAATACGCATTCGTATAAAAAGTTTAATTATTGAAGAGTTCAAGCAACCAAAAACAGCACAATATCGACTATTGCTCTTTGACATATTAAATTATGTAGGTATCTACTTGATACAAACATTTCAGCACGGCTAACTGCTTAAAAAACAATTCATACCGTTCGGTCGTCGCTGCGGCGCATTCGCGACTGGATGCCCACGTATGACACGCTTACAGAATACTGTATAGATAATATTACCGTGACGGACTTGAGTACGCCCGTAATCGGATAGTTTTCAATTTGGTTACCCGTCACTGTCTTCCAGATTGTATTCCATTGTAAATATTACTTCGGGTGCCCGAATTAGAGTAGTCTTTATTGAACCCGAATACGGGTATACGACCAAGTGTTATTGAACCATAATATTTGTTTTTTTTTTTTTTTTATAGTTAGGTCCGACAAATGACTCCACCCCACCTGATGTTAAGTGAAGGTGAAGTCCAGACGCGAAGATAGCTGATACAACAGTTCTACCTGCCACACCAGCCATCCTCACCCTGCCGGCCTGCATGTTGCTTCTTCACGCCTCTTTTAAAGGATCCCAGGTTGTAAGAGGGAGGGAACACGTGAGCGGGCAGAGCATTCCATTTACGGATAGTGCGACAAAGAAATGAGTCACCAAATTTCTTTGTACGCGTTGGAATTGTGGCCACAGTAAAACGGTGACAACGTAGGCCAGCGCGCGTGGTCCTCTGAAGGAAAGGGGAAGGTGGGATAAGAGAGAATAACTCCTCAGAACACTCGCCGTGGTACAAACGATAGAACGCGCTTAGTGACGCCACGTCACGGCGTAATTGAAGAGGCTCAAGGTGTTTAGTCACCTCCTCATCGCCTATGATGCGGATCGCGCGTCGCTGTAACCTATCCAAAGCATCGAGCAAGTACTTGGCGGAGCCATCCCAGAGGTGCGAGCAATATTCCACGCAGGACCGCACTTGCGTTTTGTACAACAAGCACAGTTGATCGGGCGTGAAAAAACGCCGCACCTTGTTCAGGACTCCGAGTTTGCGTGAAGCTGTTTTGATCACGGTTTCGATGTAGTCCTTTGGATTCAGGTCTGAGCGAACTTCCATACCGAGCATGGAAATGTTGCTCTGCAGCGGTAGTGTTGTGCCCTGAAGAGATGGAAGGGGAAGGAATGGCGATGTTTTTGCCGTGAAAGCGCAAGCCTGAGTTTTCTTGTTTACCACCCAATGACATAAAAAGAGATCATTCAAGGGTATGATAAATAATCAAGTTAAAATATTGCCGCAAAAACGTTTCTCGGGACATTATGGCGTCTAGTATGGGACGTCACACAAAAGTAAAACGAAACAATGTAATGCCACATTGGCCGGAAGTATACTGACGCGTGACGTCATTTAGTCTTGGCCACTCCCAGGCGTTTTCGCTCACGTGACCATGGAGCATAAAAATCATTTCTATTTAACAATTTAAAAAATATATATATAATACAGATGCCAACAATTTGTACATTACTTTTCATACTGTCAAGTAGCCTATTACCATAGAGGTATACGAATAGAGTAGGGGAGATATAGACTCTACTACAAGTGGAAGTGTCCCTCTAATAGAAGGAAAAAGAAGATGAGAGACCGCTAGTTTTTCTCTCTAATCGCGCATGCGCATTGGTAACCGTAAGCATCTTACTATTTCGATGTGATGCCATTGAATGTCATGCGTCACAAGAGAGAGATAGCTAGCCATCTCTCATCTTCTTTCTCCTTCTACTAGACGGACACTTTTAGAGCCGCCTTCCCCACTCTATTCTTATACCTTTGACGACCTCTGTGGCCGAGTGGTTTGTCGTGCGGCACACACATGATACCCGGCGTGGGTGAGGCTTCGAATCCCGGTGGGGGCAGATGTTTGAGTGATGAATACGAGCATTTGTACTCCAGTCATGGATGTTTAATATGCATTTGTATATAAATATACTTATATATGTACTGTATATGTATTCTATCCGTTACCCGAGTATCCCATAACACAAGCCTTACAGTGCTTACTTTGGGGCTAGGCTAATTGGTGTAAGTGTTGGAAATATTTATTTATTTAATTATACCTCTATGCCTATTACCTGCATGAACACCATGTCCCAGAACCCGGCCAGGTCTGCAGGTGTCACAAGCGCTTGGCTGGAGTCGGGGCGAGCACATCTCTCCACCAACGATCCGAATTGTGCTAACTTCTGTGTCATCAGCAAACGAGCCTGCCCTACTGCACTCAGCACCAATTCCTATTAATACATCCAATACTAATATTAGGTATAGATATGATAGTGCGTCTGTCTGTTGTCTCTTCACAATTCCACTGAACCTATTTATATGAAATTTGATAATTTAAAAATAACATACAATTGCAGTCGGCCTCTCATCTTTTTTTTATTTAATCTTAGAAGTGATATTTTATTCACAGCTTCAAGGGCCCATAGACTTTCGTATATGGTTTAAGTTTCAACTCGATACCTTTACTCATTCCCTAGATAAAGGAATTTGACAGACGGACAACAAAATGATCCTATAAGTATAAGGGTTCGGTTATTTCCTTTTGAGGAATGGAACCCTAAAAATATAAAAAAAACGGGCACATTCCCTTCTAAATTTAAATATGTCAAATTCACAGCATCAATAATAATCAAATTTATAAATTAAGAAATGCTTCTGTATTCTACTATAATTTAAAATCTTCTACAAGATCTAAACAGGTATGACAAGTATTTTTTAATACCTGAATGGAATCTGATAGACAAGTCTGCTCCTGTATCTTCTCCCATATTTCACACATTTCAGTCATTCTCTTGATCTCAGAGTTCAGTTGTCGTCTGAAATGGTTGACACTGTCCATGTCACTGGTGTCTTCATCTAACAAACCTAAAACATACACAAATGACCTATGCATTTTAAATAAGCCATCATAACTTTTTTAGTCTTAGTGTTATGTTTTTTTCTCCAGTTTATCTCCACAGTTAAAAAAATGTCCTTAACTAGTGGTAGGGAAAAATATAGGTTCAAAAGAGTTGTATTGTGCATCTAATTTTGAATAAATAATTTTTGACTATGACTACTCATTTGTTGTCTCTACCTTGCCTATTTTTTAACTATTTTTTTTAACAGAATTATCAAATTATCATCCACATATGTACTACATAATAATCAAACAATATCAGTACCATTGGTAAAATCAAGTGAAGTAGTGTAATTTACTATACTTTATACAACTTTCTCCAAGACAAAAGGTAGAAAACCATAAAAAGACAAGAAGACAAATTTTAAATGCATATAAAATTACAACTGAAAAAAGGTGACACTAAGGCCCGTATTACAGAAGGACAACTAAGTGTTGATCTTTACTTGGGTACAGTTAGAAAGGGATGTCGCTATGTGCTATATATAGCGACATCCCTTTCTAACTATGCTCAAGACTAGATCAATCACTGAGAATCTCTTATCTATTGGACAAGTCCGTCCGTCTGTCTGTGATAGATAAAGAGAATATTTAAGTTATAAGTTAAGAATAGTCTGATAAGACTACAAACCGGATTTGAGTAATGTAGCACTTCCGGTTTTCGAGAAATCACGTGATTTCTATATCTTGGAAATGATAAGAGATAGATAATACATACATTTTTTAAATCAGGTTTTGGTGAACATTTGGTTCACTGGTTTGCTAGTCTTTCTACAATACGGGCCTAAAAAGACCAAAGCTGTAGCTATTCCCAAACTTTGAATGTATTATAGTACTACTAAATTGATATCACTTAGTAGTGATAAAGTACGTAATTTACATTGAAATGTGTTTTTTTTGTTATCAGACTGGTTACACTGACCATATTTACTCTTGATAAAAATGTTTTAGAAACATTGGTTTACTTCTTTACCTTTTGTCACAGAGGAAATTGAATAGAGTATAAGCCTTTTATAAAAGTAATCTTCATTTAACTTTCAAAACAATACACTTTTATAAACCATATCAAAATATTTCAATAAGTGTACTAAATAATTTTAATAAACCTACTCCATAGATTTCCAAGCGATACAAAATAAAGAGAATATTACTTTATTTATAAGATTAAAAACCTTGAATTTGCTGTTGCATACAACAGCAATTTTAAGGTTTTTTTAGCTGAAAGAATAGCTAAAAACAGTCATACAGTCATAAATTGTACAATCAAATACTTCATACCTTCATCAATTTTTTTCTTCATTTCTTTTCTTGCATTATCCTTTCCTCTGGACATGGTCACACAAGGACTTAGCTTCTTTGCTTCATCAACAATCTGTTCAGGTGTCATTGGTATCTCTACAGGTGACTTGGGAGACCTCAACTTCTCTTCAGAACTTGACTCACTTTTAGGAATAGGACTTCTGGGAGACAGTACCTTTGTTATCCTAGGATTCCTACCTTTGGGTTTATTTTCTAAATCTTTAGCAGTAGTTCTTGTGATTCGTATAACTGGCTGTACAGTGTTATTACTTACTGTCTTTGATCGAGTCGACTTTGTGTTTTGTTTTAGTGTATTCGGTAAAACTGGGTCAAACTTATAAACAATGTTATCTTTTTTCTTTGTTGGTGGGGCCAATTTTGGTAGTACCGTCAGATTTTTTATTTGCGGTGCTTGAAACGATGCATGTTTTGGGGCAAAGGACTTTGTCATTTTTACCAGTTTTGGTTCAGCTTTTTGTTTTATGGCTGCTTTGTTTGATTGTGATCTTGTAACCCTGCCTGATGTGCTTGGCAAAGGTTTTGGGGGTGGTGGGGGTGGCACAACCTTCGAAGGTGGCAATCCTACCAAAAACGGTTTCTTTTTTTGTGTTGCTGCCTCTCTCTTCTTTTTCTCTTTCTCCTCCTTCCATTTTTCCAATTGTAGCCTTCGATGTTCCTCTTTAGATTTCTTGTCTGACACACGAGCCGGACTACCAACAACATTTGTCAAATTCCTTAAGTTGTCAAAGACAGTCAAACGACTGCTTTTTCTGTTTTTTATGTTAGTTTCCAGACGTTTCTGGACCTGAAAATCAAAGTTACACAGTGAACAAGAGTGTTCCTAGGAGTGATGGTAAGTAATTTAAACATTAATGGGCTAAACTGTACTTCCAGGGCCCAAGTGGTGATACTTCACACTAGGTTAGGTTAGTGTTGTGACCATAACGCGCAAGCCAAGCAAGCGAAGCGAGCGTGCCGCGGCAGCGACCGACGAAAAAAATATTTTTTTGAAAGAGACCTTTTCTACAAAATGGTTCGAGTATCACCTCTTGGGTTGGTTCGAGTATCACCTCACTCGCAAGTAGAGTTTTACCCATTTATGATACAATCATTAATAATACATGAATTAAGTAAGATTAAACGGCTATAACTTTTATGTTTTAGTGGACAGTACTCACCCCACCAGCAACGCTCACGAATTGCATGGGTTTAGATTTGTGCTTCTTGTGGTTCTTCAATAAGCGGCTTAAGTCGAAGCTCTTGTCTGGAATATCATGAAAAACATTCTTTTCTTTAGGTCACATAATACAAATTCATTCAACTGATATTAATACAAAGCCAAAGTTACATATAAAAATAATGTTTGTAGATACTCTAAACTTAGGACTTCTACTGAACCCATTAGATTTTTATTGATAAATAAAACCAGAACTTATCAGCATAAATATAAAACTTACCCATAGCACCTGAAAAAGAAAAACGCACAACAAATAAAGCTTAAATTTTCAAACAGACTTGTAGTGCAAACAACTGTTACAAAAACGCCATTTCAAATTTCCAAATGTCAATGTCATTTCACCAATCACTCCGGGTGTATTCCGAAATATACACCAGTATACTGGCCAGTGGTAACGACGTCACGAATCCGACGCCATTTGTACTGGTATGCTACCATATTTTTACCGGAAAAACGAATATGACATATGACCGAGCGTGCGTGAGATGCATCGGAATTTTTTTGGAGTTTACTCCTTAAGAATCGATTTGCAATGTGAGGAGTAAAATCTATCGATGAATGACCTCATTACGTTTTTGATGCGCATCCTATGTCGCGCAACTTTGACAAACAAAGATGACGGATTGACATTAATAACCATAAACCACTTGTCACTGTAATTCATAATGCAGACAATGAGCGTTTTCCATTTAGAAAAAAAAGTCGACACTGTGTTGCACTGTGTCGACGATACTATAGCAAAAACCTAATGCCAACTAAAGCTTGGTAACTTCAATACTTTTCATTGGTAACACTGTTACCAAAATTACATTGCTAACACTGTTACTTTTCATTGGTAACACATTACATTGCTAACACTGTTACTTTTCATTGGTAACACTGTTACCAATGGAAAGTATTGAAGTTACCAAGCTTTAGTTGGCATTAGGTTTTTGCTATAGTATCGTCGACACAGTGCAACACAGTGTCGACTTTTTTTTCTAAATGGAAAACGCTCAATGTTGATTTAATTAATGTTTAAAAAAATGATAATAGTCTGATAATAATAATTACATAATTTATCAACATTCCTAATGATATATTTATGCACATCTGAAATTGACTGTTGTAAAAAGTTTAATGTAAAATATTTCGTCGATTAGTTATAATAAATATATATGAAATGAATAAATATATATTTATGTATGTATATTATTTTCATTAATTTTTAATTTACCCTTTCATACAGTATCAATCTTTTTGAAGTTAAATAAAATCTTTTTGCGTCTACTTAGACTATCGAACTTAAGGAGTAAACTCCAGTCGTGCGTCGGAGCTGACACACACAATTTTTTTTTCTTTTTTATTTAAAGAACAGTAATGGCATCCGAACGAAAAGATTCCTTTTAATTGATAAGGTGAATAAAAAATCTTCTTTATTCGCACTATTTTCATATTTCGTCGATTTATGAAGTCAGTGCACGGGCCAATATATTTCGGAACAATTCACCAGTAAAACGTCGATTCATGACGTCATTAGCACTGGCCAGTATACTAGTATGTATTACGGAATACACCCTCTGACTGGGGCTGCAGTCCATGTCTACACTAGTCGGTACAACTTTTCCACAAACGGCATTTGGTACGACCTTTTGGCACGATGTGGGCGTGTCTGTCATGCTGGCGTACCCCACATATAAATATACGAAAAATAGTACGTAATAGTGCCTAATTATTTCTTAATAAAAAAAATATATCTTCCTCTTTAGTTCAGGGAAATAATAGTGTTCATTCTGGCATTATTCTCTAAACCTAGACGTAAATTTGACAACAGTGTATGCTTGTCATTCTCTATACACAATTAAAAGGGGGAGACTGATGTTAAATTTAGTTTTAAGTTTAGAGAATCATGCCAGAATCGACACCAATAACTGTTTTAAATTTATAATTAGCAAACGCGAATAGCCAAATGAAGTGTCGGTAGAGTATCTTTATCGTGTTTGAGCACACAAAAACGGTTGATTCAAATATCGTTCAATCTTTTAATGTCCCATCCCTGACTTTTGTGATTGTGTTCGCTCGAACAATTGTTATATGAAAAATAAATTGTTACAAAAGTTACATGAAAAATATTGGCGTATGTGCATATTTTTGTTTGTGTGGCGTGATATTTGAAGTGTGCTTTAATAGCAATAACACGCTCGTGTTAGTGCAAGTATTGCATATTTTCGTTATTGTTCTATACGTGTGTACTTCGCCTGCCACTAAAAGTGGCGGAAAATTTTGTTTGGCGAGTGAACGGTATTGCATTTCCATTGATATATCCTCTAAGTGGTTTGATCGTAATGTGTCGGAGTAGCAAAGTAATGATGAATGAAATTAGACATGGACGAAGGATTTCGCTAATAAAGTTGTTTTTTACTGGCAATACCTTTAACTACTTCCGGTTGTCAGCTGATAAACTCATTGCTTTCCAAAAAGCTATTTCGATTTTCGCTAAGAAAGAAAACGTCAGGCACCATTCAACATGGGCTTGAAATACGCGATCAAAAGCTAGTTATAGCTGAAATATTGCTCTTATTGTAGTGTTATTGTTATTATAGTTTCATTTTACATGTACGTTGTGTAACTTATTAGTCGAAAATGGATACGTTTATCATAGGCCTCGGTTATGGCGTTTGTTGATCACTAAAAAATTTCGTTCGGTTCATAGTTTTCTTTATATTTGATGTCAGTTTTTAGTTTGTGATCGTCTGTTTCGTTCGTGTTTACGTGTTTTCTTAAAATGGTGAAGGAGAAGCCTAATTCTATTCGGATTTACGACGACGAGGGTTTTAGACGCCGTGCGGCATGTATATGCGTACGGTCTGACGCCGAAACAGAGGTTAGTAGCTGGAATTGCCTTTCTTTTACATGCAAATGTATGAGGGAGTTATTTGAAGGATTGTGACGGTTACCAGGTCCTCCTGGTGACGTCGTCACGGCGTCCGGACAACTGGATCGTGCCTGGTGGAGGAGTGGAGCCGGAGGAAGAGCCCTCTGTGACTGCTATGCGAGAGGTGCTCGAGGAGGCCGGAGTCATCGGCAAGCTGGGCCGGTGCCTCGGAGTGTTTGAGGTAATAAACACACCTTTAGACTTTACCTATGTTGATTTTCAACCAAGCAACTATTTCATAATATATACCAGTTTAATATATAACACAATACAAAGACAGTGTTTAACCTATTTGTATTTAGCATAAAACATTTTGAATTTTTTCATTTTACTAGTTTGTTTCATCATCATATCAGCTGTATTTTGCATACTGCTGTGAGTGGCTCAACAAGGATCTCCAAAGTGAATGAATAATTTAAACCAGACATGTTCTTAGTGTTTATTCCAACTTTTAAATGCAATATTCAAGTTTAGATTTTAAACTTCTAAATGTGTGAATGAATAATGTTTTTTTTAATATTTTTGTTATCTCTCATGGCCCTCGGCAAGCAGGAACCTATATCTCCCTATAAACGGGGTTTGATATTACAAGTTAAATTGAATGAATTTGGTAACCTTTACTATAATTCATATTCTAAAAGCCTGAATTGAGCCATTATAACTAAACTACCTAGATTATAGCAGTTTATATTAACTTTGGTTAAACTTGCTATTGTGATTATTTACATAACTTAAAACTGTCGAAGTTGTTAAACCCACAACTTTTGTGTTAGACCAGGGGAAAACGGAAGATTTTATACATTTAATTAAATAAAGTACAAACAGGAAGGACGCAATTTAATCACTATAACATAAATTAAAAAAGTAAATAAGGCTGCCTGTAACTATATAACCATAACATCATTTTATTTGCTTAACAAAAATTAGGTGTAAACTATGAAAAACATATTTCTATATTTCATACAACATATTTTATATTTAATAATTTAAGCTATTTGTTTTCTTAGGTTTTCACGCACGTCACTCATTAAATAAAACTAGTTTTAACGGGTTAATGCACGAAACTTTATTTATTTATTGTCGTTTAGCAGCCTTTTAGGGCTGCTTCGTCAGAATGAATATTTATTTAATTTTGTCAAGCTACCTTCGAAAGACTTTTCCAATAAAGTTTCGTGCATTAACCCGTTTGGGCATTATAACTCAGTTGCATTTTGTTCAAAAATATATAATTTTAGCATATTTTTCTGATCTGATAATATTATATCCCATTGAAGGTTTCAATATAGATTTTACAATTTAATGGAATGTTACAGTTAAACATTTTAGCCCAGTCATTATAAATAAATATGAATTATGATAAGGTGGCAAAAAACCCAAGGAAGTTTTAATAAACTAACCACATTTTAGTTCATAGTGTTTGTAATTAAATGCTAATCAAGCATAATCACTAACCATTCTGTCGCAATAACACATTGACCCATTCTTTTGAAATAATGAGCTCTTTAACTGAGTTCATTGTAATTAGTTTCCAAACATTGCAAATTAACAGTAAACACACAGTAAACAAACAGTAAGCATTAATTGTTTAGAAATGTAATGACACATGCAGTCTCTATTTTTTTTATTTATTGAAGACCATTGATGACCTCTTTAGTTAAGGGACTAATTTTGTATTATGAAGCAACTATTTAATAGTTTTTCAAAACCCTCCTGTTTGTTCTTTGTGAAATTCTCATTAATAATAATAAATATTTCCAACACTCACACCAATTAGCCTAGCCCCAAAGTAAGCACTATAAGGCTTGTGTTATGGGATACTAGGGTAACGGATAGAATACATATACTGTACATATATAAGTATATTTATATAGAAAATACATATTAAACATCCATGACTGAAGTACAAATGCTCGTATTCATCACACAAACATCTGCCCCCACCGGGATTTGAACCCAGGACCTCTCGAGTCGGCGACACTATGAAACCCGGCGTACAAACCACTCGGCTACGGAGGTCGTCATTGAAACTGCTTTTTGTTTTAATGTGATGCCTTCTTTGCAGTTTAAGGAGACAGAGATAAAATAGGGCATAGAGGACATGTTCTGCATAAATACTTCAACATCACCGACTTATAAGGGACAAACATCTTAAATTCCTCTGCTGTGGTGTAATATTCTTGCAGTAATACAGTTTCCGGCAGTAATTGGGTTAGAGAAATAGGGTAGGCAGGCAACACCTGCCTGGTTTGTAAATGCCTCATGACATGATGATTAAAAAATAATTAGGACTAATGAAAATATAACTAGAAAAAAATCCACGCAGACCTGGCAGCAGATGGACCCGCACCCTTCGCAATCCGGGCGAATGCACTAGCCAATTATGCTGCCGCGGCCTTCAGAAAACCGCGTCGAAATTTCTCTAGCTGTTCTTAAGCTGCAAGTGCGGGTTCGAGTCCCGTCTGCTGCCTGGTCCGCTTGGATTTTTTTTAATTATATTTTCTTTAGATTTAAACATCAAGCAGTTACATGCTTAAAATAACAAGATAATAGAATATAAATAATTAGGACTTAGTAAGGACTTTTTAAAAAAAGTCCGTACTCATATTTCAAAGTATACTTAAATTAAAACTTGATTGGATTTTAGAATTAAGTATATTGATTCTATGGGGTTGATTTTTTTCTTGTTTTCTTTAGATTTATAAACAGAGCAGATGTAGGGTTTCTAATAGGGCAGTATTTTTCGTATTTTTTTTTAAGAGGTACCTACCTACTTAAGTTCATTTATTGTTTAACCATTCTACGTTTGACCTTGTCTCTACAAATGGCGGTCTGTATTTGATACGCGGAAAGTACTTTGATTATTCTATTCCAGGAAGACAAAAAGGCAACGTTTGCAATTTGATACAATGTAAAAACTATTGTGAGAGATCGCCTTTCATTTAGTACATTCGTTTTCGAACTTAGGTATATTGTGTTATATCTACTGACATTTGACGAAATAATTCGCGTCAGTAAAAAATAGATAAATCCTTTACTGGTATAAGGTACTAGCGGCCCGCCCTCGCTTCGCTTCATTGTAGAGCTGAAGTGTAGACTACAGTTTTTGTTCTCAGGCTTGTATTATACACAATGACATTCATCTATGATTCTTCTGATACCTGCATGCAAAGTCTCAGCCCGATCGGCTTAAAATTGACAAGGTTTCATACAAACTTTCATTCCCTATTTTATCCCCTTGGGGGTAGAATTGATCAAAATCCTTTCTTAGCGGATGCCTACGTCATTACATCTACCTGCATGACAAATTTCAGCCCGATCCGTTCAGTGGTTTGGGCTGTGCGTTGATAGATCACTATGTCAGTCAATCACCTTTGAGTTTTATATATATAGATTTATTCTAGACATGGTATGTGGCAGCGGCTTCCTCTACCGCGCAGAAACGTAAACTTAATAATATAGTAGGTTTACGATTAGGACCGAGAATACTCGGAAACTGTTGTAGGCGGTGGCATGCCAGTCGCTATTGTTTCCGAACAGCTTGGACCCGGACCAAAGTCAAATGTCCGTCACCAATGCTCAAAAATACCTATATGAATGTATGTTATATACAGGGTTAATTTTAAAACACCAACAACCTCTTAGGGGGTGATTCTAGCCATCAACAGGAACAACTTATTATGGGACCAACGATGAAATCGCGAAGAAAAAATCTGCTGTTTCATACAAAAGTGCATCAGCTAATCGACCGAAATGTATGAAACACCTAATATCTCATAATAAAAGTTGTTCCTGTTGATGGGTAGAATATACATGCTTTTCCGCCATCGTCCGTCGTGACGTCATTAAGTTTGATAAAACTAAGTTAAGTTATGTTTTTATTTATTTTTAAGCATTTATCTGCTACATGTTTAAATCTAAAGAAAAGTTTACTAGAAAAAAACTTTTTTTTTTTGCCTTGCAGCTTAAGGCTAGAACAATTTCGACGCGGCGAATAGGGCCGTGGTAATCCTAGTAAACTTTTCTTTAGACTTAGTTAAGTTTCTAGAATCCACTTCACCTGTTATTCCTATCATATATGTAAATTAATTACCAATGAAAAGTTCGTAACTGGTTTCGTTAATTTCTAACTTTTTTTCTACTGAAACTTGTAAAAGTGTGGCGGTAGCGTGCGACAGCCACCGGTGGCTGTGGTCGGTGGCCCGTTTGCGCCGAGCCTTATTGAATACACAGTAACCCAAATCGTTGGTACGCTACGACAGTACAACCAAATCGATAGTACGCCAAATCGATTTGGGGTACTGTCGATGGTGAGTTTTGTCGATACGGTGACACTCGATATTATAACCTCCGTGGCCGAGTGGTTTGTACGCCGGGTTTCTTGGCGTCGCCGACTCGAGAGGTCCCGGGTTCGAATCCCGGTGGGGGCAGATGTTTGTGTGATGAACACGAGCATTTGTACTCCAGTCATGGATGTTTAATATGTATTTCTATATAAATATACTTATATATGTAATCTATCCGTTACCCTAGTATGTCATAACACAAGCCTTATAGTGCTTACTTTGGGGCTAGGCTAATTGGTGTGTGTTGGAAATATTTATGTATATAATCAGAGTCGTCATGGGAGCTACTTAGAGATTTTATCCTTACTTCTCTGGGTTACAATAAAATTCCGTCATAACTTTACCTCGCTATTTTAATAAAAGGGGAATTTTGAATCATTCTATGTGTCAACCTTTCGCCCACGTTATATTCAAAGTTCGATTAATCGGCCCTTATTAAGTCATTAGTCATCGCGAGACACATCTCCTAACCGCCGTGTAACATGACAGTAATAAATTAACGACCTCTGATGTTTGATGTTTTTTTTTTACTAGTTTAGTGCGCAATACCGTTTGACGTCATCGTTCGTTCGATAGTAGCCAACGGGAACGGTAATCGATGTACATACATATTACCTAAAAATAATTTACACAGTTTAGTTTTACTTATTGTTGTTCACACTTTAAGAGCCGTATCGTGTCCAAAATAGGGTATTGACTAATATTTTTTCTTCGTTTATCAAGTAAATTATCAAAAAGTATTGGACACGTATTTTTTTTTTTTTATATAATATAAACATTGCACAGATATATTGATTTGAAAAGTCGCATGACGTCACGTTTGAGTGACGTCACGAGCCCCTACTCCCAAACTGACGCGCTATAACTTTGTCATTTTTTGGTTGATTGCCCAAAGAAAAAATACGTGTCCATTATTTTTTGATCATCTAACTGACGGACTAAATAGAATTTCGTTTACTGTACCCCGTCATCACCCCTATTGCTAATGTAATTGCTAATTGCAAAACATATCTAGCCTATGTTGTTATCAGTGCCGTCTTTGACCTATTGGAGGCCCTGGGCATATTAGGATAATGGGGCCCCAATGACTTCCGTTTGGTGATTTAACAGGAACTAGGGACTTTGTATTTGATCTGAGGAGGGCCCCTATCGATCGCGGGGCCCTGGGCACTTGCCCAAAGTGCACAATGGGAAAGACGGGTCTGCTTGTTATTATAATTCTTTGATATTTTCAATTGGTATGGCTGTTTCTTTTGGTGTATTATTATTGTTTAAAAAAATCTGTGTCATCAACCTTAGGACCTGCCAGAATTATCAGCGCTGCAGCAGCCCTGGTGTTGCTGTAGTATTAAGCTGAGGCAGGGACCTAGTTGGCCTATTTTGGCTTTTTGTTTTTTTTTTAGTTATAAAGGTACATTAAACAGCCAAAGGTCAGCAAAAATGTACACAGCTGGAATAACATAAGTAAACCTTAGTTACCAAAAAGAAAACATAAAAATAAAGAAAAACACATTGATGAAATAGTCTTCAATCCTAAGTGATGAAACAATGCGGGCGAAAGGAATGAAAACTTGATATTACCAGAGCAAAGTCACTAATTGGGTACGAGTCTAATAAACATTCATGTATCTGCAATCAACCAAAATGTAATAAAAACATGCTTAAAATAAATATGTATATGTAAATATATTAAAAAATTACAAGGGTACTTGTTATTTATTTATTTGTTGACGGGAGGGACGGGTAGGGGGGTAAAGTGTCAACCTCAAATCATTTTTAATTTTCTGTTTTTATCCAAAAAAATATATCTATGTCACGTCATTATGATAATATGACTTATGTTTTAGGCTAATAAAATGTATTGAAGTGAAACTTCTTTATCGGCGTTGGAAAAAAAATTACCGTCACATTTTTTCGGTTACGCGTCACATTTTTCCGTTACGCGCCATCTTTTTTTATATTAATAGTTGATAGCTAAATGATCACACTGTCGCCGGCGAGAACTCTCTCTACTCGTTTGTAGCTGAGTGACAATAGTTATTAAAGATAAGACTCGCTCAGCCAAACTCGCATAGCGATACTCGCTCAGCGATCATTTATGATGTAGATATTATATTATATATTCATATTCATGTAGATCATTTTTCGAAAAATAAGGCCATAAAGAAGTTTCACTTCTTACGTGTGTACACTAGTACACGCACACATTTTTTTCTTCTTTCTTTCTAATGTGATACAGTTATCCAATTGCTATTGTTCGCCTTTTCAACCGCCTCCGCAATTGGACTTAAGTTTATTTTATTTTTTTTCAAAAAACCGTAGCTAATTATTTTACTTCACCTAATGTTTAGTCTATGTTGAGTTCAGTTGCAAAGACAATTATACCCCTCAAGCTATCTTTATCTATTCGGCTTGAATTCAATCCCCTACCCCGTGGAACCATGGAACCTTAAGAATAGGGATGATGACTAATTTTTTTTTCTTCGTTTATCAGGTAGATTATCAATAAGTATTGGACACGTCTTTTTTCTTTTTTCACATAATACAAACATTGCAGAGCTATATTGATTAGAAATTTCGCATGACGTCACGTTTGAGTACACTTAGAAGTGAAAATTCACTCAAAAGTGACGTCACGAGCCCCTACTCCCAAACTTTGATGCGCTATAACTTTGTCATTTTTTGGTTGATTGCCCAAAGAAAAAATACGTGTCCATTATTTTTTGATCATCTAACCGACGGACTAAATAGAATTTCGTTTACTGTACCCCGTCATCACCCCTATTACTCTCTCCCTACCCTCTCTTAATTTATTGTTGTACCTTTTGGACAGTTCACAATAGCAATATCTAAGTATATATTCGGCGTGTCTCCTTAGTAGTAGTACAGTTTGTACAGTTCAATTCAATTCATTTATTGCAGACCATAATGGAGATACAAAGGTGGTAATATATAGATAAAAAGTGCATTGTGGACCCTGTAGTGTAGGGTATCGCAATTGCAAGAGCAGAGGTCGTCAGTACAAAAATGTATCTAAATGTGTGTAATATTTAGTTATGAGTTATCATCATCAGCCTATTAATGCCCCCCACTGCTGGGGCACAGGCCTGAACCTATGGATGGAATAGGGAGTGCGGGCCATGACCCACCACGCGGGCCTAGTGCGGATTGGCGGGTGCTAACGACTGCATGCATGCAGTGCGATGCAGCCGGGACCAACGACTTAGCGTGCCTTTCAAGATACGAAGGAACTCGAGATAGAAGATTTTTGGTCACCCATCCAATGACCGACCATTGCGAAAGTTGCTTAACTTCAACGATCGCAGCCGAACGCGCTAAGCACCCGCGCCATCGAATTCCTCGTTATAAGTTATAATGTTTACTAACCTAATGGATCTGTGTTGTCTGCCAAGAAATGATAATAATATTAAGTATTACTCTCCCCTACCCTCTCGCAATCCTTGTACCTTTAATGCGATTCAACTAAAAATAGGACCGACTGGGCGCTATATTTTGACGTCATAGCTGTCAATTCAAACCAAATAGGTAGAATGAGCAAAAAAATGTTGCTATTTAATAAAACTTATCTAGTAAGATTAAATGAGACAAAATCAGATTTCTTTATAAAATTAATTTACTAAGCTTGAGAAAGAACACAACCGATTTTTAATAGTATTTCTTTATTAAGACTGTGTGAAAAAACATTAATCACAATTTAGCTCTTCAATTTCGCTCATCTCTGTATTACCGCCGGAGAAGTTATGAATAATCATGCAGGTCACATACGAACATGCATCCTATATGTAAACGAAAGTTTTAAATCGAACTTTTGTATGCAACATAAAGTAACATTTGATTGACGATTTAAGTTATCAACCATTCATAGCCAAAGCTCAATAAATAAAATAAAACAGCTAATATTAATTATCAACATTTCTTATTGTGTGTTTAAAAATGTTTGGTTTTTATTCTAGAATCAGCCGAGTGCTAAAAAAGTGTTCCGAGTTTTTTTTGCAAACCGTACTTTTCAAGCGACATTTGACAGACGGAGGTCATTGGCTTTCCTATTCTTATTCGAATCGCATTATAAATATGAATATTGTTCAACACGAACTTTGTTTCGCTTCCTGAGGCCCTAGCACGAATTCTGACAGCTCCATATTCGTATGTATTTGTTCTTCACCTGCTTCACTATCGGACGATAGTGGTGCTGCTTAGAAACTTTTGACGATGCGATGCTGTCCAAATTCATTGCTAACCTCCGCCCTCGAAAACGCTGAGAACATCGCCCTTGTTGTTTCCCTCCGCAGAACCGCGAGCACAAACACCGGACAGAGGTATACGTGATGACGGTGACGCAGGAGCTCGCCGAATGGGAGGACTCCCGGCTGATGGGTCGCAAGCGCCAGTGGTTCTCCATCGACGACGCCCTCGCCCAGCTGGCCCTGCACAAGCCCATCCAGCGCCACTACCTGCAGCAGCTGCGCCGCTCCAAACTCAACAAAACCGACGACCCCGGCAGCTAAGCCCCCACCACTACCACTTAACACACTCACCACGCGACACCTATTACTACTCGACTCTCCCGCGCGGGTCGACGACCTCAAGCCATGTGTCACTATTATTATCCGACCCAGAAGTAGCAGGACACATATTTTTGAATCGCTCATCATCATCTGGAAGAGATTGCTATTGAGCAATAAGGCCGCCCATTGTGTAATGTCTCTGTCAGTGTAATCTTACTGTTATGTCCTTTGTGGTGTTATACAATAAAGGATATATTATTATTATTAATGTCCTCACTGCTGGAACACAGAACTTATGGATGGAATAGGGAGTGCGGACCATGAATCGCTCGCTTGATGTCAAGTCGCATGGTTTCTCTATTTATCTCAATGTCGCATTCGAGTTTTTAGTCTCGTTACAACCAAAATAACAAGGTCCATCATGATATAAAACCATGATTGACCCATATTTTAGACAATTTGCAAATATCTATTACTGACTGTTTGAACAGTCATTGCAACATTTTCGAATCGAAATAGGAAGTGACATTTTATTTGACAGAATCGCACTGCAGGTCTCAATGTTTGCCTCTCGCCGACCATTGGCTTTGTACGTGACAGTGGCGGGATTGTTAAAACTATTTTAAGCGCGCTATTTATGAAGAACAATAATTTATTAAATCATTGGATCACCACCAGTCCCATTTGTAACCACTTGAATATCCAAAGTCGATAGAAACTCGACATAATACTCGGTGTGAAGCGAATGATTCGAAAATAGGTGTCCAATCCAGTAGCGGTGGCCATGCTATACCCGAATCGCACCAGCTGACTAATTTTGACGGATTAAGGTCGAGTGAATCGGGCATTACAACAATTGGCGCGCACAATATGATTATAATTTATTATTATACGCTATTATTTATAAGAATTGTTAAATATATAGGCAGGCCCTGTGGACACTCTGGGGGGAGACTTGTCAAAGATCTGTATAGATATATGGGAAGTGTCCATATTGATATAAGGTACTTCTATAACTATGGTTAGAGTGAGATAGCATTAGGACTTTGAAAATAAAATGGAGATGACAATGTTAATATTAAAGCATTGTTAAAGAGGCGGTAAAAAAAGCGCTGAATATAATTTTTAAACTTTTCTCTGGTAGCTCAACTGTAAGCTATTGTTATTATTTATTCTCTTTTTGAGCCTGTACGCACTAAAGTCGCATCTACACGCGTTGACTATGTAAATAGACCTCACCATTGCTGAGAATAAAACAATCAATTCAGTGCTTGTTTGTGTAAAAAATATTTATTGCGCCTTACGTATAATAAATATCTTGAGATGTTTGAAAACCATCACTAACTCTTTTAATTATACATTTACGAGCAAAGAATTTATACTATGTTTGGGCTTATGTATTTGTTAATATTGGAAAAACTAACAATGCATTTAAACATTTCGACCACATTATATTTACCATTGTAATTCATTAACCTTAAAAACATAAGTTTCGACATCATTCCATAAACTGTTCACTTATAGTCAAATTTTAATTATTAACACGAGTCATATTTTAATTAACCTGTCAAAGTAAAAAATAAAATAAAATAAAGGTTCTTTTCTTGAAAAATATTGGAGTTGTCTTAACTAGTTTTGTTACTTTTCAAAGCTTTTTAAAGCTATCTTTGATTGTACAGTTTCAGTAGAAGTAATGGGATATTTCTTCCCAAAATTTTGTAGGCCAGCAAGGTGAGGATGTTGGCATGTATGGCAGTTATTATAACTGCTGTACCTGCTATCTCGCGTTTGAACTTTATCACCACTTAACATCAGGTGGGGTAGAGTCATTTGCCTACCTGGCTAAATAAAAAAAATAAAATTTGTCTATGTATAGTTAATGTCGTGTCAGTCAGACGCATAGTAAATGTGCTAATTTTGAGAAATATTTATTTTTCCTTTAGAATTTAACTATGTTTCAAATAACGCTGCCTAAAGTCGCTTTGTTTTTCCACCTATAGTTAAATTTACTCTAGTAAAGCAAATTTGCTAATCTCAATTTAACCTAAACAAGATTTAGTCCTAACAATAATGTCAAACTGACATTGCGACATTTTTCTATGGGTAAAAGCTAGTTTTGTTTAATGGAGATTTAGCAAATTTAAAATACTAGAGAAAAAATAACCTTAATAATATGTATGTAAAAAAATTACACATTTACAAATTTTCCAATTTTGTTTGTAACAACTTTTTAATGGGAAGGAAAAACCCATTAGTACCTACTACTGATAAAACTACAGAGTAAATGTATTGGGATTTAGTAAATTCCAATTTATATTTGCTCAATCATGTTTTATTTCAAACAATGTAATCTTGAAGTGTAATAAGTACTCGGATTTCTTTGCTCGTATCGTAATACTATTAATTTGTACTAAAACGGTTATGTATGTTGAATTTAATGATGGAAACTGTATGGGTGATGTTAAAGCTTGATGTGACTATTTGAGCGGCCAAATAGTGACAATGGCTTGAATAGTGACTCGCTGTGGGCGTGGCCGGGCGCAAAAACAAACTATTACACGTAACTTTGTAACATCCCTTCTTTTCTACTTTTACGTATATTTTTATACTACGATGGAATTAAATGTTAATTTTATTTTGTTAGCATTAAAACTGAAAAGACATATACGAGCTCTATTTTTTTATTTAAACTGAGTAACTTGACATTTCTTCTTTTTTTTTTATTAAGAATTCCGAATGAGTTTTTTTTTATATATATAATAATAATAAATTTTATATTGCTCTTCTCAAAGGCTTTTGTTTGGATCCTGAACAGAGAAAAGAAAAAAAAACAATTTTATAAACTTTAACCAGACATTTTTTTTATTAAGAATCCTGAATGAGTTTTTTTTTCTATTAATAATCATCATCAGCCTATTAATGTCCCCACTGCTGGGGCACAGGCCTTCCCCATGGATGGAATAGGGGGATTGGGGTATGACCCACCACGCGGGCCCAGTGCGGACCAACGGCTTAACGTGCCTTCCAAAGCACGGAGGAACACGAGATAGTAAATTTTTGGTCACCCATCCAATGACCGACCACTGCGAAAGTTGCTATTAACAATAAAATAATACATATTTGTTTCTAAGGTTTTCACGCACAACACTCATTAAATAAAACCAGTTTTTACGGATTAATGTACTAAATTTATTTATTTATCGACGTTTCGCAACCTTTTCAGGTCTGCAAATTCTCACGTTGCAGACCTGAAAAGGCTGCGAAACATCAATAAACAATAATGCATTTTATTTTGCTCTTCTCAAAGGTTTTTGTTTGAGTCCTGAAACAGAGAAAAAAAAAACAATTTGACAACTTTAATTCTTATATTTCAATAGAATTTTATTTACACAGTCTTAAATTCTGGTTATACTAGCTAAAAACACCCATACGCTCAGCACGTTTTTAGGGTATGCGTAGACTTCGACGGCCAAACAGAACTCTACATTAGGGTCGTCGTTCACATGGAGTCCCGTCGACTTGACTGTAGATATGACAGATTTTGCGTTCGCATACGGCATGTGCAACGGGAAACCGAATAGCTGTGGAGGAAAACGGGTGGATTAACAAATAGTTCCAGGTAATTGTTGAGGTTTCCTTGTATACAATGTTTATAATTAATTATTGTGTACAAGTGAAATGCAAGTTTATTTAATAAATTTATTTTTTAAGCATTTAACTGCTAGATGTTTAAATTTAAAGAAAAGTTTACTAGAAAAAAATCCACGCGGACCAGGCAGCGGACGGGACTCAAACCCGCATCCTTCGCAATCCGGGCGAATGCACTGACCATTATGCTACCACGGCCCTATTAGCCGCGTCGAAATTTTCCTAGCCTTAAACTGCAAGGCAACGCCATCTCTTCGCATTACCATTAATAGGTAACCCACAATGTCAAATGAATACTTTTTCAAGTATTAAACATTTGAAAGAAGAAATAGCAATTATAGTTATGTTTTGATTTATTTTTTTAAGCATTCAGGAATGGTCAGCGCAATCGCCCGGATTGCGAAGGGTGCGGGTTCGAGTCCCGTCCGCTGCCTGCTCCGCGTGGATTTTTTCTAGTAAACTTTTCTTTAAATTTATTTTATTTTTAAAGGACTACACATAGAGTCGCAACGAGACACAGAAGGGAAGAGAGCGATGTTGCCATCACTAAAATTTTATTATGCATTGACCTGTGTTGCCATAACAATTCTTTTAAAACATTACTTTTAAATTTATGTTGGATATTAATCAAACAATTGCCTTGTATGTGATCATCAGCTGCTTGAGCCGTTGATTGGCTCCCGGTTTGGGCTCGCTCTGGTTGAAGGTCCAATACTCCCAATGATGCAAACATTCACGCAGCAAACTACTGCCGTATCTGAAAATTTATACTCTTTTACAGTGCCGTCTTTGACCTATTGGAGGCCCTGGCCATATTAGGATAATAACAAGAACTAGGGATGATTTTATTAATTTTTTAAGCATTTAACTGCTAGATGTTTAAATCTAAAGAAAAATTTACTAGAAAAAAAAATCCACGCGGACCAGGCAGCGGACGGGACTCCTTCGCTATCCGGGCGGGGTTACCTACAATGCGAAGAGATGGCGCTTCCTTGCAGCTTAAGGCTAGGAAAATTTCGACGCTGCTAATAGGGCCGTGGTAGCATAATGGTCAGTGCATTCGCCCGGATAGCGAAGGATGCGGGTTCGAGTCCCGTCCGCTGCCTGATCCGCGTGCATTTTTTTTTCTAGTAAACTTTTCTTTAGATTTAAATATGTGGGTCTTTAGTTATTTTAAGTTAAATAGGTACAAGTACTATAACGAACGAACATTAATGAAACAAGGGAATTTATTTAGTGAGTTCCACCATACATAGAGGGCTCAGGTTTTATGGGAGTACTTCACAAGGTGCAAGGGTGCCCCCTTATGTTATTCTGCCGCGCTAGAGTAAATCCAAAAATCCCCGCATGTGTTGGGGTGTTTCAAACATTCTGTTCGTTATAGTAAATTGTCTTGTATGTCAAACGGAGCGACGATATGGCATATTATTATGGTTACTAATAATATAAAAATGAATTTATTTAGTTACTTAAATAGGTCCATGTGTCATATCTTTTGACTACCAGGATTTTTTTTACGGTGTCATAATAAAAAGGCTAGTTTTTCATAGATCTATCGATTCATACTAATTATATTGTTGGCGGAGCTGGGTGTGTTTTGCCCATTGTCCTTTCTTATTACTCTTTGCGAGTTATTGCAAACAATGACGATCCCTTTAGTGAGGAGATTCTACTAAAACCTTACCAGCAGCGCCCTCCTGTCAATGTCATATAACTGCCACGAGATCCCTACAAGAACACAACTTAATACTAAAAAAAACATGTCACCTATTCCAGACTGTCTTAAAATGTGTCCTCCACTTCTGCACTTTGGTCTTGATCTTAGATTCCAACGTTTCCCGTAGAGCTGTTATATCCGGGGGAGCACTGTACAGACTCGAATCCGTCACCAAGCTCTGCCGCATCACAAACATATTCTTGTCAAACACCTGGATAAACGGAGAAAATGAAATCGTTGTGTGTCATTACCTGCATAGAATATCTGTAAGATGCAATCTCACTTACGATCTCATTTATTGGGATTTCTGCCCATAATAATCATAATAAAAATCATTTATTCAGTTTAGGCTGTTTACAAGCACATATGAATGTCTAGAAGCTACGCCATCGGTTCGTAAATCTACGGCGGGAGACCTTGTACTGAGAAGAACCGGCAAGGGTTGTTTTTTGCTCTCTGTTTTATCATTTACAGAGTCATCAAGTTGAAAAATGATTTCAGAGATGATTCATGAAGTCACCTTTCATTACATAATGTGAAATTATACATTAATTGTTCACCTGCATTTTGTTGCTGTGTCATACAGTATAAATACAAATAGAGTTATTTATAATAGGTGTAATTTAACATTTACATCTTAAATATCAAAGTAGTTAGGGCAGACTCATCTCCGCTGGCAGCACCCGTTCACGAGCATGACGCATGAACCAGCCATCGCTTCGCTCAACCATATTTTAGGGAAAGTAACGACCCGCCTCACACAACACCTAATGTATCTAATACTGGCTACTTCAGACATAGCGATATTTTGCCGTGTAATGGCGTAATGCATATCAAACTTTCGACGACCTCCGTGGCCGAGTGGTTTATAGGCCGGCAAGGTGTCACCTTTGTCAGAGGTCCCGGGTTCGAATCCCGGTGGGGGCAGATGTTTGTGTGATGAATACGAGCATTTGTACTCCAGTTAATATACTAATATATGTATCAGTATATGTATTCTATCCGTTACCCTAGTATCCCATAACACAAGCCTACAGTGCTTACTTTGGGGCTAGGCTAATTAAGTCTGAGTGTTGGAAATATTCAATATTAATATTAAACTAATGTCTAAAATGGCAGCTACGGAAACCGGAAGTGAGATTTAAATTTACAGATTCGCCGCCCTACTGATATTTGAATTTTTTACTTTACCGGCATCCAATAGGAGGATCTGGACAAATCAAAAGATACATTCTCGCAGTCTTGAGAGGATTGCATGTTTAGCCATATCTGAAATTAATAAAAAATATTCTCAATTGACGAATGATTCGCAAGTCTGAAGAACTGGGTAATTCTCACGCACGACTTTAAAAGGAGCTATCGAAGTTTGGAATTAGTTTCTGAAGGAAATGTGCATCTTCCAATAGGGTTTCTGAATTCTTTTTTAAATATAGACTCCATAAAAAGTCGATACTTTTCTGTTGCATACATATTTATATATGCATATGCATGTTGCATAAAACAACGAAAATAAAAAATGTTTTAAAAAAATATGCCGCGAAACGTTTCTCTAACAAATGTGACTTCTTAGAGGCAGGTGACGCCACACGGCTCTTATTGAAACTTCAAACAGTACAAATTAAAGTCATTTTGATAGCATGTTTACAAACAGGTGTCTCCTTGGCGTTTTCGGTCACGTGGCAATAGATGAAAAATTACTTTTCAATTTTATGGTTTTTAATAATATTATCATCATTTACTTTTCTGTGGCAGAATAGTAAAATCGCTCCTAATATTTATGTTTGAATACACATGCCAATAATTTGTTTAGGCAGCGGCAAAGTTATTGAGCAAAACCACACAGAAATAAACTTGTCTTGTAGACGTTTTTGTATGTTTTTGAAGTTATACTTCTTTAGGCGCGTTATGAAAAAATGATGAGAGTGAAATTTTAAGATGCGCGCGCATCACTAACACAAAATTTTAACAGCATGAAGTTGGTCGCTAAAGCGACCAACTTCATGCGTTACTTTTGTGTTTACCGCACATTAAGAAAATCTACCAACAAAATAGAATCTCTATTTAGTGGGTGCTAACGACTGCATTGTGAAGGCCTATCAAAAGTATTTATTAATCTGGAACAACCGAACCAAAGCGCGATTCAGGAGACTACAGCGCCATCTCTTGACCATTGGTGTAGTAGAACCAAAAACCACATCTTTATTTTTTGTAATAAAGTAACAGTTATAGGTATTCATATTTATAATATTTATCCACATGTTTCTAGTTTGTATATTCGGAATACGTGTTTGAGTTTCATACAAGTGCAAATCACATATGTTCTAATAAATTATATTCAGTAGCGATTTTAATTGAATATTTTGATTATTTATTTATTTTTTCAAATTAAAACTGAACTTTATTGCCTGTGTCCTTTTCCAGACTTTTTATTAATTTATTGTAATTAATTATTTGCATGCAATTAAAAACTAATTTTAAACGATGCCAAAGAAGGATAACTTCTCACGCGCCTACATAAGTACACGCACCCATTTTTTTTGCCACTAGCTTCCTTGTTTAAGGTCGTTGCTCAAAAAGTTTACCGGGATACTGTAAAATGTTTTGCAATAAAGTTGGTGCAAAAAACGAGTATTTTGCAAAATATAATGTAACTAGCAAACCAGTGAACCAAATGTTCACCAAAACCTGATTTAAACAAAAAGTATTTAATTAATTGAGAACTTCGGAGACTTTGTGTGGTTTCGTTTGAAATTCGTGATTTCTCGAAAACCGGAAGTGCTACGTTACTCAAATCCGTTTTATAGTCTTATCAGACTATTCTTAACTTATAACTCAAATATTCTCTTTATCTATCTCTTACGGTTTGGCCGCTGAAACAGCACCACGGACAGACGGACTCGTCTAATAGATAAGAGATGGTATGAACCAAATCGAGGAGTTCGATGGCGCGAGTGTTCAGCGCGTTCGGCTGCGATCGTTGAAGTTAAGCAACTATCGCAGTGGTCGGTCATAGGATGACTGACCAAAAATTTACTATCTCGAGCTCCTCCGTGTTTCGGAAGTCACGTTAAGCCGTTGGTCCCGGCCGCATCTGCAGTCGTTAGCACCCACCAATCCGCACTGGGCCCGCCTGGTGGGTCATGGCCCAATCTCCCTATTCCATGAAGGCCTGTGCTCCAGCAGTGGGGTCATTAATAGGCCAGGGATGATAATGATGAACCAAAATCTCACATTGTCCTCGTCGAAGATGTAGTCCACTGTCTTCAGAGGGCAGCTGACGTCTCGCAGCTCGAAGCGTTCGCCCGTCGTAGCGTCGTATACATACCAAAGGTACCCATCGCCCTTCACAACCAAAAGATCAGTATAAATAAATATTTCCAAGCCTAGCCCCAAAGTAAGCACGATATGGCTTGTGTTATGGGATGCTAGGGTAACGGATAGAATACACACACTGTACATAATATATAAGTACCTATATTTATATAGAAGTACATATTAACCATCCATGACTGGAGTACAAATGCCCGTATTCATCACACAAACATCTGCCCCCACCGGGATTCGAACCCGGGACCTCTCGAGTCGGCGACACCATTAAACCCGGCGTACAAACCACTCAACCACGGAGGTTGTCAAAGTATGATTCTTTAGTAACTTTAATGCAACGAATTGGAGTTTATATGTAATACAAACTGCGCTAAAAAGTTATTCCACGTTAAGTACGCGGGGTCAACTAGTCTATTAATAAATGAGGGTAGACAGCGGCATATGCTTACCTTGTTTAACAAACCTTTACTCTTCAACAAGTGGTCGTTAACCAACACGTCTCGGCGACTAGTCAGGTCGTATTTAGTGAGCACGAACCCGCTCGAGCCCCGAGGGAGGCCGGCACCCATCACCACCCAACACTTTACCCCGAGATGGAGGAAGTAACCAGCCAGGAGGATGGTGTGGTCCAAAGGCGACCCGTACAGAACTTTGAGGAGTTCCTGAAATAGTCGTCTGTTCACAAAACTGTGATACTTTGTTGGATGTATGGAGATACCCCATAAAGATCAGCAAATTGATTTGCATTCACCACCCTACACCTTGACTCTAAAGTGGAGGAAGTAACCGGCCAGCAGGATGGTGTGGTCCAGTGGCGATCCGTACAGAACTTTGAGGAGTTCCTGAAATAGTCGTCTGTTCACAAAACTGTGATGCTCTGTTGGATGTGAGAGAAATCTCATATAGATCGGCAAATTGACTTGCGTTCACCACCCAACACTTTACCCCGAGGTGGAGGAACTAACCGGCCAGGAGGATAGTGTGATCCAGTGGCGACCCGTACAGAACTTTGAGGAGTTCCTGAAATAGTCGTCTGTTCACAAAACTGTGATACTATGTTGTATGTATGGAGATACCCCATGAAGATCAGCAAATTGATTTGCATTCAAATAAATAAAACTAGTTTTAACGGATTAATGCACGAAACTTTATTTATTTATTGACGTTTCGCAGCCTTTTCAGGTCTGCATCGTCAGAATACTGGTTTTTTATTTAATTTTGTCGAGCTACCTTCGAAAGACTTTAATTGAGCGTTCGGTTATTACATTGGAAGATTTTTAAAATTTTTATTGTCTTTGTAAGTATGAATTTTTAGTTAATTTAGTTAATAAAGTACTTTATTTAAAATTCGTTTTTTGTAATTTTGAGTTTATTTATTTGACCCTAACTACGGTAAACTACCACCGGTTCCAAAATTAGGAGACCTTTCTGAGAAGAACCGGGGAAACAAACTCAGAAAGGCTGATGATTTAACATTAAAAGGATTATCTCCTTCTTATGTTAAATGCAAACAAAAAGAACTAATAGTATCTGTTGGTCTTGCAGTGTGTGCTCGGGGTTGGGATTTTATCTCTTGTATAATATGTTAACTCATATATATCGTCAAATTGATCTGTGTTCGTCACCCAACACCTTGAGGTGGAGAAAGTAACTGGGCAGCAGGACAGTGTGGTCCAGTAGCGATCCGTACATAACTTTGAGGAGTTCCTGAAATTGTAAATTGAACATACAAGTTCACAAAACCACTATTCTACACGTACAAAGAAATTTGGTGACTCATTTCTTTGTCGTACTATTCGCAAGTGGAATTGTTTGCTCGCACTCGTGTTCCCTCCTTCCTACAATCTGGGGTCCTTTAAGAGAGGCGTGAAGAAGCATATTTGCAGGCCGGCAAGGTGAGGATGGTTGGTGTGGTAGTTTATAACTGCAGTACCAGCTATCTTCGCGTTTGGACTTTATCACCACTTACCATCAGGTGGGGTAGAGTCATTTGCCTTCCTCAATAATAAATATATATATATAGAAGTCTGTGCGGAAAGAGAATGTGATTTAGATTGGAGGGCGCTGTAGTGCTTTTCTACCGTATTTGTAAGGTTTTATCCCTTTTAGATATGATCAAATACAAAAAACCGCAAGAAATCACAACAACAAACAAATCCGTATCAATACAAAACTTTGACGTTTTACAGATTGCTGGGTTTGATTGCCAAATAAAAATCTTAATGTTAGTTCCTTTTTTCGCCACGCCCATTCTCTTTCCGCACAGACTATACATATTATATTGGATGTAGGTACCTACGTATCATAAGAATCGACAAATTGATTTGCGTTCACCACCCATCATTTGACCCCGAAATGGAGGAAGTCACTGGAATTCAACAGGACACTGTGGTTTCGTGGCGATACGTACAAAACTACAGATTACGTCATAGTTACTAACAGAACTTAAAGGAATTTTGAAATTTCAGTTCACAAAACTAATGCTATGATAGATGTTACGACTTATCAATGTAATCAACAAATTTGAATTGCCGCAGTCTTGTTTATAACAAAAAAAAATGGGTGCGTGTACTTATGTAGGCGCGTGAGAAGTTATCCTTCTTTGGCATCGTTTAAAATTAGTTTTTAATTGCATGCAAATAATTAATTACAATAAATTAATAAAAAGTCTGGAAAAGGACACAGTCAATAAAGTTCAGTTTCAATTAAATTAAAATTCAATTAAATTCGCTACTGAATATAATTTATTAGAACATATGTGATTTGCACTTGTATGAAACTCAAACACGTATTCCGAATATACAAACTAGAAACATGTGGATAAATATTATAAATATGAATACCTATAACTGTTACTTTATTACAAAAAATAAAGATGTGGTTTTTGGTTCTACTACACCAATGGTCAAGAGATGGCGCTGTAGTCTCCTGAATCGCGCTTTGGTTCCGTTGTTCCAGATTAATAAATACTTTTGATAGGCCTTCACAATGCAGTCATTAGCACCCACTAAATAGACATTCTATTTCTATTTTGTTGGTAGATTTTCTTAATGTGCGGTAAACAGAAAAGTAACAGCATTAAAAATAAAATTTTGTGTTACAGTGATGCGCGCGCATCTTAAAATTTCACTCTCATCATTTTTTCATAACGCGCCTAAAGAAGTATAACTTCAAAAACATCGCAGCAATTTGCGTACCAGCTTTACGAGTATTTCTAGAGTAATCTATTCTTATCTTCAAAATTTAAATAATTAAAAAGGTGATAAGACATTCGTTAATCAAATGTGTTAATTGGTAAACGTTTTTGGTATTTACGACTAATTGAAACGTAAATGTCCATCAGTGTAAAAGTACTGATCTAGAAGGAGTTTGATGGCGCAAGTGGTTAGCGCGTTCGGTACTCCGTGCTTCGGAAGGAATATTAGCTGTTGATCCCGACTTTACCTGCTCGTCGTTAACATCCACTAATAGATCTAGGCCTGGGTAAGGAAGGCCAGTGTCCTAGCTGAGGCGATAATAATAAGCGTATCGAATCGATAAAGCTGGCGTTTACCAGACACCTGGCCTTCTTAAGCCCTGGCATATCATCCAGAAGCTCATATGAGGATCGATTAAAGTTCTTCAAGATGCAATCTCTTCGCCAGCGATGCATAAAGCTGGATATGGTTGTTTTTGCACTATATCGTGAACGGCCAAAATTGACTGCCATGATATTGTTAGCCAAATTGGTGTATCAGTGCATCATATAACTACCCGCGAAAACCAATTATGAGTATATTTGATATTCCATACTGTCGAACGAATGTCGGACTCCACTCACCTATACCACGAACTATGTGTGAGAAATGCTGGTATTGATGTATTTTGTGATACTTTGTCAACATTTAAACGGAAGTTGTGTAATCTGTGACAAAGACTGTTTTTTTTTTGTGTAGTGTTATTAGTATTATTATTTAAATGTTAAATTCTAATTTATTAATTGAGAATTGTTTGGTTAAATGTAATAATTGCAATCTTATTTAATATGTAATATTATAAGTTAAAATTCAATCCTTAAAATTGTATTTGTTAGATCATAATTGTGAATGGCGTCAACACTTATAATTGTTGTGTTTACAAGTAAACAACCAATATAAAATATGTATATCCATGTATGATTAACGCAATGTTAGTGTTGCTAATCTATACTTATAATAAATCTGTAGAGATGTCAATTCTGTACATGAAATATATTTTCAAAATAACTATCAGGGGGTGATTAGTGATCGATACTGATGCCAAAAATGCAATCAGTAAATTTTTTGTCTGTCTGTGTGTATGTTCCTTATAGAAACAAAAACTACTCGAAGGATTTTAAGTAAACTTGGTACAATTATTCTTCATACTCCTGGGCAGGTTATAGTATACTTTTCATCACGCTACAATCAATAGCAGCAGAGTAGTGAAGGGAAATGTTGGGAAAACGGGAGAAGTTACTGCATTTTTTAAGCTTCCGTCGCGTGTGCAGCCTTAATGGTTAAAGTTACATAGAAATCATGTATGACGGAAATATTCTACATTAAATTGTCTAAAAAATATCCCGCAACAGCATATGTCTATCTTTTGTGGTTGACTCACAATAACACGTGTAATTATATAAATAAAGTCATTGTTTATAGCACAAGCCTGAGAACAAAAACTGTAGTTTACACTACAGCTCTACACCGAAGGGAAGCGAGGGCGGGCCACTAGTAAACAATAAATAAATAAATAAGCTGATTGATGGTGAGAACTGTACTCACCAGTCCCATCAACGTGACGACGTGCGACTCTGTGACTTCATACGTCGGTATAAGGGACACGTATCTCAGGCAGGCGTTCATCATCTTTGTAAACTGGCTCTCCCCTTTCCAGTTCCCCTCGAAACCGCTGTAAATAGATTCTCTCTCCCTTGGGGAAAGATTTCCCCGTTCCGTAACCACGTCTTTCTTTCTTCCACCGCTGCTCTTTGAAGAAGAACTCTTGGACACCCCGGAGCTTTTAGACAACGCAGATTCACCTCTGCTCTTGGGATTTTTAGGGAAATAATCATAATTCGGCGGAGGTAACGGCTGCAGAAATTGTGTAACGCATTTGTTCCTTCCAGAACTGTCTATAAAAGTCAAAGTTATGTGCCTTGCGAGAAAATCGTTGCTGTACGAAGTGACTGCGTTATTCAAATGCTTTATCAAGTCGTCATCGTCCACGCTAGTCGGTATAGGTTGGTTGTACGCATGTAATCCACCCAGATGAGAGAGGCTAGTGGTTATTTGCAGGATAACGAAAGAGGTGTCCTTTCTCAGAAGTCTTGTAACCTCCGGTATTAGTGTGCGCGTTGCGTCCTTATTTTGCGGCACCTCGTATCCGAACAGAAATGGCGGAGTGGCTAATTTGAATGCACCGCGGAGCTGTAAATCGAAATGTATGCAAAACTATTTGGCACGGAATCCTAGAAAAGATACTGGAAAAATCGAAGCTGTTTCTACCAATTTGAATAGGGGTGATGACGGGGTACAGTAAACGAAATTCTATTTAGTTCGTCAGTTAGATGATCAAAAAATAATGGACACGTATTTATTCTTTGGGCAATCAACCAAAAAATGACAAATTTATAGCGCGTCAAAGTTTGGGAGTAGGGGCTCGTGACGTCACTTTTTAGTGAATTTTCACTTAAAAGTGTACTCAAACGTGACGTCATGCGACTTTTCAAATCAATATATCTCTGCACTGTTTATATTATGTGAAAAAAGAAAAAATACGTGTCCAATACTTTTTGATAATCTACCTGATAAACGAAGAAAAAAAATAGTCATCATCCTTATTAGGTATATCTTATTTAATTATGGATTGCTATCAAATTGAGTTATTATTATTGGTGTATTGCTATCAATTTGGGTTAGGTGACATGATTCTTTATATTTTCCAATTAAATTTGTCAACAGTTTATATTTATCATTCTCTATACAGCATGAAAAGGAGAGACTGATATTAAATTTAGCTTTAAGTTTAGAGAAACATGCCAGGCTCGATACCATTATTATGTTATTAAGATTAAGTGTGTATTATAACTAAGCTAAGCTAGCTCAAGTCCAATACTTATTGTGTTTAAGTTGTTTCATTAGCACTTCTCATATTAATTAACACATTAATCACATAAATGGTACAGGGGTGGCTTGCTCTGTTCATGTAGTTTTGGGAGTGGAGGCCTGGTGTCTTGTAGAACAGGTTTATCCTATTGCAAGCACCAGTCTTCACATTAAGTGGTGAGGTGTTGTAATTAAGCACTTTATTGTAAATTTTTCTACTTATGTGAAGAAATAAATAAAGAATTTATTTATTTACTTACCGTTCCTGAAGTAAGCACAGTATGCAGGGGCACCTGGAGAGTGCCAAGCCACCTGCTGTAGCATCTGTAGTGCATGCTCTTACCATGTGACGTCTCGTCATCAGAGTCACCATCGTTTACATTAGTTTTATATTCATCGAACAAGTTAATGTGGAGGGAGGATATGGGGTGCAATCTGCAAAATGGTTAAGTGTTTATAGTGTATCTAGTTTAAACAAATATAAAAGTTTTCGAAAACTACAATCGTAGTTAGCATAAGCAATATGCTAGGTATTGCTAAGATCAAATTTTTAACGCTACTATTAAGTTAGGATAACTATATCGTTTTGGGGAGAAGACTTCGCATCAAGACTTGGTTCATGAAAACATGCTGAAACTCCGCGATGACAAACATCATAAACAGTGGCGGCGCTAGGCGTCGGCGACGTCGGCCACCGCCGACGGCCTCGCGCCTGAGGGGGCCTCGCAAAAAATTTTTACAAGTTACCTATTTATTTTCGTTTCTCCTGGCCTGGCTTAGGTAGCCGACCCCGAACAATTCAGGGAAAAACTTTTATTATTTTCGAACACGTGCGTGATGGAAGCGAGTAGTACTTTACGGGTATTCAGACTCGTCTGTCTGGCAACACTATTTTTGTAATTAAATTTATATTTTTTTAATTTTTTTTGTCATCGTTTGATTATCAACAATAAAACTCGTTTACTCATACGTTATTTTATTATTTGGCTCACTTAATTTAACGGTTTTTTACTGCGAAGTAAAATAGGCCTCGCGAACTTGATGTCGCCGACGTCCACATGTGGTCTAGCGCCGCCACTGATCATAAACAGTAGATATAAGCAACCCAGCGCTAGTGTTCATAAAAAAATTGAGGGTACTTACTTCGTCTTTATTTTCACAGTTTGATTCCAAGTGGGATGGCAACCGATAGCGGTAGCGGTTTGTGCAGAGATGCCGTGGTAACTCAACCTGATGTACGGTCTCAATGGGCGAACTTTAAACCCTGATTTGTTATAAATGACGCTTTGTAGAAATATGTTTTAAACTTAACGGTTAGTTTCCAAATATTTGGTAGCGCATGTGTCAGCTAGCCAGACAACCACCAAGAAATTAGAAATAGCAAAACTGATCTGTCTCTTTATATCACTCATATTTTGACTACCTCCGTGGCCGAGTGGTTTCATGGTGTCGCCGACTCGAGTGGTCCCAGGTTCGAATCCCGGTGAGGGCAGATGTTTGAGTGATGAATACGAGCATTTGTACTCCAGTCATTGATGTTTAATAATTATTTTTATATAAATATATTTATACTATATGTGCAATATATGTATTCTATCCGATACCCTAGTATCCTATAACACTTTGGGGGATAGGCTAATTGGTGTATTAATATTTATTTATTTATTATTTTACTTCAAACAAAGGAAAATCAGCAACTAACGTACATTATGCTTGATACTGGAGTAGTTTTAAGCGCATTTTTGATTTTCTATCGCTCCTACATACACCAGCATGCAGTCTTAACATTATGAAAAAACATTTATTTGGACTTTATGAAAACATAAATGGTTATCTTACCTGCGATTGTGGAGTTGTCTTCATCATTGTCCTCCGTCAGTATAGTAGAACTTCTGTCCATCAAATTGTAAGCTCTAATTACAGTTACGCGGATCTCTTGTTCTTTACTTATAGAATCATTTAAGTATTGTTGTTTAGTACTTTTAGGTACGGAAGCTAAGTCGATCAAATTTGTTGGTCTTGAAAATAGACTTCTGAAATAAAAAGTTTCTACAGTAAGTCGATAGTAAATCGGACCTTGGGTTTTATATTAGTATGCTCTCATTAAGCAACTATCTTCTCCCCTTAGGAGCTCACATTCTTCTTGTATTTTTCTTTCGCTCAAACATAAGGTCTGCCTTGTTATGTTCTATAAACCTTAAACCTAGATCTACATACCTCAAGCTCAAGTTTCTATAGTCACGTACAACGTCTTTGTGCGTTCTCTTCATCAAGTGATCATGTAGATTCTTTAACATGTTCTGGTTCAGCTTTTGCACATATTTACAACCAATGAATCTTTGCAATTCAATAGGATCCATTTCTGCATATTTATCGTTAATGTATTCAATATCTATATATTTCTCATTAATTCTCTGTAAACAACTCAAATGCTCTGTGGATAACTGACTGACGTGTATTGGCACCATTTTATTTTGAACATTACTAAAACCTCCAATGTTCCGTAAATGAAGCAACTTGAATCTTACGAATTCTGGATTGTTTTCATTTATTGGAAACTCTAGATCAGGCTTAAGTTTGCATTTACATAAGTCTTGAATAGTTTGTGTAAGTTTCGAATCTTTCGAAACATTTTTTCCGTAAATCTTTTCCATAAGATCAGTAAGCGAATCAATAGATGGCTTATCTAGCCCGTGCATCAATCGTGCTATTTTTCTTCCGGTATCCATCGACTCTCTCACGTTTTCAATGTCGTGTTTACTTAATTTCTTATTCCATCTGGCTTCGACACTAACTTTGCAATTTGTTTCCAAGTTCCCTGCAAATATGTTACTACTTTTAAGCCGCACTTTATTTTCCTTTGCTATATCTTTTATGTTGTAACCACTGCCTACATAACTATGAGTCGGTGGCACTATCTTATTATTGTAGACAAAAGAGTACGTCACAAAATTTGCATCAATGTCGCTTCTATTAATTTTAGAGATATCAACGTTTATCATCGACACTTTTTCATTATTTTCTATTAACGCTATGTAAATAAATTTATTCTTAGGAAGAATTTGAATAGAAAACGACTCTGTTAAATTTATTTCAAACAGAGAATCTTTTTCACATTTGTAAGTTTCGGATGTACACACGAAGACAGTATCGACGTATATATCAAAGTGATAGTTTAGTAAATTTTTTTCTCCTTTTTTATCAAATAATAAAGCTAAATTCTCGTCTTTGTTCAATATCAGGTCCATTTTATCTCTTGTTAAGATTTTACCAACTATTTTTTCTACTTGTTCTTTTAACTCTTCTACATCAACCTGTAGCTTAGGTTTACTTAACTTTTTCTTTTCTGCTTTATTTAAATTTTGTTCTTGCTTCAAGTCTTTATATTCAAGGTACCTACTCACATAATCATACTCTATTTTATCTAATAAATCATTAAGTTCTACGTTGTAAACTTCACACCATTCTTCTTCAAACTGGTTTTCATTCGAGTCAACATTAATTACCTCAATAATGTACGGGGTTTCTGTTTTCCCAGATTTTTCACGGACCATTTCCACATCTGCCCAGAGAGATATTATTTTATGAATGAGTTCTTTTTGCTTCTTTATTAATTCTATATACTGTTTCTTCAGCCGCAACAAATTACCAGTGTATTTTCTCACAGTTTTATCAAATTTTAGTTCGTCTTTCTTGTCTGGACTTATTTTGGAGAGTTCTTCCTTAATATTATTCCTTGTTTCCCTGGTCACTTTGATATCTCTAGATAAATCTTTTAAATTATTTTTACAAATTTGATAAGTTTTATAAGTATCAATGAGTTTTCGACACAATAGGTTTTCTAGTGAAAAGTAATGATGATGGAGAAAATATATGTTTTTTATTGTAATATCTAAGAATTTATCGTTGCCCTCAGTTTCTTCTGTATATTTGTTAACTGTTAACTCTTCAAATGACAATGGATAGACATACTGAACAGGTATAGCATAGTCAGTTGGTAATGCGTTTTCGAGTATTCTAGGAAATATAGGGCTCAAATTAACTGTTTTCAACTGGCGCCATGTACTTAAAGTAGAGAATAAAAAATTACAGTCAGTGAAGTTGATACGTTGCTAAGGTTTATGCTCGAGAATTCTCGAACTTAAGAAATCCGTCATTGTTAGAGACGAGAAAAAAAAACAGTTGAAGGCAACAAGAATGCGTATAGATTTAATATAGAGTTTTTTCTTTTAAATTTATTACTTATTAAAGCAAATTATGTCTTCTTTGAAAGACTCGAGAATTCCCGTGCCTCGAGAACGAAAATAGTTCGAGAAATCAGGAACCCTAAACGTTTCCAAAAAATTCTGTGTACTTTTATTTGTATGAAACTTGTAAAAAAAAATACAAAATCTTTTCGTATTTATATTGGTGGGCAAGTTTCCGAAACATCACACAAAGTAGAAGATTTTCAATCGTGAAAACGACGTAACTAGTGCTAGAGGCGGCCTTAGTGGAGCCGATCCGGGCAACACAACAAACAAAATTCCAAATTTTGGTTAATATAAAATATTTTGCTGAAGACTAAATCCAAGTTTTCCCTGGGCTTCGAAATAGCCGTTATTGTTATCATTGACGCGAATAAAGAATCTACTTTCCTAAAATATGAAAGACAACCACCTTATTGGATTGTATGTATCTACGCTAGGAACAGTGCCGTCTTTGACCTATTGGAGGCCCTGTGCATATTAAGATAATGGGGCTCCTACGAACCCCGTTTGGTGATCTAACAGAAACTAGGGACTTTGTATTTGATCTGAGGTGGGCTCCTATCGGTCGCAGGGCCCTAGGCACTTAACTAAAGTGCCCACTGGAAAAGAGGGGTCTGGCTAGGAATGCTTTAAAGCTTTATTCTTACCCATTTTCATAATCTGCACGCATACGATGAGATTTTCTAAACATACTTGTAATGCTCGGTAGAGTGAGTAAAAAACTACTTTGTTCCTTTTGCCTTTCATCTACAAGAGTTACAACTGTGTTCTCCGTAACAGGCGAGCTAACTGATGCCAATTCTGAATTCACAATATCCATTAGATTTGTCGTAGTTTCTCTACGTTTAACATGTGACTTTTTCCGTCTCTGTCCTGGCTTTTGAACAGGCTCTACATCTAAGTCTGTAAAGAAATCATATTCCTTATGTTTCGAAGCTTTTCTTGTGGTGGTAAAATCGTCTTGATGAGATTGAAAAGTAATTTCGTGATACTCTTCATTATCGCTTTCCGTATTTGCACTGACACAAAATGAGCGTAATTCAATATTTTCAAGCATTGTGGTTATTATTATATAACATTAAAAAAAGAAATTTAAAGTTGATGACTTATAACAAGCATTTTATTGTTTAGCTAAAATAACTGTTTGTTGTCGCGCCAAAAGTTGTCATGGTGATTTACATTGTCTGTGGTTACTATTTTGGCGCCATTTTATTCATCGCCTTGAAAGAAATAATACATCTATGCTTGGGACATAATTCTACAACTGTACTACTGTACGAGTATAAAAGTTTTGGCTCTAGGCTCTAACCTTCACAGCAAAGAGAAGTACAAAAATTAATTATCCTAAGAATTGACTGTATAAATGTAATATTCTTGGCTTTAACAGAATAGCAGATAAAAAAAATGTTCTCTGTGGTGACCTGTATTGCCAGATGTACATCTACTTTGGCGTTTTTTACCGCCTTTTTCACAATGGATCCGAAATGGAATTTTTGACCTATGCAGTTTCGTTTTTCGAATGTACACTTTAGTTATAGATTAAAAAATGTTTGTGCCATTAGTTTGATCGCTTAAAAAGCCATCCGCTTATCATATTAGCACTTTTCCACGAGTTGAATTTGCCTGCTGCGTGCGTGAAAACATAAGCAATAAATAAACAACGATATTAAATATCTTAGATACACCACGTAAAGTGCTGTTTTTTAGACAGGTACCTAATCATTGTTTGTTCATTTAACACATTTAAAGCAAATTTGCTCTAATACTTACTATAAACTGATTTAATAGAAAATATTTGTGATATTTAAATGCATGGTCGGTAATATAGCCGTCTCTTTTCCTCATGGTCCGTATCTGCTGTATTGGTAACAGCGCATTCAGAATTGCGTGTATAGTCAAAGAAATAAAATCTATATTCTTCCGCATATGTATAAGTCGTAAAATTTTATGAGCCTGCCTTTCGAAGTGTCATTCATAACACTTTATCGCTTGCGTTTTAATTAAGACCTTATGCAATATGCATTAAAGGTGACTTTCAATGTTCAAAAAATATAAAGCCTTATATTGTTTTTGACTACGCTATCATCTTACGGAGCTGTCATTGAATAAATCAAAATAAATACTTATTTTTTTTGCTTGTCATTGAACTATTGTACTATCTACTTCAGTTTCGTCTTTCTTTCGCGAACTACCTATTCTTTACATGTGGTGCTCGTCCCTACTGTAGGCCTATTCGCTAACTGCTTTTTAGAGATGGAAGTGATAATCATCGAGCTATTTAGTGATCCACTAGTTACTGCTTTATTATAACGCCAACAATTTTCTCTTTAGTTACACACTGTAAATGTTATCAATAAAACTATGTCAACAATAAGAGTACAACTCTAAAATATATTCTTTTTCAATGTGAATTTTGTATACAATTTTATTGGTATATTCATGATTTTTGTACAATTGGGTCGAGAAAATTTGTGACGTAAACTCAATAGAACTCAATGATTGTATTATTCGGTTATAAAAAATACCAGTATATATTCAAAAATCTTTGCTAAGACATGACTACGACTTACACATGAAATGATAATTCCGAGTTATTGATTCTTTCTTTTACCATTCTTGATCAACAGAACACAGCTGGACACGGCATTATAAATGTATGAATTCATTTCAATTTATGAAAATACCACACGTCGCCGCAATGTTGTAAGCAGCTTACAAGGATACTGACATAATTTACACTGATACTCAGCATTGTCAAACTTACGCCAACTCTGGCAACTGCTCTTTCACTCATAGGTACATCTACAGGTTAGATAAAGATGCATGGAAAGCAGTTCCTTCCGTCATTCAGTTTGTCAAACTTCCGTCCATTTGATACTATGTCTATGATCCGCGTATTTTTTGTCCAGATTACAGCGTTTTTCACATCCTGATATGGCAGCACTTGCTGGCTGGGCTACGTTCCAAACCTATGCTCCGAGTGTAACTTTTACACAGATTTTTCAATTTTCTTTCCAAATGTGTAAGTGGTGTCGATTCTAGCAGGATTCTCTAAACTTAAAACTAAATTTGACATCAGTCTGTCCTTTTCAGTCTGTATAGAGAATGACAGAGATACAATGTTGTCAAATTTAATTTTAGCTTTAGAGAATCATGCCAGAATCGATACCATTGTATGAAACTTATAGTCAAATTGTTACACTTTCAGCGTAGCTTTGGAACGCAGCGTGCTATTACAGCTGTGGTCCATGTCATGTCATATTCCCAAAACAAACACACATTTTTCATTGTTTTGTTTTAAAATTAGATCTCATTATGGCAAAATTCTCTTTAGATGATAGTGAAGAGTATTATATAAAACTGTCCGATCAACCAAAACGATTCGATGCCGATAGTCCTGTTACGAACGTGTTTTTCGATGACACCAATGGCCAGGTAAATAAAATCAAAACATCCAAGTTTCTTCATACCTATCTTATTTTAATTTTGTTTTGAACATCTAGCAGTTAAATGCTTAAAAAATGTAATCTAAGTTTCTTTTTCATATTCCTTACAGTATTCTAAAGATATGCGTACTAAATTTATCACTTTTTAGGTATTTACCGTCAGATCAGGAGGCGTGACTGGAGTAACTGTTATAGGAATGGATAACTCTAAGAATACGTCTTTCCGAATGGAAGACAGAGGTCCAATAATTTCCATAAAATTCTCTCCTGACCATAAAATACTGGCCATTCAAAGAAACCATGAGAGTCAAAACCCTGTTATAGAATTTGTGAACTTCAAAGATTTAGCACCTACCAATGTGGAATATTCTCATACTTGCAAATGGAAAAATGCCAAACTTGTTGGCTTTGTGTGGCCTAAAGCTAATGAGATTGCATTTGTGACAGACCATGGTATAGAGCTATTGCAGGTTTTGCCTGAAAAAAAGCAGTTGAAGAGTTTAAAAAGCACTTCTTTCAGGTAAAAAATATGTTATTGCTATAGAATTAGCTTATTTGTTTTAGGGGGCGTCCATAAATTACGTGAGATGTTTAAGGGGGGAGGGAGTCGAGTCAAATCTCATCTGATCTTACGTTGGAGAGAGGGGGGGCCTAGGCAAATATCACGCAATTTTTTTTCTGATATAAACAAAAAAAATATATACTATTTTGGTCCATTGAATCCAGATTGTACATGCTTAAGATTTAACACAGAAAATTCAAAAAAACACCTCACGTAATTTATGGACGCCCCCTTAGCAGCATTTTTTTAATTAAATAAATTTATTTTTTCTTATCTGTTTCTTAGGTTTTCATGGACATCACTCATTAAAATAAATTTAGTTTCACAGCCTTTTCAGGTCTGCATCGAAAAGGCTGCGAAAAGTCAATAAATAAATAAAGTTTGGCATTAACCCGTTAAAACTAGTTTCATTTTATTTTTTCTTTCAACAATGAATAATCAAGTGTTGATGGTTTTACAGTGGAGCCTGGTTTTCCTGGTGCGCCTTAAGCAACATAGTTCTACTTGCCGGCAACAATGGAGCTCTACTACAGCCGTTCTTATTAAACAACTCCAGCATCACAAAACTGCAGAAACTTGAATGTTTGTACACGAAATAATGATATTCTTACTCTTATATTCATCAATGTTTTGTTCGAATTCAGTTGTAGTTTGTTCTTACACAACATTAGTAGGTTTATAATAATAATTGTTTATTCTAGGCATAAAAAACCCAATAAAAAGTCATATACAAAATAAAAAAAAAGTAAAAGTGTAAACAAAATAATAATAAAAAAATAAAATAAAATCATAAAAGCATAAAAGAACAGTAAATATATATATATAATATTGTGGGTTTACCTATAATGCGAAGAGATGGCGCTGCCTTGCAGCTTAAGAATAGCTAGAAGGAATTTCGACGCGGTCCGTGAGGGCCGCGGTAGCATAATTGGTCAGTGCATTCGCCCGGATTGCGAAGGGTGCGGGTTCGAGTCCCGTCTGCTGCCTGGTCCGCGTGGATTTTTTTCTAGTTATATTTTCTTTAGATTTAAACATCAAGCAGTTACATGCTTTAAAAATAATAAAAAAATAAAAAAATTATAAGAACAGTAAAAGTAAAATAGGTAGTATAATATTACCTACGTCATTTAAGGTTCTCACTCTGGCGCACTGAAATCCAGTATTTGAATAAAGGATTGTCTAGTCCTTTGCATACAGTTTTGATTATGCTGTTATCAGAAAGACTATTCGTGACCAAAAAGAGGCTATACGTCTTCTCATAACATAACGATGTATAGGTTGTTATTACCTGTGAAAATTTTAAATTTATATGATTAGATGTCTGACTTAAACATGTTTATTGTTTATTGATTTTGAAGGCAGACGAGGAAACAAGCCACCTGATGTTAAGTATACATTGTCACCCATGGACATTAGAAATGCCAGTAATAAGCCATGCTGCCTTTCGGGGAACACTCTATTTAAGCCTCTCTTGAAGTGGACCATGTTATAGTACTGAGGGATCACTGTACAGGGAAGCCCATTCCATAATTTAATAGTAGTTACCACTGAATGATCGACATACATGAAAGCCTGTATTAAATTTGACTGATTGAAATTTATTGTAAGTGTGTTGTAACCATTTTGAGTAGGTAGGAATTTGGTTGACTTTTAATGAAAATGATTGTAATTGCTTGTTTTCATAACGCATACTTCATAACGTATAACCATAAATAGTTAATTATTTATACACAGTAGGCTACCAAAGTATGTATTTGTAACGTGTTAAAAACATAACATGAGTTTTGTTTGTTTGATGAGAGAGATAGAAGGCATCTGTTTAGGTTGTTTCACTGCTTTCGTTTACGATAGATCGTTTTTGCTAGTTCATGCGTTTTTTTTCTGTGGCTTTACAAGGCTTCTAGACTAATTCCTTTGCTTGTCTTTTGGAAGGAAGAGAATTTTTATGTCACTTCACAACATAATTTTTCACCTACAAGATGGGAATTTAGTAATCTCAATTGTTGTCATGTTGAACTTGTAAGTTTATCAATGGTTTTTAATCACACTAACATTATAAAGGCGAAAGTTTGTGAGTATGTGAGTGTGTATTTTTTTAATTACTTCTTCACATCTAAACGGCTGGAGCGATTTTAATAAAATTTGGTATGGAGTTAGCTGACACCCTAGATTAACACATAGGCTACTTTTATCCCAAAAAAATGTTAGGTTCCAGAGGTATTTTCAAGAAACTAAGTTAACGCAGACGAAGTCGCGGGCGACCTCTAGTATGATATATATTGTAAATGATAAAACATTCTAATTGTAGTGGATGCTGCTAGACCTGTGGTAGAAAGAGATGTGTTTCTGCTACGATTATGTGACGCTACATGGTGCGCCGTATTCCGTCACGGTGTGACCACAAACGTCACTGCACCAGGACCCACTGAAGTGAGTATTAAAATTCTTATTTGTTTCTTAGGTTTTCACACACATCACTCATTAAATAAAACTAGTTTTAACGGGTTAATGCACGAAACTTTATTTATTTATTGACATTTAATAAAAACTCATTCTGACGAAGCAGCCTGGCAAGGCTGCGAAACGTCAATAAATAAATAAAGTTTCGTGCATTAACCCGTTAAAACTAGTTTTATTTATTAAGATTCTTGATTTTTATTTTCATCTGGCGACAGTTCTTTTAAGAAATAAATTCACAATCCTTTGAATTTTAGAATCTGTCAGTTTGGTTTTATATTCCTTATCATCAGCCTATTAATGCCCCACTGTTGGGGATGCCTTTCCTGGATGGAATAGGGAGATTGTGCAACTAAAATATTATTATTTAATAATAAACTTTTGCAATAACATAACAATGAGAAATATAAGGAGGAGCTCGATGGCGCAGATGATTAACGCGTTCGACTGCGATCGTTGAAGTTAAGAACCTTTCGCACTGGTCAGTCATAGGATGGGTGACCAAAAATCTTCTATCTCAAGTTCCTCCGTGCTTCGGTAGGCACGTTAAGCCGTTGGTCCCGGCTGCATCTGCAGTCGTTAGCACCCGCCAATCCGCACTGGGCCCGCGTGGTGGGTCATGGCCCAGTCTCCCTATTCCATCCATAGGGAAGGCCTGTGCTCCAGCAGTGGGGATTACTAGGCTGATGATAAATAATAATAAATAATAAATAAATATTTCCAACACTCACACCAATTAGCCTAGCCCCAAAGTAAGCACTGTAAAGGCTTGTGTTATGGGATACTAGGATAACGGATAGAATACATATATTGTACATATATAAGTATATTTTATATGAAATACATATTAAACATCCATGACTGGAGTACAAATGCTCGTATTCATCATACAAACATCTGCCCCCACCGGGATTTGAACCCGGGACCTCTCGAGTTGGCGACGCCATGGAACCCGGCTTATAAACCACTCGGCCACGGAGGTAGGCTTGTTGAAAATATATCGATGTATCGATATATCGATATTTTTTGTTCGATATATCGATATTTTTTACCGATATATTTTGATTCGATATATCGAAATTCGTATCAAAAACCATATTTTTTTAATTATTAGCTGCATATCACGATCTAACTAAATTCGTATCTGGAAAAATCGTAACTGGATCTCAGATTAATGATATTCAACATATCTATGATCTGTGCTGTATTTAGTATTGTCTATTATTTGTAAATCTGTTTCGCTGGTGAATTGGTTGTGCTGATTTCCATTATATTCTGTGGAAGTGTGTGACTGTCTAGTCTTGTTTACGAAAGATGGCACCTGAGAGGCCCTGCAATCATTTTCATCATTCGAAAATAGGGTCTATTTTTAGGGAGATAATTTTCGTTCCATTATTATTCCGCGTATCATATTTCGTGAGATACTGTACTGTCATGTAGTGTAGCGGCAATTTGGTACTTTAATAATTCTTTTTTTAATTATAATTTGTACTGAACTATTATTACTGTGCTAGGCTGACCTAAATATATATTTTTGGGAAAATTGGTCCGATATATCGATATATCGATGTATCGATATATCGATATTTTTTTCACCTTTCGACATCCCTACACGGAGGTCGTCTGATGATGATGATGATGAATTCTTCTTGCTTTAGGTCTGGTTGTTACTAGTGTCGGGTACAGTTTCACACAGCACGCACATATTGAAGACCGGTTTAGTGGGCCGGTTCGCTGTCAATGTCGTTGATGATCTTGTGGTTGTTCATCATCAGGTAAAATATTCATTATAATATCTATTATTTTATAGCATGTAACTTTTTTTTTTTATAGATAGATCCGACAAATGACTCCACCCCACCTGATGTTAAGTGAAGGTGAAGTCCAGACGCGAAGATAGCTGATACAGCAGTTCTGCCTGCCGCACCAGCCATCCTCACCCTGCCGGCCTGCAAGTTGCTTCTTCACGCCTCTTTTAAAGGATCCCAGGTTGTAAGAGGGAGGGAACACGTGAGCGGGCAGAGAATTCCATTTGCGGATAGTACGACAAAGAAATGAGTCACCAAATTTCTTTGTACGCGTTGGAATTGTGGCCACATTTAGACGGTGACAACGTAGGCCAGCGCGCGTGGTCCTCTGAAGGAAAGGGGAAGGTGGAATAAGAGAGAATAACTCCTCAGAACACTCGCCGTGGTACAGATGTAACTGCTTGATGTTTAAATCTAAAGATAATATAACTAGAAAAAATTCCACGCGGACTAGACAGCAGACGGGACTCGAACCCGCACCCTTCGCAATCTGGGCGAATGCACTGACCAATTATGCTACCGCGACCCTCACGGACCGCGTCGAAATTCTTCTAGCCATTCTTAAGCTGCGAGGCAGCGCCATCTCTTCGCATTCTATGTAACCCACAATGTCAAATGAATACTTTTACAAGTATTAAAAATAGCATTTAAAATATTCATTTTTAATTACCATACATTAGGAAAGGAATAGTACTTATTCACATAGTGAGTTAAATCTCGTCCAATTTATTTCATATGCAACATATCAGCAATTTGGCTTTTTATAAATGTTATTTCTGAGCTTGTGAGCTACATCACACTTAATATTATAAAGGCGAAAGTATGTGAGTGTTGTTTTTTGTTACTTCTTCAGGTCTAAACGGCTGGAGCGAATTTAATAAAATTTGGTATGGAGTTAGCTGATACCCTGTATAAACACATAGGCTACGTTTTACTGCGGAAAAATATCCCTAATAAACCGCGGGTAACTCCGCGGGGCACAGCTAGTATTACATAATCTCCTGATTATGTAATTTATGTAACTTATGTATGTAATATATCTAACAACTTCCTAGTTACACGGTATCACCATTGCACCAGTTTGTAAGAAGCGAACTTCATTGAAAAAAATATTTATTAATTAACTACGCAAATACAATATAATATAATTTATTCATTGAAAACACTACACTGCATATACCCTTTAAGTAAGCTTAACTTTATTAGAAGTAAGACCGTAATAGGGTATTTGACAGTATTAAAAATAAAAGTGCCAATTGTTAGCATCTGTGTTTAGAATGAATATTGGCAGGGGCTTTTACTATTTTGACAAAAAAAAATATCCATTATTTTACTAAAAACCCACGAAAAAGATAATAGTTTTCTTATCTATTGTCACGTGACCCAAAACGCTTGGGATTGGCGGAGTCTAAAATGACGTCACACGCACGAAACTTCCAGTCAAAGTGACATTACATTGTATCGTTTGACGTTTTAAGAACAGTCGTGTGACGTCACACACTAGTAAGACGCCAAGTTTTCGCGGCAACTTGAAAACGGAGTTTTTGATTTGGTTATTTTTACTGAAATACACAACAGAATGATGAATATCTTTAATATACTTTTTACGGACTCCATTAACATTAGTCAATAACGTGAGATCGTTTTCTAAAACTTGTCAAATACCCTATTAGCGTACGATTCAGTGATAAATCCCTAATATTATAATGTGAAAGTTTGTTAGTATGCTTACTTAATCACGCAAAAACGGCTGAACGGATTGGAATGAAATTTGGCACATATACATTAATTGAGTGAGACATGTAAGAATGTTTACATTCTATATTATATCATTCTCAAAAAAAACCTAATTAGAACACTTACGAAACCGGGAGCGGAGCTAGTTTGATCGATAACTGTAATAGGGATAAAAATAAATAAATGAAATAAAAAGTATTTTTATTGACATATGTGCATACAATAAAACAAAGATGAAACGGTCCCAGTAAGTAATTAAGAGATAATGTCAATTTTCTTCTTCTTCTTTGATAGGAAGATTACCAAAAAGTAGTAGACAAGTTATTTATTATTTTTCATTTTTCTACATAATCAAAACATTGGTGTAGATTCTGGCGTGATTCTCTAAACTTAAAACTAAATTTAACATCAGTCTTCCCTTTCATTCTGTATACAGAATGACAAAGATGCACTGTTGTTAAATTTAAGTTTAGCTTTAAAGAATCATGTCAGAATCGACATCATTGCTGAGTTAATATTGATTTATAAATTTTACCTACAAGTGACATCACGAGAATTAAGATCTTTGTAATAGGGGTGATGACGGGGCACAGTAAACGAAATTTTATTTAGTCCTTCAGTTAGATGATCAAAAAATAATGGACACGTATTTTTTCTTTGGGCAATCAACCAAAAAATGACAAAGTTATAGCGCGTCAAAGTTTGGGAGTAGGGGCTCTTGACGTCACTTTTGAGTGAATTTTCACTTATAAGTGTACTCAAACGTGACGTCATGCGACTTTTCAAATCAATAAATCTCTGCAATGGTTATTTATATTATGTGAAAAAAAAAACGTGTCCAATACTTTTTGATAATCTACCAGATAAACGAAGAAAAGAAAAATAGTCATCATCCCTATTTTTAGTTGATTGGGAAAAAGAAAAAAGCGTGTCCATTATTTTTTGATAATTTAACTGACGAAGGAAGTTTCGCGGTGTCAGACGTTTTGCTATTCAGAGCTTTAATCGTGAATCTTTGCCCCGCGTTTACACCAAAGTATAATACATTTTTTTAACAAAATTTAGACATGTCAAATTTTTGGTCACACTCATATAAATGTATAACATACAATACTTCTATCAATATCATATCAAATGTATATAATATCAATCTTCATTTTTTGTTCACACTCTTAAACATGTATAAAACATGTTGTATGCAACACTTGTATCAAACTTGTTGGAGAAACAAAATACTATGTGAAGTTAATGAGTAATTAATACTTGTCAAGATACTAGTTGTCTATGCAATGTGTAAACGAAACAATGTTTTAAATATAAAGGGTAACTTGTATTTCTTCAAAACCCACAATGTTATTTAGCACTGTATAATTACATCAATAGTACTATAGAAGATATTTAAACTTAGATTTTGAATTCTACAAGAAGATTTAAAGAAAACTACTTTTAGTCTTGGCTGTATGGCGCATTTTGTCGTCTTTGCCTTTTACTAGGTGTGAGCGTTCTAAAGACGAACCGCTTTCAAGGACCGTTTTGTGTTCCGCGACGATAGAACCGTTTTACGTTTCGGAACAAAACAGTCTTCGTCGAACATCTAGTCCTCGGATCGTCTGCACGCCAATATGTTCTTTATGATTAAGTAAATACAGTCTATAATAGAATGCAATGATATGTGGCCGTTTCGTTCTACGATAATTAAGCTTTGATTTTACAATAATATAATCTTTATTCTTGAACACTTAAAGTCGATTATCGTATAACACTACATATATTTCGATGTTTCGTCGTCTCGATCGCAGCCACGAAACGAACGTTTAAAAGATTTCATTTAGTTCAGTTTCGTTGCGTTACATTCGTTCGATCGTCGCGTGTCGTTTCGTTGCGTCGCCCAGCCGCAACCAAAACCAGTTGCGAACGAGAACCGTTTCGAGGACTAGTTTTCGTTTTAGAGAAAACGGTTGCGTTTCGTCGTCAGAAAATTTGAGAACGACCCACCGCTACCTTTTACGTTTAATGAACGGAGAGAACAGAACCAAAAAAAAATGTATATAAAGGGTAATAAAAAGCTCTTCTGAATCGTCCAATATTTTTCCCTCTCACCCATTCAGGACATCTCTTAGCTGATAATAAGAATGGGCCTAGGCAGTGCCGTCCTTGACCTATTGGAGGCCCTGGGCATATTAGGATAATGGGGCCCCTAAGAACTAGGGACTTTGTATTTGATCTAAGGGGGGCCCCTATTGACCGCGGGGCCCTGGGCACTTGCCCAAAGTGCCCACTGTATTGTATTGTAAAGAAATCGGTTAAATGAATGAACAATATAAGTAACGTGTTATATGGTTGCCGCAGTCGTCGCAGACATCGCTGCTGTTCGATATCGCAGAGACCGTGGGCACGGATGGTCACGTGGGGCAGGTGTCCCACGCGCCGCTGCTGCCCCCCGCGCCGCTGCGGCCCGCGCGAGTGCCCGACCTGTGCCCCATGTGTATGTATGGATGGAAAAGGGAGGTCGTGACCCACCACGCATTCCCAGTGCGGATTGGTGGGTCCTAACGACTGCAGATGCAGCCGGGACCGACGGCTTAACGTGCCTTCCGAAACACGGAGGAGCTCGAGATAGTAAATTGCTGGTCACCCATCCAATGACCGACCATTGCGAAAGTTGCTTAACTTCAACGATTGCAGCCGAACGCGCTAACCACTTGCGCCATCGAGCTCCTCCAGTACGAAAGTATGTCGCCATACCATAACATTATGTCAAAATATTCTTTACCTAATTATGGAAAGGCAGTTGACCAACACATGGTATGGTATTATTTGTTTGCACAGACTAAACGGTAATGTTGTTTCGGGCCTATTGCCAAACCTTGTATACGTGTAGTTTATGGGCCAATTGTAGGCGCCGTGTCCAGTAAACCATAAACAATATCCTGCGTGTCCAATACAATAACGCGTTCAGTATGCTGATGGGGCTGCCGCGATATTGTAGCGCATCAAAGATGTTTGCTGACGCCCATGTTGACGATTACTTCGCTATTATGTGCAAAAGAGTAGGTAGCGTCACTGATGCGCAGAATCAGGGCTAGCTCTAACAGCATCTCGTCATAGCAGACAAATTGGTCCGTTGTGGAGACATTGGGTACAATCTCATTTCTCCACATATTATCTAATATATAAAATTCTCGTGTCGCGGTGTTTGTGGTTAAACTCCTCCGAAACGGCTTTCCCGATTCTCATGAAATTTTGTGTGCATATTGGGTAGGTCTGAGAATCGGACAACATCTATTTTTCATCCCCCTAAATGTTAAGGGTAATCCACCCCTAATTTTTTTTTTCAATTTTAGATATTTTTTTTATTATTATTATTTTATGATACAGCATTAGTAAATATATACAACCCTAAATTTTCTCCCTTCTACCACCAACCCCTATTTTTTATGGCGGTACGAAGTTCGCTGGGACAGCTAGTTAAATATAGAAATTAGGTTAAATTGAATTGTACTAACATGGTTTCTAAGTTTTAATGTTACTAACCCTCTATGGACTATACGGTCTGAAATAAATGATCATTATTATTATTATACCACTTTAGACTAAAAAAAATGGTCAAAACTACTTTTATAGTAATATAAGTTATTGAAGGGATTGTTACCATGTACCTTGTTTTTAGCGAGTTTCCGATATTTCGGCACTGTTGCAAGCGCCATGATCACGGAGTAACTGAAGTAATTGCGGGTAGGCTGTTATTGGCAGACATATGGGCCTACCCTCCGACGAAGTCTTTTATTGCGTTCGATACCCGTACCCCTGTTCACATTCTCACTATTCACTCGAAACTGTTCTCGACACACAACACTTACAGTATCGGATCGCGACACGACACTTTTTTGATTATTTCCGGTTTTACACATACGAACCGCAGGATTCCAGACACTGGACAATTTAAACCCGTCCTCACGATTGAAATTTTTATGTTTTGTTATTTCAATCGCTTGGTATGTAGTGGCGTTCTGTCGAGATAATCTTTGGGTTACAAGTAAATAACTTATATTACTATAATGTTAGTGACCATGAAAATTTAAAACAATATAAAAGTACTTTTAAGTAACATACATTTTTGACGGGATAACGTCATGTCACGCTGTCTCGAGTTAGTTCAACGTTCCGCGGTGTTTGCAAGGTGAGTTTTTCTTCGACCCCTCCTCCCCTGGAAGAGTACCTCACCCCCGCGGAGCTTTACTCGGAACCCCCATAGAACTACGGAGGCGTGTTTGGGCTCAAATGAACCGGAACAAAATGTCCTACAGAACTGCCTCGAGGAAAACAGTTGACGACACGTAATCACATAAAATTCATAACAGGTGGAAACCAATTTGGACTGCGAAAATCAGTTAAAATTATGAAAAAAATGGTTGTCTCTAAAGTCAAACCGACTTTAGAGATTTAGATTTTCGCAGTCCAAATTGGTTTCCACCTGTTATGAATTTTGATTGTGCGTGCAACATACCTTTCCCGTGTTTCTTAACCTTTTAGCGGCACCACTTACGACTTTCACCCCCATGCAGTGGCGGACTAACAGGGGGGCGGAAGGGGCGGCCCGCCCCGGGCCTCCGATCTTGGGGGGCCCCCAAATGCCTCCGCGTTCCCCTAATCAAATCCTAAACTAGACTTTAAATATGTGCTTAGTACCTACATAATTTCATTATTTATAATCCGTTCTTTCTAGTCAATATGCAACTACGTTTCTAGTCAATATGTACCATAATGTAGGTATGTATGTTTATTTAGCCGAAAAAATTTAATTGGAATTTAAATTTCACTTGCCAGATTTTAACGAAAGAAACAAAGAAACTAAATTTTTTTTAAAGCTGGGGGCCTCATTCAGCTTTGCCGCCCCGGGCCTCTGACGAGCTTAGTCCGCCACTGCCCCATGTAATATTTTTACGAATGGATTTGCGGAAACCTCAATACTTTTGATGATGTCGTTAGGAGTTTAAGCTGGTTTTTCCCTGACTGGAAATATTTTGGCAGATTCTCGAGGAGAAATAAAGTTAGCCTTTGAAAAGAAAGTGCTGAAGGGCAGTGGTTATGTATAAGTGATGTGGCCAAAGGATTGGGACAAACGCCTAATGAAGAGAGAAGCACTCTTAGATTTATACAATTTCCTTAAGAGCCCTTTTACAAAATTGCGCCGCTGCCGTACTGATCGGCGCGTAGGTGGAGTATATATGCCATTTTACGGGTGTTGTTTCGAGTCTTATAAAATAATTATTAATGAACTAATTATAAAAATATATACATATTTTAGTAGTTCAATGATTTTAGATTAGTTTTTGATAGTAATTCTATTTAATTCAATATCAAAATACCAGGTAAACCTGCATTGTTTTTTTGGGAAAACTCACGGAGGTTAGATTTTCTCTTAATAATTGATGAAATGGAAAATCAAAATTCTATTACATTATGTTACAGCAAAAACACATTTCTGATCCTGTAATTAATTTGATCTAGTTTAATGATCAGACGATTGAAGTTGTGCATATTATGGTTTTTGTCGTAAACTAGCTACAAAAAAAGGAAAATAGTATTTGCAAATATTCTACATTAACTTACAATAAGAAGAATAAATCTACGTTTACTTCTATTGGAAATAGTCAAAATCTTTTCTAAGGGGATAAACGAGGCGCTCAAAAATTACGATTTTTGAAGTGAAACTTCTTTATCGGCGTTGGAAAAAAATTTACCGTCACATTTTTTCGGTTACGCGTCACGTTTTTTGGTTACGCGCCATCTTTTTTTTAAAAGAGCACTATTTACCTCATCCGAACAATTGCTTCTTCTGTAAACTTTAAAAAAAAAAGTATCGACAGCAAATATTCGTGTTTCACAGAAGGTAAGGTAAGGTGTAGTTATACCCCTTTAGTGGGTGAGTTTTTGAAAAATCTTAGCGCACGCCTATATATATATTTCTGGAAAGTTGCATGTAGATCATTTTTCGAAAAAAATAAGGCCATAAAGAAGTTTACTTCTTACGTGTGTACACTAGTACACGCACACATTTTTTTACAAAATATGTGAAAGGGCTCTTGATATTAATTATTTTTAAGAACCATTTGTCTACTAGAACTGGTCAAAGTTTGTGATTGTGTGGTCAGACTCGAGCAACTGGGTGGTGTTCCAACCGGACTATATCATCGACGCGCGCCTCGGGTGCCTGTGGCGAGTCACCTTGGTACCCTCCGCTTTAGCTCACAACGTAAGTTTAGCTCTATTCACGTACAGTAATCTTGTATATCTGTAGAGCAAGTATAACCTACTTTAATCACGTAGCTGTATCTAAGAAATGCAAAATATTTAAAAAATCTTTATTAAAACCGAAAGCCTTAAAACTATTTACAATATTTTATCCTTCCACCGTTAGAACTTTAAGATTTTGACGACCTGGCCGAGTGGTTTGTACGCCGGGTTTCATGGTGTCGCCTATTCGAGAGGTCCCAGGTTGGAATCCCGGTGGAGGCAGATGTTTGTCTGATGAAAACGATCATTTGTACTCCAATCATGGATGTTTAATATGGTTTTCTATATAAATATACTTATATATGTATCAGTGTATGTATTCTATCCGTTACCCTAGCATCCCATAACACAAGCCTACAGTGCTTATTTCGGGGCTAGGCTAATTGTTGAGTGTTTAAAAATACTAAAAAAGATAAAACGAAAGGCTGCATGCCGCCTTAGATAAAATAGGGTATTTAACAAGTTTGAGTAAACGATCTCACGTTATTGACTAATGTTTATGGAGTCCGTAAAAAGTGGATATACATCATTAAGTGGTATATTTCAGTAAAAATAACCAAATCAAAAACTCCATTTTCAAATTGCCGTGAAAACGTTTCTCTGGACAATATGGCGTCTTGCAAGTGTGTGACGTCACACGACTGTTATTAAAACGTCAAACGATACAATGTAATGTCACTTTAACCGGAAGTTTACTCGCGTGTGACGTCATTTTAGGCTCCGCCAATCCCAAGCGTTTTGGGTCACGTGACAAAAGATAAGAAAACTATTATCTTTTTCGTTGGTTTTTAGTAAAATTATGAATATTTTTTTGTAGATAAAAACCCCTGCCAATATTCATTCTAAACACAGATGCTAACAATTGGCACTTTTTTTTCAAACACTGTCAAATACCCTATTGACTTGTACAGTAACGCATGCTTCCGACTATTTATACGCCTAGATATACCAATCCAAATAAACCACACAATGGATCATGTTACACGCAATGTGTGCGTGACTCTAATGTAAGATTGTTTGAAAGCAGCCAATGCGTGCTCGTGTGTAGTAACGAGCATATCTACCATCATCATCATTAGTCTATTAATGTCCCCACTGCTGGGGCGCAGGCCTTCCCTATGGATGGAGTAGGAAATTTGGACCATGATCCATCACGCGGACCCAGTGCTGATTGGCGGGTGCTAACGACTACAGCAGCCGGGTCCAAACATCGAAGATTTTTGGTCACCCATTCAATGACCGACCACTGTGAAAGTTGCTCAAGAAGAAGATTCAACGATCGCAGCCGAACGCGCTAACCACCTGCGCCATTGAGCTCCTCATTCAACATTATAGTAATGTATGTTATTTATCATTGTACCTTGTTTTTAGCGAATTTTGCAGGAGTAACTTTTTACTCCGTGATCATGGCGCTTGTAACAGTGCCGAAATATTAGAAACTGCAGCCAACGATATTAAATGCCCTAGATACACCACGTGCGCTCAAAATGTGTCCCAATCAAAAAGTGCTTGAATGCCACTCAAGCACTTCTTGGTTCACAGTCACGCGCGGACCGTTGAAAAGTTAAGTTGCCGCAGAGCTCCGTGAAAAAATGTGAAAAAAATACTTATAGTATGTAGAGTGTCGTTTTTTCGACAGGCATTGAATCAATGTTTGTTAATTTAAATTATTCGAAGCAAATTTTGTTCTAATACTTACTATAATAAACTGATTTAATAGAAAATATTTGTGATATTCAAATGCATGGTAATATAGTCTCTTTTCCACGCAGTCCGTACCTGCTATATTGCTAACAGCGCATTCAGAATTGCGCGTAGAGTCAAAGAAATTAGGCCTATATTCTTCCGCATATAGCAATAAGTCGTAAAATTTTACGAGCTTGCGTTTTGAACTGTTATAACTCTTTGACGCATGCGTTTTAATTAAGACCTTATAAAGTATGGATAAAAGGTGACTTTCAATGTTTGAATAATGCCTGATATTGTTTTTGATTACCCCATCATCTTACGGAGCGCCGTGGATAGTCCAATGTACCTTTTGGACAGGTTTCGGGCTCGATTTTGTTCGTGTTGGTGTATCTAGGGTATTAAATATCGTTGACTACAGCTAAAAAACAAGGTACATGGTAGCTATCCCGTAAATAACATAAATTATTATGACTTATTGTAAATCTACGCAATGATGTGGGGACATTAATAGGCTTATGATGATGATGGTGATGATGGCTATAATGTTAGTGGCCATAAAAGTTTAAAACATTATAATTAGTGCCTTTCACCAGATACCGAAGGACGACATACCCAGGATTGTAGCAGTGCTGCTTCGAAGGTCAGATTCCGAAGACACCATATACAGGATACTGGTCCAACTGGTTGAGAATACTGACTCATATCTTGTCGAATTAACGAAGGTCTTTGATGAAATCAACAGCGTTTATAAGTAAGATTAATATTTTATTTATTAATGTACTAGCGGTCGTCAACGACTTCGTCCGCGTTAATTTTATTTTTTGGAAAATTCCCCAGAAACCTAACACTTTTCCGGGCTATATAGTATCATATGTCTTTTTCCATTTATGAGCTATCTGTGTGTAAAATTTCAACCAAATCTATTCAGCCGTTTTATCGTGGCGCTAGGAGCTGGCGAATATACAAACTTTCAAGTTTTACTTCAAAAATCTTGATGGCATTTTTGTTTGCGCTTTGTTTCGTGGTGTTTTATTTTTTATATTATATATAAAACAGAATAGATTTATCATCATCGCCCATAGACGCCTACAACACCAGGAGTATCACAAATGCGTCGGTCTTTAAGGATGGAGTTTGTTCTTTTTTTAAGGGTTTTCAGGTCGTATTTTCACAGTTTTGTCATACGTAATAAAATATTTCGACAAAATCGTAAAGTTACGCATAGCCACGCATCAAGATGGTGGCGGTGATGTTTTTTACAGATTGCTTCTTTCCTATACTAAAAGTCCACATCTGTCTGCTTTGTATTCATAGCAACTTTGACGATGCGAAACTATACGAAGCGATGTTTAACACTAGCCGGTTGACGATAAATACACTCTGAGAATAGGGTATTTGACAAGTTTTAGAAAACGACCTCACGTTATTGACTTATGTTTATGGAGTCCGTAAAAATAATATATATATATATAAAAGGATATTCATCATTCTGTTGTGTATTTCAGTATAAATAACCATGACAAAAACTCTATTTTCAAGTTGCCGCGAAAACGTTTCTCTGGACAATATGGCGTCTTACTAGTGTGTGACGTCACACGACTGTTATTAAAACGTCAAACGATACAATGTAATGTCACTTTAACCGGAAGTTTACTTGCGTGTGACGTCATTTTAGGCTCCGCCAATACCAAGCGTTATGGGTCACGTGATAATAGATAAGAAAACTATTATCTTTTTCGTGGGGTTTTAGTAAAATTATGACATTTTTTTTTTGTGAATATAGTTAAAACCCCTGCCAATATTCATTCTAAACACAGATGGTAACAATTGGCACTTTATTTTTAATACTGTCAAATACCCTATTGCTCGGGATGCGTGCGATAAAAAATGACATAGGTCCTTCCTCCAAGGGCGCTGGCGTTATTGATTGGCAATTTTTACGGGTGAGCGCCGCCACGCTAGAAATCGGTTCTACGTGCGCCAAAAGATGTTTCACATCAAAATTCTTGCTTGGCCCTTTATGCTGGTCCGATATTGATACGATCTTGTGGTTCACAGACAATGGGCGGAATGTGAAATGGCACGGAGTGTAGCGGGAGTGGGAGGCAATGCAGGGACAGAAGTCGGCTCCCGCACGCCCGTGGTGGTGTCGCAGACGGACTTCTGTACCCGAGTACTGCACGCGCGGGCTCATATGCCGAGATTAGTACAGGTAACTTGAACTATGTAAGTGATTATTCCGGCTCGAAGGACCAAACGTTGAAGTTTGTATGTGAATGCTTAAAAAATTAAAATATAACTAGCAAACCAGTGAACCAAATGTTCACCAAAACCTGATTAAAAAAAAATGTATTTAATTAATTGAGAACTTCGGAGAATTTGTGTGGTTTCGTTTGAAATTCGTGATTTCTCGAAAACCGGAAGTGCTACGTTACGCAAATCCGGTTTGTAGTGTTATCAGACTATTCTTAACTTATAACTTAAATATTCTTTTTATGCTCTTACGGGTTGACCGCTGAAACAGCACCACAGACGGACGCACGGACTTGTCTAATAGATAAGAGATTATTTAAAGCTACTTAAAATTTGTTCTGTATTTCCGACCACAAGATCTAAGTCATCGTTATTTACATGTAAGAGTCTTTCGCTCAGCTCATTCCCCATGCGGCAGGTGGTGGCAGCATACGCTGCGTCGCTGTGGCGGCAAGGGCTCGTGGTCCAGCAGCCCGTAGCCGAGGCCTGCGTCCGCGTGCTGGTGTCCCACGGGCGGGGCGGCCGGCTGCGGGCGCTGGTGCGGCGACGCTGCCTGCCCGACTCCAGGCCCCTCGCCTGCCAGCTGCTGGCCCTGGGGGAGCTGCAGCTGGCGCTCGACATGATGGCCCGCCTGCAGCGCACCGCGGTCCGTGCTCGCGGCCCTCCCTCCTCCAGTATATAGTGTGCCCCACTGGCAGCTGACGTGCGGCCCGCTGCCTGCCCGACTCCAGGCCCCTCGCCTGCCAGCTGCTGGCCCTGGGGGAGCTGCAGCTGGCGCTCGACATGATGGCCCGCCTGCAGCGCACCGCGGTCCGTGCTCGCGGCCCTCCCTCCTCCAGTATATAGTGTGCCCCACTGGCAGCTGACGTGCGGCCCGCTGCCTGCCCGACTCCAGGCCCCTCGCCTGCCAGCTGCTGGCCCTGGGGGAGCTGCAGCTGGCGCTCGACATGATGGCCCGCCTGCAGCGCACCGCGGTCCGTGCTCGCGGCCCTCCCTCCTCCAGTATATAGTGTGCCCCACTGGCAGCTGACGTGCGGCCCGCTGCCTGCCCGACTCCAGGCCCCTCGCCTGCCAGCTGCTGGCCCTGGGGGAGCTGCAGCTGGCGCTCGACATGATGGCCCGCCTGCAGCGCACCGCGGTCCGTGCTCGCGGCCCTCCCTCCTCCAGTATATAGTGTGCCCCACTGGCAGCTGACGTGCGGCCCGCTGCCTGCCCGACTCCAGGCCCCTCGCCTGCCAGCTGCTGGCCCTGGGGGAGCTGCAGCTGGCGCTCGACATGATGGCCCGCCTGCAGCGCACCGCGGTCCGTGCTCGCGGCCCTCCCTCCTCCAGTATATAGTGTGCCCCACTGGCAGCTGACGTGCGGCCCGCTGCCTGCCCGACTCCAGGCCCCTCGCCTGCCAGCTGCTGGCCCTGGGGGAGCTGCAGCTGGCGCTCGACATGATGGCCCGCCTGCAGCGCACCGCGGTCCGTGCTCGCGGCCCTCCCTCCTCCAGTATATAGTGTGCCCCACTGGCAGCTGACGTGCGGCCCGCTGCCTGCCCGACTCCAGGCCCCTCGCCTGCCAGCTGCTGGCCCTGGGGGAGCTGCAGCTGGCGCTCGACATGATGGCCCGCCTGCAGCGCACCGCGGTCCGTGCTCGCGGCCCTCCCTCCTCCAGTATATAGTGTGCCCCACTGGCAGCTGACGTGCGGCCCGCTGCCTGCCCGACTCCAGGCCCCTCGCCTGCCAGCTGCTGGCCCTGGGGGAGCTGCAGCTGGCGCTCGACATGATGGCCCGCCTGCAGCGCACCGCGGTCCGTGCTCGCGGCCCTCCCTCCTCCAGTATATAGTGTGCCCCACTGGCAGCTGACGTGCGGCCCGCTGCCTGCCCGACTCCAGGCCCCTCGCCTGCCAGCTGCTGGCCCTGGGGGAGCTGCAGCTGGCGCTCGACATGATGGCCCGCCTGCAGCGCACCGCGGTCCGTGCTCGCGGCCCTCCCTCCTCCAGTATATAGTGTGCCCCACTGGCAGCTGACGTGCGGCCCGCTGCCTGCCCGACTCCAGGCCCCTCGCCTGCCAGCTGCTGGCCCTGGGGGAGCTGCAGCTGGCGCTCGACATGATGGCCCGCCTGCAGCGCACCGCGGTCCGTGCTCGCGGCCCTCCCTCCTCCAGTATATAGTGTGCCCCACTGGCAGCTGACGTGCGGCCCGCTGCCTGCCCGACTCCAGGCCCCTCGCCTGCCAGCTGCTGGCCCTGGGGGAGCTGCAGCTGGCGCTCGACATGATGGCCCGCCTGCAGCGCACCGCGGTCCGTGCTCGCGGCCCTCCCTCCTCCAGTATATAGTGTGCCCCACTGGCAGCTGACGTGCGGCCCGCTGCCTGCCCGACTCCAGGCCCCTCGCCTGCCAGCTGCTGGCCCTGGGGGAGCTGCAGCTGGCGCTCGACATGATGGCCCGCCTGCAGCGCACCGCGGTCCGTGCTCGCGGCCCTCCCTCCTCCAGTATATAGTGTGCCCCACTGGCAGCTGACGTGCGGCCCGCTGCCTGCCCGACTCCAGGCCCCTCGCCTGCCAGCTGCTGGCCCTGGGGGAGCTGCAGCTGGCGCTCGACATGATGGCCCGCCTGCAGCGCACCGCGGTCCGTGCTCGCGGCCCTCCCTCCTCCAGTATATAGTGTGCCCCGCTGGCAGCTGACGTGCGGCCCGCTGCCTGCCCGACTCCAGGCCCCTCGCCTGCCAGCTGCTGGCCCTGGGGGAGCTGCAGCTTATTGAGTACCATAAAATTAGTTCTAAAATCTTATCGAATAAACCGATTTCGATGATTCAAAAAGTATATTAATTAAAAAGCTTATTAGAACATTATACTGTTGATTTTGTGATCTAACAATGATCCTCATTTCCAACAGGACATAGTGGAAGTGCTCCTCGGGTGGGACGAGCCGGTAGCCGCAGCGGGCGTATCCAGATCCTCAGGCGGGGTCCCGGTCCCGGTCCCGGCTCGCAAGCTGTTGGCGGCGGCGCGGCCCCGCCCCCCGCACACTTTCCTGGCGCTCTACCACGCGCTGCAGCTGCAGCCCGTCACCTCCGCGCCAGGTGCGTATGTATGCTGACATACCGCAGCGGGGCCGGGGCCGGGGGTGTCTACATCTACAGGCGGGGGTGGGGCCCGGTCCCGGTCCCGGTCCCGGTCCCGGCTCGCAAGCTGTTGGCGGCAAACAGAACCTATATAGTAATCGCATTACTGCGTGCCTTATACACTTGTCTGACCAGTTTTACTTAACAATTGGTAGGGAACTCTCGATACATTTTCAATGTCTATTGTTAGAAAAGTGTTATTTGCATCGATCAAATGAAAAAACAAGTTTTACTTTTATATTCGCCCTGTAGATAATAATAATCATTGGTGTGACGCTAATTACCACAGATAAGAAATTATGTCGACTTTATTAAAAATGTTACTTAGCACTGATAACAGTGATATAATATGCTATTTGGTAATGGTAATTGAACTTATTGTTTATTTGATAACAGATTTGATAAAAGTAACTAACCTAGTAGACTCTAAAGAAGCTCTTTAAGAGGAGCTCGATGGCGCAAGTGGTTAGCGCGTTCGGCTGCAATCATTGAAGTTAAGCATCTTACGCAGTGGTCGGTCATAGGATGGGTGACCAAAAATTTACTATCTCGAGCTCCTCCGTGCTTCGAAAGGCACGTTAAGCAGTTGGTCCCGGCTGCATCTGCAGTCGTTAGTCCAACCAATCCGCACTGAGCCTGCGTTGTGGAATCATGGCCCAATCTCCCTATTTCATCCATAGGGAAGGCCTGTGCCTCAGCAGTGGGGACATTAATGATATACTAATAAATGTGTATTGAATTTCAGTTTACAATAAATTACTATATTCCTTCTCATTAATAGGCTGATGATGAGACTCAACGGAATTGTTACCATGTAGGTACCTTGTTTTTTACAAGTCTCCGATATTTCGGCACTGTTGCAAGCGCCATGATCTCGGAGTAACTGAAGTAACTGAGGGTAGATGTTATTGGCAGACGTGTAGGTCTATTCTCTGACGTCGTCTTTTACAGCGCTCGATACCGGAAATATCGGAGACTCATAAAAAACAAGGTCCAAAGGTCACCCATCCAATGACTGACCACTGCGAAAGATGGTTAACATAGTAACAATTCCGTTAATAGCTGTAATGTTAGTGACCTAGCAGACTCTGTATATTGTTTATAATTTGCAGTTTCATTTTCAAACTATTGTTTAATAAAATATGACAACTTTCCCTATTTCAGGTGAACAGTGTGACATATATGACGAGTATTATAAACAACTGACATCAGAACAGACATCATAGCATGGATTTTTATAGTTAATTACTTAATAAAAGACTTGACACTCATGCCTATAATGTAACTGTTACTGTAAATTAATATAACCAGCAACATAAAATTGTAACCGTTAATAAATTCCTGACTGAATTATTAAAATAGAGATTTATCATCAAGTAAGAAATTAATCATAATAAAAATGATACCTATTATGTTATGTTATTGTAAGTGAGAGTATTTAAGATTATGTAAATGTATATGTTGTTATGAATAAAATGTTGACTCTCAAATTGTGTTGTATATTCTACTAGCGGCCTGCCCTCGCTTCGCTTCGGTGTAGAGCTGAAGTGGAGACTACAGTTTTTGTTCTCAGGCTTGTATTATACACAGTGACATTCATCTATGGTTCTTCTTATACCTGCATGCAAAGTCTTAGCCCGATCGGTTTAAAATTGACAAAGTCATACAAACTTTCATTCCCTATTTTATCTTCTTGGGGGTAGAATTGATCAAAATCCTTTCTTAGTGGATGCCTACGTCATAACATTTACGTGCGTGCCAAATTTCAGTCCAATCCGTCCAGTTGTTTGGGCTGTGCATTGATAGATCACTATGTCAGTCAGTCACCTTAATAGATTGAAGGGAAAGGATCTGAAAGCATGTACTTGAAGCTAATATAAGATTTATAGATGTACTGAATGGTGACACACCACAATAATGGTTTTTTCTTATTCAAAAAAGTAAAGCACATATTAAAAGATTAAATTATTTAATTTTGAATCTTGCACAGTTAGTGTTTCTTTTGGTTATAGATAAACAACAGGTAACATTGGTAAATGCAGAGATGTAACTAAAACTTAACCTCAAAAATGTACAACAGCACGAATAGACTGGCCCGAATGCATTAGATGAAATGCTTCATTTATCTCCTTTAATGACACATTGTGCGTCACAAAATCATCAATAGGCAGTTTCTTAGAAAGATATTCATCAACCAGCTGGGGTACACTGTCACGGCTCTTGTAACCTCCAAAAGCAGTTCCCTTCCAGGTGCGACCAGTCACCAGCTGGAAGGGACGAGTGCTGATCTCTTCACCAGCACCAGCTACTCCAATGATAACTGAAACTCCCCAACCCTTATGACAAGCTTCCAGAGCAGATCGCATGGTGCTCACATTACCAATGCATTCAAATGTGTAGTCTAATCCTCCATCTGTCAAACCCACCAATACTTCTTGAATGGGTTTGTCATAATCCTTAGGGTTGACAAACTCAGTGACACCAAACTTTTTGGCTACTTCAAACTTAGCAGGATTAATATCCACTCCTATGACACGTTTTGCACCAGCTGCTCTACATCCAAGAGCTACTGCCAGACCGACTGCTCCAAGACCAAAGATTGCACAATTGGAACCAGGTTCCACCTTAGCTGTATTCAGAGCTGCTCCATAACCAGTAGGGATTCCACAGCCCAATAGACAGACTTTATCCAATGGAGCGGCTTCATTCACTTTGCAAATAGAAATTTCTAAAACTACTGTGTACTGACTGAAGGTTGAACATCCCATGAAATGGTATAATTCTTGACCTTTACAACGGAATCGCTTAGTACCATCGGGCATTACACCTTGTCCTTGTGTAACTCTCACTTTCTGGCATAGATTGGTTTTGGAGTTCAAACAGAATTTGCATGTTTTACATTGCGGAACGTAGAGTGGAACGACGTGATCACCTGGTTTCACGGATGTTACTCCTTCACCGACGCTCTCAACGATACCACCACCCTCATGGCCCAAAACTACTGGAAATACTCCTTCAGGGTCTTTACCGGACAAAGTATATGCGTCAGTGTGACATACGCCGGTAGCAGTGATCTGTACGCGGACTTCGCCGGCTTTGGGTGGGTCCACTTCGATCTCTTCAATTGATAATGGCTTGCCGGCTTCCCAGGCAACGGCTGCTAAACATTTTATCACTTTTCCAACTGTACTCATATTAGCAGTCTTCTCTACTTGTACGGCGTCGACACGTTGTATTCAAAATGAACTAAAGTAAAAGATAGGGACGTTATCAAATCAAATGATGATATAAGAAGTGGGCAAAGATCATGTAATAATGTTCTGTGGCAATGATAATTAAAATTTGAACGTGTTTAGTTGCCTCCGGCCCCCGACCTTGAATTATTTTGCCTACCTACCTAGCATAGCATCTAATTAAGAGTGTATTCCGTAATATATACCAGTATACTGGCCAGTGCTAATGACGTCATAAATCGCTATTCTGGTGAATTGTTCCGAAATATACTGGCCAGTGGCGTCATAAATCGACGAAATCTTAAAAATTGTTCGATAAAGAAGATTTTTTATTCAGCTCATCCATTAAAAGGAATTCTTTTTGTTCGGATGCCATAAATATTCTTTAAATAAAAAAAAATGGGTGCGTGTACTTATGTAGGCGCGTGAGAAGTTATCCTTCTTTGGCATCGTTTAAAATTAGTTTTTAATTGCATGCAAATAATTAATTACAATAAATTAATAAAAAGTCTGGAAAAGGACACAGTCAATAAAGTTCAGTTTTAATTTGAAAAAAAATGGGTGCGTGTACTTATGTAGGCGCGTGAGAAGTTATCCTTCTTTGGCATCGTTTAAAATTAGATTTTAATTGCATGCAAATAATTAATTACAATAAATTAATAAAAAGTCTGGAAAAGAACACAGTCAATAAAGTTCAGTTTTAATTTGAAAAAATAAATAAATAATCAAAATATTCAATTAAAATCGCTATAACTGTTACTTTATTACAAAAAATAAAGATGTGGTTTTTGGTTCTACTACACCAATGGTCAAGAGATGGCGCTGTAGTCTCCTGAATCGCGCTTTGGTTCCGTTGTTCCAGATTAATACATACTTTTGATATTATAAATATGAATACCTATAATTGTTACTTTATTACAAAAAATAAAGATGTGGTTTTTGGTTCTACTACACCAATGGTCAAGAGAAGGCGCTGTAGTTTCCTGAATCGCGCTTTGGTTCCGTTGTTCCAGATTAATAAATACTTTTGATATGCCTTCACAATGCAGTCGTTAGCACCCACTAAATAGAGATTCTATTTCTATTTTGTTGGTAGATTTTCTTAATGTGCGGTAAACACAAAAGTAACAGCATGTCGCTAAAGCGACCAACTTCATGCTGTTAATTTTTGTGTTACAGTGATGCGCGCGCATCTTAAAATTTCACTCTCATCATTTTTTCATAACGCGCCTAAAAAAGTATAACTTCAAAAATAAAATTCGAATGCATCTCACGCACGCTCAGTCATAAGTCATATTCGTTTTCCCGATAAAAATATGGCATTTAATATTTTATCCATAACTTTTATTTTCACATCATTTAATTTGCATCAATAATGTACCGTAAGTTTTCACACTACGACTCTTACTCTACACTGCCGCAGCATCATTCCCCTCGCCTGGCAAAGACTTGTGCTAGCCAGAACCGCCTGGCATTCTACCTACTTACTTTAAATCGCTTAAACAAACACTTAAATAAATTTCAAATTTACAGAATAAAGTTTATTTTTATGTATATATTGGTGTCGATTCTGGCGTGATTCTCTAAACTTAAAACTAAATTTAACATCAATCTCTCCTTTTCATTCCGTATAAAGAATGACAAGGATACGCTGTTGTCAAATTTAAGTTTAGGTTTAGAGAATCGTGTCAGAATTGACACCACTACACACCTTACGGTTCACCTGGCGGGTATTTGTGCTCATCGTAAACGCCTGGCAATTTTCTTTTAAACTTAAAAATGAATAAACTAAATTGTATAAAAATTTCAAGCTTACAGCAACAAGTTCTGTTTTAATATTTTTTTGACACTCAAAAATATACGGCTTGATAACGTGCAGGGCTGAGGAGTGCCAGGCGATGCTTACCGTACTAAGCATGCTATGACTCATCACCATAAGAATTTTTAGCCTTACAGACATACCGTTACTCAAAGGGTTCAGTAGAACTCCTACCATAGGTACGTTCCGTATTTGCATCGCAATGAAGGATTCAGACTAATGCCAGCACTTCACTTAGCTAGTCTTATTTTCTGTTTGTAAACTTGACAGCAGTCTCTCTGTATTATGCTTTATAATGAAAAGGACAGAATGTCAAGTTTACATATGCCAAACATGTTTTGCCAAGTGAAGTGCCGGCATTAGTCTGAATTGTTCATTGATTGATTTTTGTTAATTTGGACTAGTGAGTGAAACAGCTATTACACTGCCCAATTAAAAGGGCCCTATCCAGAAGAAAAATTGATCAGATCAGGCGCAAATAACGAACGTAGTTTCTGTAGGCGTTTTTGGCGGGATTTCATCGAGTGCTGTTGGCTTCTTATTCTTATAATTCTTAAATTCGTTCATAGTGGATATTGTGAAATTAAATTGGTGAGATTTTGTGTGACAACAGTCTGCGCTACTGAAGAATTAGTGGAAACTTTAAAATATAGGCTATTCCGGTCAAGTGGACGTGAGAATGTTACTGTAGGGTTGACTTCCTCACTGAAGCTTATCGAATAACTCAATAGATTTCGTGCCAAACACTCCAAGAAACATTAGAAGGCGTCACACCGACATTCTAATCTAAAAATAAAAGTTTATGTAACTATACTAGGCTGTATGGGCATTGTTTCCTTTGCCTTCCGTAAACAGGGAGAACCTAAAAAAAGTAGTTTCTGTACCACAGAGTACAAAAACTACTTTTTTCATGTCAATTTGCATCTGTCATTGTCATGTGGTTATGGCATGGCATCACAAAGTACCATATTTTAACCGGAAACCTGTGCCTGAAACATTTCATGGAACAAAAACAAATTGTCATGTGGCGATGTAAATTAAAGAACATACCGAGAATCTTCGTTCTGGATAAATAGTATTGAAGCGGAGATTTTCTCCTATTTTTTTTTTCCGCCTTCATGCTCATAGTGATTTTACAATAATAAAGTACTTTCTACCTGGAGTCTCTACATTCAGAATTCGATGGCTAAGTTACACAGCTATTTTGTGTTATGCCCTTTATTCGATCAGAAAAGTTTCTTAGGAGTATCAGAGGATAAAGATTTAGATTATGTGCTTGTAACTTTAGGAAGAAATGTTGTTAACAAATACCGGGTAAGATCATTATTAATATATGTTACTGTTATTATTTAAAAACCCATTGGTATTTTATAGGTTGTATCAATACATACTTTTGAGTTTCATTTTACAAAACTAAGATTTGCAGCAGGCTTTTCATTTCATTACAGTTCTGCTGTCAGATTAATGTATAAAAAGACTAAGCAAGAATCTTTATACATGTGAAGAATTCAGTATATTTTATTACTGTTTATAGTGCAAAAATCCATTAACTTTGTTTTGCAGTGTCTCAATTCTAAATTCTTTTATAGCTCTCAGATCAAAAGCAGGTAGGAGGATGGACGTCAAAAGACCACATTACTTCCAAAGTTATTTATGATAGGATCCAGAATGTTTATGTTGGAGTATTTAACAAAAACACCATAAAAATGTGGGAAGATGATTCGGAGAATTTAGACAAATTGAAAAAATATAAGGTAAGATCACAATATTAAACTCATTATTATTCAAAAGTAAAAACATCAGAAGAATAAACAACAGAATCTATCCACGCTTTTAAAAACCTCGTAAAGTCCCATTATTTGTCCTTATAACTTCTGATGTTAATCTTATTTGTGACTACTACCAACTGAACAAGATTTGTTTATTTATGTGTATGTATGAATTTATTTATTATATATTTATATTTATGTATGTATATAATTGTATATATTATCACCTATATCACTCAAGTGATTTACACCGCCGTCTCTCCCACTTCCTTCTAGTCCTCTCTTTCCAAAGGTTGCCTGGAAGAGATCGCTCTAAGCGATAAGGCCGCCCATTGTTACACTAGTTTTAATTGGTTATGTACTAAATTTAATGTTATATGTGGTGTACAATAAAGTGTATTGTATTGTATTGTAACATGCATCTTGGTTATTAGTGGTTTTTATCTTAACATATTATTTAATGACACACAAATCTCTGCAAACTACATTTTTTGTTGGTTTTTACTCTAAGCCTGTCAGTCCCTTGAAAGAAACTGTATTTTTGTAGTCTTTAAGGCCAATCCATTTAGTAATAAATTATAATAATAATCCATTTAGATATTAAATTGTTAATACAGTTTATTTTGGAGTTGCTTTAAGTGAAAGTACTTATTCACCACATAGAGCTGTAACTAATTATATTGCCGGGATATTTTTAAAATGATGAAATGTTTATTAAAATTGAGTCTTACTCTCTCTATACTTTAGTTTCCAGTAAATATATTGAAGCTGGTGACTGTACCTTCCCAATCGCCCCTTATTATATTTGAAAATGGCAACAGTGCTGCTCTCCCATATGCACTTGAAAATCGTAAAACGTATGACAAATTACCTTTGATGAAAGAATTTGAAACAATTGTTGACACATCAAGTTACACACAAAACAATGCTGGACAAATATGTTATGTGGTAAAAGATAACAAAGACAGGTATGAGATAATTTGTTGTCCTATAAGAGAAGAACTTGGAGACTTGGAAAAATCAAAAATAACAAAATTTAAGATATCAAGAAAGGATGATGTATATGTAGTTGGAGAACTGATAAGCTGTGAAGATGTACCTTCTGTTTATGTTTTGTGTAAGTTTATTATGAATCCCATACTTAGATTCTATTTATAATATTTTCAGCCTTATTTATATATATCTCTTTTTTTAGGGAGTGACTCAAAATTGACTGCTTTTGATCTGACAGACAAGTCTTGGAGAACAGTAGGCTCAGTACCATGGATTTCAACATTATCAAGTGTTTCAATTGCTTGGATGGGAAAAAAACATCTCATACTCTTTGGAAGTAATATTGAACAAGATGGTGCAATTATTGTCGCATACAACATAATTCTGGGTGTGGGTACATGCAAGTATCCAATGAAAATGTACACAGAAATGGCTAGACTATGTTGTATAAATGACCGCATCATCTTAGAAGCATCTAATCACATAGGGATGCTGCCTTATGTTTTGAAAACAAAGAGAAACCTATCTAGTTTATTGGGCTCTCATGGAATTGTTCAAAATGAGTGCTTAGAACTTGTTAATTGGGATACTCCAACAATACTAAAGGCTGATTTTTCCAATGATGATTCAAAAGAACTCATTAAACTGGGGCTTACTGAAAGGAGTATATGTACACAAGTAGTGCTTCCACTACTTGATAAAAAGAATTATAAACATGTATTGGAAGTCATTAAAGAATTCCAAGATGTGCCAGAGTCAGTACTAGTTCAATTGATTAGCTATTCATTAAAATCAATACCTACTAAAGATGTTAATTACAGCAGCCCAGAAGAATTTCCTAAATGGTATGCCTCTTGCTATAATTTGGAGACAGAAGATAGATTTACTCTGCTTAAACACCTATTCGCTATATCTTTCTGTGATGCTTTGTTAATTCCATATTTGAGAGAATCACTTACTCTAAATGATACTTTATTTTTGTTATCCTACATTTCATTTTTATTAGTTGATCTAGAAAGTGAAATAGATACTGATTATGAGTCTAAACTTTATGATTGGTGCACATTGTTAATGGATGCATTTTACCAACAATTTCTAATGACAAAAGATGAAAAGGTTACAATTGTTTTGGAAAGTACTGTTAATATGATAAAAGGCCTTGTGAATCAGTTGGAAACGATAAATAAGGTATTGCCATTGTTGAATAAATTTATAATAGGCAATACTAAAACTGATCAAAACGAAGATGTAATACCATACACTATTGAAATGATGCAAATATGATGTGATTTTGTTCCGCAGAAATAAAAGCATTTTTAAATGAAGTAAAAAGTATTCATTCAACAGTTCTTTTATTTGCAGCTCTAGCAAACTGGACAACCATAGGCTTATCTTTTAAAATAAATCCATTGGTCTCATTCAATGCTACCTCAGCTATCTTGGCTGAGGGAAATGTCACAAATGCTTGCCCTTTCATCTTGCCTTCTTGCATTACTCTTACATCAAAACCTATATTTTCTTCATCTGGCATATCATTAACGTAATGCTTGTAAATTCTTTTTACATCTTGATCAGTCACGGACTTAGCTAAATTTTTTATGTATAACCGCATTGATGGTTGGCCAGGGTGATAATTTTTAAATACAGGCAGCACTTTCATATCACTGTAATTCAGTCTGTTTTGAAGCAACTCTTTCCTGGTTATTGGGGGTTCTTCAGTCTCTAGAGGTATCGTCTCAGATGTTGTGTGTTCAGCTTCTTTTTCAAATTTACCAAGTTCTCCAATTATTTCTGGTTCTTCAGAAGGCTTGGAGAGTGCATCCTGATTAACAAAAACTGCAATTTTTTTGGGTTCTGGCAGAGGTGTAACATTCTCAAATACCTCTTCTTGACTTACAGCAACTTTCTTTGCTTTGGGTAAATTAGCAGTAGACAGAATGGCTGCTGGTCTCTTTCTTGTGACTGGAAGCTTATGCAATCTTTTTATAGACGTAGGTACTGGTTTGTTTGTTTGCTTTTCACTTTCATCACTTGATAATTCTGACTCTGTTTCACTTGCTGGAGGTGGTATAGCTGCAATTTCATCTTTGAATATGTATCTAAATGTATCTTTGAATAGTGAAATTGCCGTTTTATTTTCCTCAAATGGCAAACTAAGAGACATTTTGTTCATCAAGTGCAAAGCTTGTGTGTAGAAGGCTTTGTGATTTAATAATGCATAAATAATGTTTATGAGTGTATTAGGATGAGAATTCGGGTATTTATAATTTAAATGAGCTGGAGGTGGTTGGTATAAATTAACAGATGGATTCCAGGCATTGAGTAACTGCAGGAATTTTTTTATTTGCTTTGTTGCTGCTGAACTTGTCTCATTTTCATCATAATTACATTCTGTAGGTTCATTTTCAAAAGAATACTCTACAACGAGCCTTCGTTTTGCTATCTCAAGTTGATGTAGTCTCATTAGTGATGATTTCGCTACATCTACATTAGGAAATAGTGCAAATACATAGTGAAATTTTGGACTCTTTTCCCACACTTTTACTGCACCAAAATGTCTGAGAAGTTGTGCTTTATCTTGAATGGACAATGATTTTGGAAGATGTCGTATCAATAACACTTTAGACATTTTCTTCACTTACAAACTTCCTTTTATGGTGAGACTTTAATTTGACAAAAATTAAGTCTCCCTGTTAGCTGAGATCACCACCTTCAAATAAAAACAGCGTAAATATAGGGTTGCGATGCGCTACATCACTATATAATTTGTGGGCTTTTCAGCTTGTGGTTGCGGCTTGGACGACTTTGCAAATTGCAATGTTCATTGATAGACTTCAGCCCCTTACGTAGGTATTTCTATTTTTATGCAGTAATTGTTTACCTACTAATTCTACGTGAATCCTAATCCCTGCCTACATAAATAGTAATCTGTGCAGTGTTGCCAGTACCTGCGTCGTGTTTCGGACGATTCGAAATCTGAAAAGGGACGATTTTTAGTCAAAAAGGACGGCCCTACAGAAATATTAAACTAAAGGCTGAACTATATTTATCTTACGTGTTGTGTTGTGGCGCGATCTGGTTCATACATTTAGTACGGTTAGCACTAAGAACTATACAGAAGCAGATCTCTATTAAAAAATTTAGACATATTAAAATTGACAATCCAGTTAAGAAATGTGTATTTATTGCTATTTTGGACATTTTGCTTATTTTTCTATTAAAATTTTGACTATTAGTATAATTGACAATGGCTTATCAAATTTATAATTAATTTATAATCTACTTTGACATACATGTAACAATAGACAATTTCAAATTATGTTCATAAATTGTGATTCCAATGTAAAAATAATAGTACTTCTTTCATAGGTCCTTATCTATTTGTATACCTTAATTAAGGTGGAAATGTAGTGATACTAACAAAAATTATATATACCATGTATACTAACCTATGTTTCACAAATAAAATTCTGAAATTCTGATTCTGATTAAACCTGTGTGTCGCGATGTGTCGACAGCGTTCTCACATTAACCATAATTGTATGAAACAGATAGCTCTCTGATGTGTTACAATACAACACGACAGGTAAGTGTAGTTCTATTATAATGCGGTTAAATGAAAAGAAAAGCGAGTGTGCTTAGGAACACACGACTGGAAGTGAAATTTCTATAGCTCCAATGATCTGTAATTTGATAGAAAAAAACCATCAATCCGCGCTGGGTCCGTTATCACACACCAATCCGTGCTGGGTCCGTTATCACCCACCAATTCGCACTGGGTCTATTGCCACCCACCAACCCGCACTGGGTCCGTTATCATCCACCAATCCGCACTGGGTCCGTTATTATACACCAATCCACACAGGGTCCGTTATCACCCACCAATCCGCGCTGGGGCCATTATCACCCACCAATCCGCACTGGGTCCATTGCCACCCATCAATCCGCGCAGGTCCCGTTATCACCCTAAAATCCACACTGGGTCCATTATCACTCACCAATCCGCGCTGGGACCGTTATCATCCACTAATCCGCTCTGGGTCCGTTATCACCCACAAATCCGCGTTGGGTCCGTTATTATCCACCAATCCGCTCTGGGTCCGTTATCACCCACCAATCTGCGCTGGGCCCGTTATCATCCACCAATCCACGCTGGGTCCGTTCCGTTATCATCCACCAATCCGCACTGGGTCCGTTATCACTAGTGTTGCCAGGTCCGTATTTGTTTTAAGTCGGTACATGAGGTGAAAAACATCGGGACTTAGGGTTGTAGATCGGGACAGTAAACAAAAAACTAGGGTTTTTTAGTCTGGGTTTATTTTTTGCGATTTAAACCACTAGTGCAAGTATAGTATTATATTAATTACCTAACTTTCATTTTTTGATTCATCGGGTTATTTAGCGTCCCGATCAGGTACAAATCAGGACGCGTCCCCACACCCCTGAAAATCGAGACATCCCGCACAAATCTGGACACCTGGCACCACTAGTAATTACCCACCAATCTGCGCTGGGTCCGTTACCAACCACCAATCCGCGCTAGGTCCGTTATCCAGGCCACCTAGCCAAGCACTAGATTTATGTATTTTGTGACAGGTATTGTTCATTGTTTACCGATGAGTCACCGATGACACTAATCGTTACGCGAAATCGTAACTATTCGCCAGTTTACCCCCCAAGTCAAGCGTGCCTAAAGAAGTTTCACTTCAAAAAACATTTTAACAGAGCCATATTAATTATATTTTTTTGGGCACACAATAAACATAAAGAAGAAGTACGGAGGACATAGGTACATCATGGTGGTACGAACGTATCGTACGTATTTACGACTTAACAAAGCAAGCACTTATTTTTAAGTTACCTATTATCTTTATAATTGAAATATAGGTACCTCAACAACAAAAGTTTTATTAGGTAAGATATGGTAGGTTATTGGGTTTGAGCTTTGAGTTGGTATATAGATATAGGTAGGTATTTGTTAAACGTCACCTTCGTAGCGAGCGTTGGATTCGATGTAGTTTACTGGGTGATTTGACGAATAGAGTTGACAATGTACAACGAATAGTGATGGCAATTTAGTGAAATAAATCAATGAGTGAAACGAAACGCATTCGTCTAATGTTGCAGTGAAGCGTTATCGAAAACGGACGGAAAAGGGACGGAATATGTAAAAGGACATCGATGGGACGCTTTGATGAGAAAAGGGACGAAAATCGTCCCTATTGGGACGTTCTGGCATCACTGAATCTGTGATTCGTGCCCACAGATTATATTATTTGTCAATTCTGACACGATTCTCTATACCTAAACTTAAATTTGACAACAGCGTATCCTTTTCATTCTCTATACGGAATGAAAGGGAGAGATTGATGTTAAATTTAGTTTCAAGTTTAGAGGATCGCACTAGAATCGAAAAAAAAGCAGGCAACCTGCTTAGACTACACTGTTTATTTCTCGCGCTTTGTTTTCTGAGTCTGAATCTGAATCAGGAGTGCACTCTGGCCGTACCCTTCGACTACACTGTTTATTTCTCGCGCTTGTTTTCGGAATCTGAATCTGAATCTGAGTGCACTCTGGCCGCACCCATAGACTACATAGGTGTCGATTCTAGTGCGATTCTCTAAACTTGAAACTAAATTTAACATCAATCTCTCCCTTTCATTCCGTATAGAGAATGAAAAGGATACGCTGTTGTCAAATTTAAGTTTAGGTATAGAGAATCGTGTCAGAATTGACAACTAATCTGTACCCTAAGGGTACGGCTAGAGTGCACTCAGATTCAGACTCAGAAAACAAGCGCGAGAAATATACAGTGTAGTTTAAGCAGGGTGGCCATAGTGGCAGCAGGCAACCTGCCTGTATATTTCTCGCACTTGTTTTCTGAGTCTGAATCGGAATCTGAGTGCACTCTGGCCGTACCCGAAGGGTACGGGTGCGGCCAGAGTGCACTCAGATTCAGAGTCAGATTCAGATTCTGAAAACAAGCGCGAGAAATAAACAGTGTAGTCTAAGCAGGTTGCCTGCTTTTTCTCGCGCTTTGTTTTCTGAGTCTGAATCTGAATCTGAATCAGGAGTGCAATCTGGCCGTACCCTTCGACTACACTGTTTATTTCTCGCGCTTGTTTTCGAAATCTGAATCTGAATCTGAGTGCACTCTGGCCGCACCCTACGGCCAGAGTGCACTCCTGATTCAGATTCAGGTTCAGACTCAGAAAACAAAGCGCGAGAAAAAGCAGGCAACCTGCTTAGACTACACTGTTTATTTCTCGCGCTTGTTTTCGAAATCTGAATCTGAGTGCACTCTGGCCGCACCCTTAGGCCGTATACAGAAAGAAAGCCGATCGGCGCCGATCCTTCCTACATAAAGGAAGCCGATTAAAGCAGATCAAACAAAATGTCGGACTCATCGGACGATGATCTGGTTATGTTAGAAAATGTGTATTTAAAAATGCGAAAAAAAGCTATACATCCTATAAATAGAGAAACGAAACGTTTCGGAGAATACCATCATTTATTTGTTAAAAAAATTGAAATTTGATGAACAAAGATTTTATACATATACAAGAATGATTCAAGAAACATTTTATTACATTTTGGATTTAGTGAAAAACCGTTTGATGAAAAATTGGTGCAATTGGCATAAACAACCAATCCTTCCAGAAGAAAGACTTGTTGTCACCATTCGGTAAGTACGAAACAAATAATTTTAGCGCTTAGTTAATAAAAGATAAAGTTATTAGATTTATAAAAAGATTATAACTTAGATTGATTTAATCTAAGGATAATAATTCAAATACAAATTATTTATTATTCGGACCAGCGCGTGTCGGCGCTTATCGGCGCCGATCGGCTTTCGGCTTTCTTTCTGTATACGGCCTTAGCTACATAGGTTCAGACTCAGAAAACAAGCGCGAGAAATATACAGTGTAGTCTAAGCAGGTTGCCTGCTTTTTCTTAGGGTGCGGCCAGAGTGCACTCAGATTCAGATTCCGAAAACAAGCGCGAGAAATAAACAGTGTAGTCTAAGCAGGTTGCCTGCTTTTTCTCGCGCTTTGTTTTCTGAGTCTGAATCTGAATCTGAGTGCATTCTGGCCGTACCCTAAGGCTGTATGGACTAAAGTTAACAGCTAAATAAGATTTAACAGTCTGTCAGCTAATTTTCGTTTGATTGTCCTTTCGGAAACCGTTTTTATTCAATAAAATAATTTACTGTAACTAATTAAGTAACGTTTTAATTTATGAGTAACGAAAGAATTTGGGTAATAAGTAGGTACTTAAAAAAATGTATATTTAGGGGATTTTAGGGTAAATTTTGGTAAGGGTTGGTAGCACTGCTGTGGTGTCGACACCAGTGTTGCCAACTCTACGTCTTTTTACGTAGATCTACGTATTTTAGACCTTATCTGCAAACCTACTAACTTCAGTCCTAGAATCTACGTATTTTCTTTAATTTTTTCAAATTTGTAAAATAACTTAATTCGCTAGAATAAAGAAGAATATATTCCGTTTCTTTACTTAAAAATTATACAAATGTTCATCTATATATATAAAAATGAAACCCGTTTTCCGTTGTCACGACATAACATGAAAACGGCTTGACCGATTTGGCTGTTTTTTTTTTGTAGTTTTCTAATACTCTGTACAAGGTTCTTACGGAAAAAAATATAAAGAAAATCCCAAGGGGATAAAATAAGGAATGAAAGTTTGTATGAAACTTTATCAATTTTAAACCGATCGGGCTGAGACTTTGCATGCAGGTATAAGAAGAATCATAGATGAATGTCATTGTGTATAACACAAGCCTGAGAACAAAAACTGTAGTCTACACTTCAGCTCTACACCGAAGCGAAGCGAGGGCGGGCCGCTGGTTTCTTATAAAGATGTATCTAAAAACTCTTGTATCTTGTAGAAAAGGCTCCCGTTATTGGTTTTGTTGACTAAATTAATGCTGGACGCAGGATTTGTGAAAGCAGAAACGACAAAACTCTTTGACTTAGTAGGTATTCATAACCTTAAAAATTGTATTTTTAAACTTTTAATATTATTCAATGAGTACTTACATCAAATTGATATTTGCTAAAAGAAATGACTTTCAGTCTTAAAGTTACAGGATTTAGCAAGTTTTAAAAATGCTATCATGTGTAAGTATGTTTATTTCTCTTGGCAATTTAAACCATAATTTTTGTAGTCTTTTACCAAGTGTATCATGATAACTACTATATTTTTCATGTGATCTATTAGAAATCATGGTTTAATAATATTAACTCCAAAAGTTTGTTTCCTACGTGCTTGCGAGTGTTTGTTTACAAATGTTTTGACGTCATAGCATAGATAAGTCTATAGACTAAATAGCGTTTTTGTTTGTCTTCCAAGTAAAAAAAAAAAAAATTATCGGTCTGATAGAATAATTATTAACAATTTAAAACATAATTTCAAAAAGTGTCGCCTAGCCTATTTAACAACAGTGTATTCTTGTCATTCTCTATACGGAATGAAAAGGAGAGACTGATTTTAAATTTAGTTACAATTTAGAGAATCATGCCAAAATCGACACCCACCAGTGTCTGTGTCTGATGCGAAACATCTATCACAGCATGGTGAATGCTTCCACTGCAGCGACTTCTCCAAGAACTCTTTGTTCTATCTCCCGTTTTTAATGAAATTGTATAAAAAATACTCGTTTTATTCGGTTTTACCTAACTTCTTCATTTCACTTAGAAAAAAGTACGTAGATCTACGTACTTTTCATATGGAAAATTTACCAATTCTACGTAATTTTCACATCGGGCCTACGCCTTTTTCAAAATCCGAGTTGGCAACACTGGTCGACACGAAAAAGGTTGGGACTTTTTGGCGGGCTTTTGAACGCACTAGGCGCGATTTTTGATTTTCTTTTCAAAAAGTTTTATTTTAAGTTTGTTTTCTGTATATATCTTTGTAAATAGTATTCATAATTCCTTAAAAGTGTAGATAAATGTATCATCATGCCGGACGGGCACGACCCGCCCGGCGGGACTGAAAAAAGAAAAACTCCAAATAGGACCGAAGTAGATCCAGGATCATCTGATGATTTTTATAAGCCTTTCATCAAAAGCGGATACAAAAGGTTGTTTCCTGAAAATGCGGTGAGTGCTAATTACAGTGTTTTCGTCGAAAGCTGTAAGGAGGATGAAAAGTTGGGTAACAATAATCCTATCGTCACGACCAATCTCTTCAAGAATGAAATTAAGGGCATATCTAATATAAGAAGAGTCAACCCGACCAAAATTTCAGTTACGTTCTCACAGCCTAATAATGCCAATAATTTTTTAAAAAACGAAGAATTTTTGAACAAACATAAATTCAGGGCATATATACCAGCTGCTATGGTGGAAACCATAGGAATACTGCGTTTTGTACCCACAAGCATCAGCAACGAAGAGTTATTCAAAAAACTAAGTTCTCCTTATGAAATAGTTGCAGTGCGCAGATTCTCTAAAAAGGAAAATGGTACTGTCAAAGTTTTTAAAACTGTAAGCCTAACTTTTCTCTCAAATGTACTTCCGGAGCATGTTTTCTTAGATTTGTTTCGCTTTAGAGTACACCAGTACAATGCACCTTTGCTGCAATGTTATAAATGCTTCAAATTTAATCATGGCGCTAAGATATGCAAATCTATTCAAATATGCTCCATATGTTCCGAAGAGCATCATTACTCACAATGTCCAGACAATACAGTTGTTAAATGTGTGAATTGTCAGGGTCCACACCTTTCAATATCAAGAGACTGTCCAATCAAAAAACAAAGAATGGAAGAAAAGAAGAACAAAGTATCTTATGCAAATGCTATATTATCTAATAAAAATAAAAATGATACTAATTTAACAACTGATTATCAAAATAAATTTCCTAAATTACCTATTACAAAAAAAACATTACCATTGAAAAAAACACTGAACTCCAATTCTGTCCCCTCAACCGTTTTGACTTCTAACAGCGCAGCGGAAAAAGATAGTTTGCAAAAATTATCAAACGAAAAGATAATTGATGAAATAATTAACAATGATTTTATTCGTAAGGCTATTGTTGGCGCTTTGGTTGCCATAGGAAACGATGAGAGAGCTTTAACCAGTAATGTTATCCAAGAGATACTTATTAAAACTTTAAAAAAAGATCAATAATGGATAAAAGTCACATACGAATATCTCAATATAATGTTGAAGGATTTATTAACAAAAAACCACTCCTCATCAATTTCCTGCAGGAAAATGATGTCGACATTTGTTTATTGAACGAAACCTGGTTAACAGAACGTAGTAGGTTGTCTATTCCGAATTATGATATAATCAACAAAATCTCTGTAGGTGGCAGAGGTGGAGTTTCAATTTTAATCAAAGATTCTTTTAAGTACTCTGTTCCTTCAATTCCTTTCTATGAAGAACTTCAGTCTGTGGCTGTTACAGTATATACATGTAATGGTGATATGTCTATTTTATGTGTTTATTGTCCTCCTCGGAAACAAGGGAGGTCAAACTTCCAATGTAATAAATTGAAAAAGATTATTAACGATCTTCATAAGCCAATACTGGTCTCTGGCGATTTTAATGCGCATCACGTAGCATTTGGTTGCCTTTCGTGTAACAGACGAGGAAACGAAATTTACAATATGTTTGATGAATGTGATCTTTGCATTCTGAATTCTGGCTCTCCAACCACTGTTGGCCACATAGGTCAAAATCCTTCAGCAATAGATGTCTCTTGTATAAGTCCTTCTTTAGCTCCATTGTGTGACTGGAGTGTACACTCAGACCCTATGGGCAGCTATCATTACCCAACAGTTATAGATATTCATATTTCAATAGTAAAATATGAAATAGGTGAACCCACTGAGCGGTTTCTTTATAACAAAGCTAACTGGGACAGTTTTTATAATGACAGTGAATCTGCATTCGCTGATATCATTATTGACCTGAATAATCCATTGAATATATACAATGACTTTTGTAATATTTTAAATATATTAAAAAACAAACATGTACCCAAGTTGAAAAAAAGCACTCGACATCTTATAAAGAAACCTGTTCCATGGTGGGATGATAGCTGTAAAGAAATTGTGATCAAATGTAAACGTGCATTAAATTATTATAGGTCTCATCCAACTTTGGAAAATTATATAGAATATAAAAAAACAGATGCCCTTAAAAAAAGACTACTTAGTGAAAAGAAAAAGAACAGCTGGTTAGAATTATGTGAATCCTTTAATAGATACACTCCAGTTAGCACTATATGGAATTACATTAGACGATTCAAAAGAGTTTCTTGTTCTAAGAAGCCAAAAAATTCAGAATGGATTCCTTCCTTTTTCAATAAATATGCACCTGTTACTCCACCTGAAAAAGAAATTAATTTAAATACTTTAAAGTCGTCTTTTACCAGTAATGGCAGTCCTAAAGCTTACTTCCTTATAGAACCTTTTTCTTGGCATGAGTTTATAACATCTTTAGAATCCAGAAAAGATACCACTCCTGGTCTTGATGATATCAGATATACCCTTATTAAAAAATTACATATAAATGCACAGAAGAAACTACTACTAATATTCAATTTACTTTGGAATCATGATATAATACCACCTTCTTGGAAAACCCAATGTGTCATCCCAATATTGAAACCTGATAAACCAATAGAGGATAGTGATTCCTATAGACCCATCTCATTATCTTCTTGCATAGGTAAGATATTTGAAAACATTATAAAACTCAGATTAGATTATTATATAGAACAAAACAATATATTACCTGCAGAACAGTTTGGTTTTCGCAAAGGTCGCAGTGCCTCTGAAAGTTTTACTTCATTGATATCAGACATAAGAACTTCATTTCTTCAACATTCTGTGACTGTCTGTGCATTTCTTGACATCAAGGGTGCATTTGATAACGTTAACCCAGCTGTTATGGTACAAGTACTGCATGATGTAGGCATTCCGGGCAAACTCTGTAAATGGGTACACAATTTCTTATATGAGAGGCTCATATACATAAAGCACAATAATATTCTTCATGGTCCAAGATATGTATACAAAGGTACCATGCAGGGGGCCACTATCTCTCCCCTTTTGTATAATATTTATACTTGTCAACTCAAGCAATTTTTAAAGGAGGAAAATGTACATTTTCTGCAATTTGCAGATGACCTAGTTGTATATACTGTAAATAATAATGTAATTATAGCTGTAAATAAACTAAATAAGGCATTATCTGAAATATATAATTATTATTTTAATAGACTTAAACTAGAAATAAGTAGCAGTAAAAGTTCTGCTATGATTTTCTCTAAGAAATGTATTGATATACCTGTTAATAGTCACATTATATATAATAGTTGTCCTCTACCATGGGTACAAACCCACAAATTTCTTGGTATATGTTTGGATCCAAAATTAAACTTTCAAAGCCATTTTGACAAAATCATTAAGTCTGCTACACATGGGTTAAATATACTTAGATCATTAGCAGGTGTACATTGGGGAGCTGATCCAAAAATATTGTCAATGTTGTATAAAAGCCTAATAAGAAGCCACTTTGATTATAGTTCTGTAGCTTACATGAATGCAGGTACAAGTTTATTAAAAAAACTAGACATTCTTCAGAATAGGGCACTTCGAATTATAACAGGTGCAATGTGCTCTACACCTATTCATGTAATGCAAGCTGAAAGTTGCATCCCACCTCTTATACTACGTCGTTTAAAATTAGCTGAAAGATTTTGTATTAAAAATGTATCATCTAAAATGTCATTTATTGTAGGTAAACTATTGCCCCTAGAGAGATTTAAGAATATGCAAAATGTTTCTTACCATAACACAGATCTACTTAAATCTGGTAATACTCCAGAATTGGTGGCAATAGCAGTACATATACATAAGACATTTGAAAATTTATATATAAACAGTCTTTGGCCTTTGTACCAAATTCCTTATAATGCCTTGTTTAATTGTAACTTTATCTTAGAAGATGACATAATTCGAACCAATGCTGAATTAATGCAATTTTTAGAGAACAAATCCTTTTACAGAATTTACACTGATGGATCCAAGTCTAAAGATAGAGTAACATCAGCTTACTATGATGTTCAGTTAAATTTTAGTAAGTGTATATTGATTCCCAGTGATTGTAGTATATATACAGCGGAATGTAATGCTATCTATCAGGCCTTGTTATATATCTTAGGTTTAGAACATAACAATAATTTTCTTATTCTTTCTGACTCTCAGAGTGTATTAAAATCCTTTAGAAATAGTTATAGATATGATGTAAATTATTTAGTGTTATTTATTAAGCATTTATTGTATAACCTAAAAGAATCTGGCAAGAGAGTGCAATTTATGTGGGTACCTGCGCATTGTGGCATTACTGGTAACGAAAGAGTTGACGAAGCTGCACGAAGTACACCAAGTGAAGACCACTCTTTGTCTATGAAGGTTCCATTTACAGATTTTAAAGCCCTGTGTCATCATAACCTGGCATTACTGTGGAGAAAACATTGGGATGAAATTAGCAAAGAAAAAGGACAGTGGTATCAAAAGATCCAAGGAAGCCCGCCCGCCCAACCTTGGTGGAATAACAAAATGGTGCAATCTAGGAAATTCGTTACTACAATAAACAGGCTGAGATTTGGTCATGGGCAATTTCGCACTCACCTGCATAGACTGAAGATGACAGATGATCCAAAGTGTCCCCACTGCCAAGAAAATGAAGACCTACAGCACATAATTTTTGAATGTAGACGGTACGGACTACAGCGTCTAATACTTGTTGCTGAACTTGAAGCAATCGATAAGGTCGTCCCTAATACGTTGCAAGACTTACTTAACGATCTCAAGTATTTCAAGCCACTATTCAAATTCATCGTAAATACTGTAGACAAAATATAACAAGGAAGAGAAACAGTTTACTGTGGAAGTGAAAATTATGATGTGATGTGATAAACTCAATGACATTCTGTTATACGTGACAGTTGTTTTGTTTACTTTGTTTTTGACATGTTCAACGTTTGGCTTAAAAAGGACTAGAATCCAGAGCCGTAAAACATATTAATAAAAAAAAAAAAAAAACGAAAAAGGTTGTCATGTCAAAGTCATGGGCCTGTCCAAGTGTCCAACTCCAAAGTTATTTACCTACTGAAATAACCTACAAGTTCTCTACAGCAGCTGTTTATTAGAAACTTATCAATAATGGATGAAAATCAAAGTAAAAAAGTCGTGAAAGTAGTTGTACTTGGAGATATTGGCCGAAGTCCTCGTATGCAATATCATGCCCTATCACTTGCTAGTAATGGTCTCAAAGTGAACATCATCGGCTACTGTGAATCCAAACCTCTTGACAAGATAACAGAAAGTAACAATATCGCTATTACAAAGTTAAATCCCATATTATTTGATAAAGGGCCAAGGTTACTTCAGTATGCCGTCAAAGCAATATGGCAAGCTATAAGTTTGTTAATAACTTTATTTATTACTGGAAAAAGTGACTATTTACTTTGTCAAAATCCCCCAGCGATACCAACTCTGCCAGTGTGTCGCTTCTATTGTTTGGTTACCAGGACCCGGTTTATTATTGACTGGCACAACTATGCTTATTCTATCATGGCATTATCTTTGTCTCCGCAACATCCACTAGTAAAAATATCTATGTTTATTGAAAGATGTTTTGGTCAAGCCTCAAACCATAATCTTTGTGTTACTAATGCCATGAAAGAAGATTTGCTACTGAAATGGAATATTGTGTAAGTAAGTACTAAGTTAAAACAATTTACTAATTTAAGATTAGCCAAATATATACTTGAAAAATATTTGTCATAGTTTTTGATTTGATTTTCAGTGCTAAAGTATTATATGATAGGGCTCCGAAGATATACCATCCTATCTCAACTGAAGAGAAACATGAATGGTTTATGAAGATTGGTAGTCAGTACCCCGAATTCATAACATTTGAAAGATCTCAGCTTAAAGAACAACCCAGTGCGACAACGGCTTTTACACAATCATCGGAAAATGTAATTAAAATGCGCAAGGACAGACCTGGGATACTATTCAGCAGTACTAGTTGGACACCTGATGAAGATTTTAGTATTCTGATGGAAGCACTCCAGGGTAATGGCCACTAATAACAAACACTCAGGGATCATGCATATTTGTATGGGTGTTCCTTTATTCTACCATAACTTCTAAATGTCTGAACAGATTTGGGTGTACAACTGTATAGGGTATTGTCAAAATTCCACTTCTATATTTAATAATATAAATCATGTAACCTTATCTACAACATGAAAATTAGAACTTGTAGATATACTTACCAGAATGTGCAGGAGCTGTCATATTAACTGATCTATTCTTTTATAGTGTATGAAACGACATATAACCTCACTAAGAAACTGCCAAGACTATTATGTGTAATAACTGGGAAAGGTCCCATGAAGGAGTTGTATATGCAAAAACTATCAGAAAAAAGTTGGCAACATGTAAGAGTCATCACCCCTTGGCTAGAGGCCTGCGACTATCCCACTATGGTTGCGAGTGCAGATCTGGGTGTCTGTCTTCACACCAGTTCATCTGGTTTAGATTTACCAATGAAAGTTGTTGACATGTTTGGTGCTGGACTGCCTGTATGTGCTTTTGATTTTGAATGGTATGCTGTAATGAATTTTTATTCAAACAATAAGACAAAATACTCTTATATATTTTAATGATAGATGAAAATGTTGAAATATCAAAGAAGTGAAATTGTACATAATGAATACTTTATGATATATTCTGTTTTTGTGTTACTGTATCTTTATTATTTTTCAGTCTACATGAATTGGTTCAAGATGGTGTTAACGGATATACATTTAAAAGTAGTGATGAACTGTCCAAACTTATAGTGAGATGGTTTGTAAATTTCCCTAATAATGAACAACAGAACAATATTTGTGAGAAAATGAAGGCAGAATTAGCCAAGTTTCAAAAGTCTAGATGGGAAGACAACTGGAACTTGAGAGTGAAATGCTTCTTTGAATAACATTAATAAATCATCATCATACAGGCCAAGTAGTGCTAACAATAAAAATATGTTATCTCTCATTTTTTATTTATAAAAAAAATATTATTATACCACAGTACATTTTAAAAATAAAAACTATACTTATACTAATAGTCTTTCGATTTCTTGTTGAATGCTTTCTATCTGGGGTTTAAGTTGAGAGCCCTCATTGATTGTAATAGAACAAGCAATAATTGGCCGAGAAACACCACATGCTCTGCCTAATGCTTGCTTAGATCTGACAAACACATATGGCACATTTTTGTCCTCGCAAAGTATTGGAATGTGTAAAACTATTTCCAATGGTTCTGTGTCAGCTGCCATGATTATGAACTCGGAAAGACCTCGATTCAAGGTCTTTGTAGCTTCATTGGCACCTTTGCGTAACTGTTTATAGTTGGAAGCTTGCTGCACTAAATTCAGAATTTTAGCAGTCAGAGGCGCATCTGCCAATGGGTACGCTTTTGGATTTACGGCTGCTTCAGTTTCAGCCTGCAATTAAATAAAATATGACATCACAACAACCACATGACAAAATAACCTATACCACAAACGGCAACAACTGATATAAACACAAGAACTTGAAAACAACATTACTGTACAATTTATTATTAACTTTCAGCAAGTACCTATTGAAATTCTTAAAGATCTCTTAAGTTTTTGGTATATATTCACACGTGACTTACCATGACGCTTGTCCTATTACCGAGTGTCGACTTTAAGTTCAACCTCTCGGCGATTTCTCGCTTCACTGAGGACTGCGAAATATATTAGTTATTCAGTCTGGATGTATAGATACGAAATAGGCTTCGTGTAGTTTTATGAGATAGAAAACTAGAAAAAGCCGCGTTTCTCTGACAGACAGACAGGCAACCGCATGCCGCAAACAAACTATGCTTTTTTTTTAATTAAGATTCTCCCTTTTTACGGAAGGCAAAGAGAACAATGCCCATACAGCCTCGTCTTAAACGAATTTAAAAAATAATTAAAATAAGGCGCCAACCGCTATCGATGAAATCCCGCCAAAAATTCAAAACAAACCATGCTAGGGCTCAGTGCTGTCAGGTTTCAATTTAATTTTACCCTTTACACCGTTTTAGTCCACACTATGTAGATTTCAAAAAAAAATACCCAAAAAATAATTCAATGGCCAAAATCGCGGATAAAGTTTGGCACTATATGAGGAAGAGTACAAGAAGTATTTACAACCGTGTAGCCGCAATGGTTCCAACAGAGGTCAAAGCAAAGTCGTGTGGTTCTCAAAGGGACTTACCACCATGCAGCTGGAGCACTAATTTTAATACCATTTATATTCTGCAAGAGAATTGAAGAGCACCAAATTCCATGAACACCGTAGCGTTTTTCACATGCTAGACAACCTCAAAGACTTTGTCATTTATCAACGACTCTTTTCCTGCTCCTATTTGTGAATCGAAAATTTTTCTTAATTCACTATAATAAATGTCTTTTAATCAATACTTTATTTGTAAAAAGTCCTTTGAACACGTAGAATTTTTCTGTGTCACCATACCACAACACGACATTTTTAGGGTTACATACCTCAAAAGGAATAAACGGAACCCTTATAGGATTACTTTGTTGTCCGTCTGTCAAGACCGTTTTTCTCAGGAACGCGTGGAGGTATCAAACTGAAATTCATATCTTATACACAGGTCTTGGAGCTGTGAAAAATCAAACTTCTAAGCCAAAGCAATCAAAAGATAGAGCCGTTAATACCGCAAATTTTCGAAACTCGCACGAGAATCAAAACCTACAGGGAACTTCCCGTGAACTTAGAATTTTGAAATTTGGTACGAAGTAATGTCGTCTTGTCAGATATAGGAAAAATTACGAAAACCGTACATTTTTAGGTACATCATATAATAAAAAAAACAACGACGAGTTTTGCACGAATTGCTTTAATTATCAGTATAAAAGTACTATCATTTATATGGTAGAAAAGAATATTTATTTATTGCGCTATCGTACACAAACATGACAATTTATATTCAGTACATTAAAAAGTTTATCTCAGAAAAATCAACTTGCATGAATCACATTTAAGCACACCTAGCGACATCTATTATAAAAAAAAATATGGGTGCGTGTACTTAAGTACGCGCGTGAGAAGTTATACTTCTTTTTGGAATTATTAAAAAATAGTTTTTAATTGCATGCAGATAATTAATTACAATAAGATAATAAAAGGATTGGAAATGGATAGTCAACGCAGTCAATAAAGTTCAGTTTTAATTTGAAAAATTTAATTCAATTCAATTTAAATCACTACTGAATAAAATTTATTAGCACATATAAATTTCGCATTTGTATAATATTATAACACGTGTTAAGAATATAGAAACTAGAAACATGTAGATAAATATTATAAATATGAAAACAGTGATCAGAGGCGACGAGCGTCCCAACATGTGCGACTAAGAGATCCTATTACTATTTTGTTGGAAGCTTTTTTTCGAGACTTACGAGTAATGTGCGGTTTAGCGGCTGACTTCATGGTGTTACTTTTCTGTTACAGTGTTGCGCGCGCATCTTAAAATTTCACTCTCATCATTTTTTCATAACGCGCCCGCGGCTAACTTCATTATGTTACTTTTGTGTTACAGTGATGCGCGCGCATCTTAAAATTTCACTCTCATAATTTTTTAAAACGCGGCTATAGAAGTATAACTTCAAAATGCATTTTCATCGCAATGCCAATGCAATGCTTCGCCACCTGGACGTCCTAATTAGAGACTTATTATTATAATACAATAAAATATTACTATGTTTTGTCCAATATATTGAAAGTCAACAGCCTTTCCAATTTTATTGTTTTCGTCTTACTTATTGTCGAGGACACGTGACCTAATCGAAAATTCGTAAGGACGTCAGGACTGACGCGATCAGGCCACATATCCTGACGCGAGTTTAACAGTTTTAACCCATTACAAAAAAAGTTTACAACGCCGCTAAAGAAGTTTTCACTTCAAAAATATTTTTTTAATAATTATTAATATACCTACGTGTTTGCGACCTTCGATGCGCGAGTCCGACTCGCACTTGGCCGTTTTTTTCTTGTCTTGATTAGCAGCGACATTTTGTAAACGGCGATATAATTGTATAGCAAATGTTTTTTTTAATCGATAGGTCCGACAAATGACTCCACCCCACCTGATGTTAAGTGACGGTGAAGTCCAGACGTGAAGATAGCTGATACAGCAGTTCACCTGCCACACCAGCCATCCTCACCCTGCCGGCCTGCATGTTGCTTCTTAACGCCTCTTTTAATTTTTGGGGCATATTATGAAGTAACAAGGCAGTAAAAAAATACCTAAAATTCTTACGTAAATGACTAATAATTTAATATTTAAAGGTAAATAAATTATATAAGGATAAGAAAATAATATTCATATTAATATTCTACCTCTTAAAACTCTTCGTTCGTCTTGCTTTCATCCCGAAGGCAAATCTTAAAACAGCGAGCGTTTTTAAACTGATGACGCCGATTGCAAAACGCGAAATCATACAAATGGCCTGCGATAGACATACTAAGTAGTTTACTTGCTCAGTCAGTGAAGAGTGAATTGAATTGTCTTATGGTCAAAACCGTTGGCAGTCCAAAGAGATGGATCTTCATTATCCTATTAATGACCCCGCCATCTGGGGCACAGGCGTTCCCTTTCGATGGAATAGGGGGATTGGGCCATCCATCCCACGACCCACTACGCGGACCCAGTGTGATTGGTGGGTTCTACGACTGCACACGCAGCCAGGACCAACACAGGTGCCGTCCGAATCACCGAGTTCGAGATAATAATGTTTTAGTCACCCATCATACAATGAACGATCGGAATGTTCAACTGCCACGATCGCAGATAGCACGCGATATCAAATTCCCATGAAGATAACTACCTAGTTGTATAGCAATATTATGTAGATGTTGAGACTGGTTTAAATGCATTTATAAGAAATAAATTCCGAACCCGGCTGCACTACACCTGCCAGGCTCGGTCGGTCGACTCAGCATCCTTCGCGCCCTTCGGGAGTCAGAAAACGCTTTCGCCTTTAAAATAGTTCTTTGCTCCCTTAGTAAAACAATATACTAGTTTCATCCTGTAACAGGTGTTTTTTTAAAAGGGTGTGCAATTCACCAAACACTGTTTTCTCTTGCAAACGTGAACTCATATACCAACAACGTTTCCTTATTTAACTGTTCGCTAAACAGCAGATTGATTAAATACGTTCGTCATTTCCATCGCTTTGGAAGGAGAAGCTCATTCGCGCAGGGGGTTAGCGGGATGGGGGACCAAAAACTTATTATCTGGTGTGCTTCGGAAGGCCGTTGGTCTCGAGCTGCATCTACAATGGTAAGCACCCACCAACAGTGGTGGATTTACCAGTAGGCTCAGTAGGCTGAAGCCTAGGGCGGCAAATTTGGCCCAAAATATACACAGAAAAACGAGTGACAAAAATTTTAATATTTTAGTAATGTGCAGTATACTCAACACTCTTACGTCCGTAATCCGTATATAAAAGATTACTAAGCGCACTGTAAAATATAGGTACTTATGTGATCATGAATTTTTAAAATATTCCAATAGCGTTTCAATATTAATTACAATGTAATTTTAGTAATTTTTTAAACTAACGGGGAAAAGCCGACGTAATATGGACGATAGAACACAAATGATTAAGTTGCAACTTCAGAATAAATATAATTGTGAACTAGCGTATTGAATTTCAAAGGTCAGTAGGGGCGGCAAAAATTGAATAGCCTATTAGCGGCAAAATTGTAAATCCGCCACTGCCCACCAATCCAAACCGCCCGCTGGTGACATACCCATTCTCCATGTTTCATACGGCAGACTTGTGTCCCAACTGGTGACAAGACAAGTAGGTTGATGAAGATCTGTTGTGTATATCGTCGCCCAGCAGTGAAAACCTCGGATGTCCCATTTCCTCAAAAAAAATTTTATTTGTTCTTTGGATTGATAAACTCGGTAAGCACAGATTACTCTGGCAAACTTTAGAATCAGCTACTCCTAGCGCCATCTATGACGAGCTATGAGAACCTTGTATCGAAATTGGCTCGGCCATTTTCGTCTGAGAAACTCGCCAGTACGGTTGATCATAGCGTTATTCCGGATTAAAAATTGAAAAAAGTGTGTACAAAGTGTCCAATTTGTGTTGTAAAGTGTCAAACTACAGCGAAAAGTAAGTGCTCTTTATGATTTATTAAGTTTTATTAAGAATTGACTACGTTTTCTAACGATTTTGTCTTGAAATGTATTACTAACCTCGTACTCGTTGTATTATACCTATGAAAAGCTTGTAAACTTGGTGACGGGTTTTTCACTGCTATCATAGCACTTATAGATAATCTTGTATGACCCTTTACGAGGTTTTCACTTTGAATACTACCACGTATAAGCCTTAACAAGTTATTCACACTTATAGATATAATCTTGTATGACTCTTTACGAGGTTTTCATTTTGAATGCAGCCGTATATAACAACGTATAAGTCTTAACAAGTTATTCACACTTACAGATATAATCTTGTATGACCTTTTACGAGGTTTTCATTTTAAATGCATCCATGTATAACTACGTATAATCCTTAACAAGTTATTCACATTTATATTTGGAATCTTGTATAAACCTTTACGAAGTTTTCATTTTAAATGCAACCATGTATACGCCTTACCAAGCTATTCACACTTCCGGATTTTTTTACACAAACCTCGTATAGGTATATACGTAATTTCCTAAGATAAAATCACAAAAATTAAATAGTCGTATGGGCAAATGCGCGTTTTTTAGCGATTTAAAAAACTCACTTGTACACATCCGAGTTCTGATTTCTTATTATTTCATTACAGAATGCAAGAGTCTGAAATAGAAAGTGAAGAAAATGATCAGAATTCCTACTTTGTTAGTGACGAGGTTACATATTTGAAGGACTCGGGCAAGGAACCATCTATCAATACATTAATTCAGCAAGATTTAATGCAGTTCCAACTTCCAAAGCCCACGTTAGGTTCCGCATATTTTATTTCTTCAAGTCGTACTGATTCGCCAATTTCTGAGGAAATATTACCATTTTCACAAAATCCCATGCTAAATGCTAAAGATTCCTGTTCTAATTATGATCTTGGAAAATATTCTCCAGAAATTGTACCAAATCCAAAACGTCGTCGTCGCCGCACAAAGAAACCCAAATCTAATCAGATGGCTCAAGAAAATGAGTCACTGCAGCAGCTAAATAAACCGCAAGTAAATAAAGTTGATTGTCACTCTTCGAATGTGAATGCACCAAAAGACTTCGTTTTAGACAATGAAGGTTCAGTCATAATTTCACCTGAAATAATACCCGCAAAAAAACAGTGCTCTATTCAAATAAAACCTACGAATACATTCCAAAAATCTAGTTCACCTGATGTAGAAATAAAAGATCAGACGAAATCTTCACAGTCACAAGCTTTGATTGAAAAACAGCATAATATCGACTATCACATCACAGACACTAATAACAGTACACCACAACCAGAAAAAAATAATCAAAGATCATCCACCCTCATACCTATTTCAATAATTACTGTAAATGCCCCTCACAGCAGTAGTTTTGACGTGATTGTTGATGAACTTCCCTTAGATTTGAGCATGAAAGAATATATCACTCAGGATAATATCAACAATAACCATCAACACCTATCTATATGTGAAGGAAAAATGCCAATACCGCCAGTCTCTTTAACTTTCCACACGCCGTCATCGCTTATTTCATTATCGCTTGCAGCAATTTCAAAGGAGTCTTTGTCTTTGCTAGTGCACTCTTCAAATGACGTATCAGCAACGGTTGGAAAAGAAAGCTGTCCTATACCTTCTACTAGTAGAGCTGATTTGGTGTCTCCACGTCCTTCCTTCCACTTTGATGACCCGTGGGATGGTGATTTTTCTCCCGACGATGGGGATACTGACTATCAACCAAGTGAACAATTAAATACTTCAAATGATTCGTTGACCCTGGAACCAGTTGATGAGACAAGAGTGAAGCGAAAACGTGCCAAGCGAGGCAAAGCAAATAAAGAAAACTGGACTTATAATCAAAATAAAATTAAAAGAATGAAAGGAGACAGTTACAGTGGGAGGAGGAAAACAGAAGACGGAAAAATTGTGTTCGATCTTGAGAAAAACGAGCGCAGTGTTCAGCCTCGTTGTGATCATAATGATCGTTGCAAATATTTTGAATGCTACAAATTAACAGAAGAAGGTCGAAATATGTTATTTAAGAAGTACTGGAAGCTATCGTGGGAAACAAAAAAGATTTGGGTACAACAAACTGTTCAAAAACAAGGTGTTTCCATACGGAAGTGTAGCGGAAACAGTTTTCGCAGAGGGAATACTTTCAAGTACTCATTTAATGTGTTGGGAGAAAAATACAAAGTTTGCAAAAAAATGTACTTAAATACTTTGAATATTGGCGAATGGTCAGTACACAACTGCACCAAAAATGAAGACAGAAATGAAGTGGCGTCGGAGTCTGAAAAAACCCGAAGAAATAACGGCGTAAAAGCATTCGAAGACATTGGAAGAAATCATGCAAAAGAGTTTTTAAATAATTTACCAAAATTAGAATCACACTACTGCAGGAAGACGACAAGCAAACTTTATTTAGAACAGATATGGCAAAGCAAAGAACAACTATACAGAGAATACGTCAAGCAACTTTCAGACAAAGGCATTAATGAATATAAAGTTTCACAGAAGATATTCTTTCAAGAATTCGATGCTATGTTTGTCACTCTTTTCACCAAAAAAAGACCAATGTGACGTGTGCTGTGCCTTCAAAGTCGGGAACATTGCAGAAGATGTATATACCGCACACAGAGAGAAAAAAGAAAGAGCAAGACAAGAAAAAACCGCAGACAAAAATAATCCTGATCCGGAGACAATGGCATTTACTTTTGATTTACAAGCAGTGCTTCTATCACCCTCATTAAAAGTATCTGCACTATATTATAAAACAAAACTCAAAGTACACAACTTTACTCTGTTCGATATAAAAAATAATGACGGTTATTGTTATATTTGGCATGAATGTGAAGGTGGTCTTTCTGCAAACGAATTTTGCAGTATATTGCAGCACTTCATTGAGCATTACATTCCACAAAACGTCAAGCACATTATTTTTTGGAGCGATGGATGCACGAATCAGAATCGAAATGCTATACTTGCAAATGCTTTACTGCAAATTGCTGTCCAAAAAGAAATTACGATTACCCAAAAATATCTTGAAAAGGGACACACACAAATGGAAGCAGATTCGATGCATTCCACAATAGAACGACAACTAAGGAATCGAGAAATATACTCCCCAGCCCAGTACATAGATATCTGTCGAAATGCACGATTAAATAAACCGTATGTCGTAAATTACTTAGACCACAGCATTTTCCGAAAGTTTAGCTCAATGCCATATTTAAAATCTATCAGACCGGGTAAGAAAGCAGGAGAAGCAACTGTGTTTGATTTGCGTTGCATTGAGTATAGAACTAACGGAACTATTCACATAAAACAAGAGTTCTCTGAAGAATTCGAACAATTACGCCGAAAAATTAAAAAACCAAGAGATTCAGACTCAATGCCTCGTCTGTATGACGCAAGGATTCCTATACCTCGAACTAAATACATCCATTTGCAGGAACTGAAGGAAGTTCTACCCCAAGACGTTCATTTATTTTATGACAGTTTACCCCATGAGTGTCCAGATAACAGGAGAAATGGAAATCCCTGCTCGTGCAGAAAAGATGTTTTGAGCGAAGAGTCTAAAATATTATTATTAACAATGAGACTGCTTAACTAAGTCTGATTATTTGAGATTAATACTAGTTCGTGCTATTGATTGATTTAATTAAGAAACCTTAATGGATCTCACTATTATAGTTAGTTGTAGTACTCGTAATAGACACTGCTATTTTTTATTCCTGGTTTGAAGCTAAGGTACCCACCTAAACTTATCCTAGGTAAAATGTTCATAGTCAAGTAAATGTTCTTTAAGGCTTGGTGAGTTTATGAAAGGTGGGCGTTGGTTTAATTTTATATTATTTGTAATAATTTCTAAAAATGTTTTCTTTTATGATCTTTTAATAATATGATGTGATAATGATAATGTTTACGCATCTTTGCTAGATAATGGAGACATTTAATACTTTGTTTTCTTTTTGTTCAAAGTTTATACTTTTGGAAGACGTCCTTTATTGTGTTTTTCTAAACATTTTATTTTGTTTAAATAAAATGCGTAAGTTTTTACGCATTAAAATATTGTAGCTAGATTAAGTACATATTAATACAATATTTAAATGAAGAAATTTAAATATTTTTTCTTATTTTGTTTTGTTCAAGTTTATACTTTTATAAGAAGTCCTTTATTGTTTTGTTTCTTTTATAATGCCTTTAAAAAATGTAATTGTGTGTCTTATTGTTCCTTTACGTATATTATTATTTTTTGTAGACATGGCAAGAAAGTACAAACTGATTACCAAAGCTGTACCTACATTGTTTTAATTTGAAAACCTTACATAATCTTACTAAAAAATATTAAGTTGTGATGAAAACCTTGTAAGTCACATCAAACTTATTTAGGCACACGATATTAGAACCAATGTGATACGTACCTAAGGAATGAATTAAATCTAAAAAAAAACAAAAGCTTAAACCTTCCCCACCCATACATTTTTTTTCAGCAGACAGTTTTTTCTTATTCCTGTAAAATTTTGTTATAAACACTTACGTGGTTTTCACTGCTGGGCGACGATATGCAAGGTAACATCTAAAATTATTCAAGGTGGATGAACATCAGCGTTGAGTGGTTCACAAACCAGGCTGAACCGTTTCCTAGTGTCTTTGTTTATTTATGAATCGGTTTTTCAACTGAGCATGATTAGGAGATACTGAATTATTAATTCCTATTGATTTAAATAAGAAACACTTATTAATAAAAAACCGGACAAGTTTGAGTCGGATTGGCCCACCGAGGGTTCCGTACTTTTTAAGCAGGTACGCAGTTTAAACAGCCTTATCTTTTTTTACGTTTACTAAAAAGTGACATTTTTTCAGCTTCAATGGATTGTACACTTGAGTATAATTATGTAAAAAATCGCCGGCCGCGTACTCAGCCCCCACGCGCGGGCCTACCTGCGCACGTCTGCGGGGTCCCCGCGATACCCCGGGAGACCCCTGCCGCGGAGCCCCGGCTAGGCCGGGAGGCTGCTAGGTGCGGAGACGCGGAAGAATCCCTAAACGGGGATCCCGCGGCTTCGCGCTAAGCAGCTTAGAGGGTATTCGCAGGACTTTTTTAGCGGATATTATGCCGTAAAGCGCCCGTAAGAGTTGAGAGGTCCTCGGTGGACAGCCATTGGGGCGCCCGTAAGACTTGCGGGAGCCAGGTGTGAGGTCCGTTCGGCGGTGTGCCTCTTAAAGGCGCCGCCGTCTGTAAATAGCATTTTTTACCAGCGTTATAAAAAAAAGGGAAGGTGACGGCGCAAGTGATATTTATGGTATCGTTAGCGTCTATAGGCTATGGTGGCCGATTACCATTAGGCGGGCCATATGCACTTTTGACACCATTTTAATTTATAAAAAAAACATGGAATACTTTCATCACACCACGCTATACCTACAATATTGTAAGGACTTGTTACCCACGTTATACACACATAGAATCATAGTGAAGCGCAGCCCTAGGCATTAGGGTGCTATAATGGTGAATGTCTTTGATTGTATACCACGCCGACCTTGATTCTCTGTGGTATAAAAATACTACAAATTAAGGATTCTGGTATCATCTATACGATTGTCACAAACAATCGGGATACAGATTTATCTAGAACGTCGCGTCCGTCGCTTGAGGTGTGGGTACTCGCGACCTGAAGTACCTGGAATTTTGCTGTGCAGACCAACGATATTTAATACCCTAGATACCCCACGTGCGCTCAAAATGTGTCCCAACCAAGAAGTGCTTGAACACCACTGAAGCACTTCTTGATTCAAAGCCACGCGCGGACCGTTGAATAAGTATATTTATATAGAAATATATGACTGGAGTATAAATGCTCGTATTCATCACATAAACATCTGCCCCCACCGGGATTCGAACCCGGGACCTCTCGAGTCGGCGACACCATGAAACCTGGAGTACAAACCACTCGGCCACGGAGGTCGTCAAGGTAAATAATTTAAAACTTATGTACTTAGGACCAGTATCGCTTGAAAAGGTCCCAAGGAGTCGCAAGCTGGTGGCAACTTCTTCAAGCTTTTGTGGGACTCCAACTTATATCTATACTTACCAAATTAACTCTTAATCGGTTCAGTAATGCTAGCCATACACACTACGAGAAATCGTTACGATCAGACTGTACAGTTCGAACGGAGCAGTTTATCGGACGTGGCATACGTATAGAAAACTGTGCAGTTTTATAACATACACGCTACGATTTATCGGTACCGTTCGAACTGTACAATCTGATCGTAACGATTTCTCGTAGTGTGTATGGCTGGTATAAGAGTGGACTAGAGAGAATCCTTTGGCATATTAAAAATTTAGTATGATCTCTCACGTTCATCTGTCTCATATATAGAGCAACACGACAGACACGGCCAGAACGGGAGTAGCCATACACAGCTTTCCCCTCTGTCGAGTTGGGCATACAAATTGGGCATAAAATCGATACACGTGTGCAGGATTTGGAGATGTATTTTGTAATTTTTTATGTGTAAGTGTCGTAATTGCAGTTTTGTTTGATGTGCATGTACATTAAACTGCGTTTGTGTGTATATTCCCTTGGCAAAAATTACAGATTGATTTGAATAGTATTATGTCACTATGGCTACTCCCTTCCGAGTTGCTCTATGGTCTCATACACTCACTTACCAAATAATTTTGTATTAATAATTTTATGAGCTGCTTTTATGAACTTCACATAGTTATGTATATGAATATTATTTTAATGACATTTTCTGTTATGGCATTGACAGAACTGTCTACAAACTTTAACAGTATTTTTTGATTTTAAGTTGTATCTTACCTAATGTTTTATTAAGAAGAAAAATACTTTTTAATTAAACAATATGTACACTCGAGTCAACATTGACTTTAGATCATGAAGCAAGTTGTGACACGTATCTTTACTAGTTAGGTTTTTTGAAAACAGCGTTGGAGTTGTTCTGGCCAGCTTGAGTTGAAAGGAAAGCGAGATGACCCTTGGGGCACTTATTCGCATAATGTCCTTTAGTGCCGCACTTGAAACATGTCACTTCTTCTAGAGGTTTGTGAATCATGCGCTGCAGGCGCTGAGCATTTATATCTTCGTTTTCATTCACAGGTTTCACATAACCAAGAGCCCTATATCTAGCTTCTTCTTGTCTCTGAGCTGCTTCTCTTTGCTGAAACATAATATTTTTCTACTAAAATTTACTGTACATATAAAAATTTGATCTAACAAGTGCCTTCATGAAAATTGCATCATTGTCAGCCTATTAATGTCTCCACTGCTGTGGCACAGGCCTTCCCTATGGATTGAATAGGGAGATTGGATCATGACCCACTACGCACGCCGAGTGCGGATCAGTGGGTGCTGACGACTGCAGATGCAGCTGGGACCAACAGCTTATCGTGCCTTCCGAAGCACGGAGGAGCTCGAGATAGTTAATTTTTGGTCACCCATCCAATGACCAACCACTACAACTAACGCAGCCGAACACGCTAATCACTTGCGCTATCGAGCTCCACAAAATTGCATAACTAGTACTCATGCACTTCTTCTATTTTTTTACTAAGTATGTAATATGTATAATTAAAAAGATAAAATCTGATATTGTACATTCAAATTAAGTTTATGATGTATAGAAGCATTGTTAAAGCATTTGTTTATAATAGAATGAAATCAACAAACACACATTGAAGATCTTTGGAATAACAACATCAATCTATGATTATATTTAGTTGAAATCTAATATTATATAAACATTATAATTAAAAACTAAGGTTCATAACTTACCTCTTGCGGTATTTTATTACAACTAGAAGCTTTGTGACCAACTTCAGAGCAGTAATGGCACACTGGTAGTCTTTTAGCATCTTTAGTTTGCTCTGGGGGTGCAGGCAACTCAAAACGAGGATGCATGAATTTGCAGCTCGATCCATCAGGACAAAATCCAGCAAGATAATTCATGCATAAAACACGGCGCACATGCCGGTGCCTACAGTGAGGTCCGTGGCGACAAAAACCTCTATCATACCTATAAAAGGTTTTAAGTTATCATTAATTCAAGGGAGTGCACTCAGATTGAGTTTAGCAGCATAAAGGGTGAAGTGAACAAACCAAATTGATCTCCGCAAATGATAAAACGATGATACAAGTTGAAGAATTATATATTTTTAATAAAAGCAGAAAATTAAGCTAACAGATAGAAATAGGTAAATAGAACAGACAACGTCAAAAGCAACCAACGAGTAAAAAACTACATCAGCTATCAAAATAGCAAAGAGGTCCGCAACAAAGGGCAATGCCTTCTTTGTATGAAAATTTGGTTCAACAAAGGCAGACATTTTATCCCAAACCTTTTAAATCACTATAATTTTGTATCAGTATATGTAAAAGGAAAATAGCACCTCAAAGAAAAAAGGTAGTATAAGCAAAAAATAAGCCAATTTGCAATTATCTATAATATTCAATCATGTATTACCAATACAATATCTAGACAGGGGGTACATTGTTTGGAAAATAAACATCTAGTGTGTGATATGCCACAGGAAAACAACTTTATCCAATATAAAAGCTTGAAAGACACTAGCTTAGAGGAAAAGTGTAGTAAACAAAAACTGAGCAGTCAGAGTATGTGAAGCAATTGTACCACCACAGTGGCTGGCAAGCACAGAAGCTCTTACGATACAACGTGAAATTTGAATTTGTGATTTTGTATTGCAACGGTTAAATCCTTTGGTTCTCATTGGTTACCTTAAGTTTGCATTGGTTTAAATAGGAAATGGTTTCATTTCCAAGTCCTATATGATTGTTATACACATTTAGGTTAGATTTTTATATTACCTTAAACTCAATATCGCATAAATCGAAGCAAGGTAAAAATCGTAGTGGGCTCTAACTATAGCCTTCCCTAATCAAAAATCATGGAGTCACTCACTTTAACTCTTCTTAAATAGATAAACATTGTTGTTATTCACTAGAACTCACCATGGGCAGTCTTTGATTTTACTCTCTGGGTCAATGTGAAGAAATGGGCACTCCTTATTGTGACAAGCATTGAATCTAGCATAGAAGTAGCATTCGGGCATTTTTGACATGTCATATTCATGGAGAAATTCGCATTGATCCCCTTTTTTACAGAGACCTCTTAGCCAATGCTTACAAACAACGGTGCGATCTCCCCGCACATGCCTGTACGGACACTGCGGGCCATTTGAACACCCACCAGGCTGACTGAAGAATTCGCAAACTGCTGCTGTAGATTCTATAATAATACAATAATAATACATACCTCATGAAATGTGTTTTCTAATGAATATACAAATGTAAAAAAGGAACCAATTCAAGAGCAACTCACTATCCATTCCTGGGAAAGGAAGCGGTAGAGCCCCATATTGTTCTTCTAAAGCGTAATCTATATCAAATTTAATATGATCTACGTTTGCAACTAGTACTTCCATTTCCAAAGTTTGATTTTATTATCAATTTATTAGTTTCAGTAAAAAAATATTTTTCTAAATCTTATTCTACAGCTACAGCACATACATACAGATTTTGTTTGACACTGTCAACGTCAACTGTCTTTTTTTTTTATTTTTTTTGTATAATTCTCCCTTTTCAGGGAAGGCAAGGGAAACAATGCCCATACAGCCTAGTCTTAAGTTAAATTATTCTGTTTTTCTTTTTACATTAGAATGTCGGTGTGACACATTCTAATGTTTCTTGAAGTGTTTGGCACGAAATGTATCGAGCTGACTTTTTCGATAAGCTTCTGTGAGGTAGTCAATACTACAATAAAATTCTCACGCTCACTTGACCGGAATAGCGTATATTTTGACGATTCTACAATTCTTCAGTTACGCAGACAGTTGTAACACAAAATCACACCAATTTTATTTCACAATATCCACTATGAACGAATTTAAGAATAATTAAAATAAGACGCCAACCACACTCGATGAAATCCCGCCAAAAACTCTATTTTTTTTTTGTACTTAACAAAAAAAAATCCCTTTTCAGGGAAGGCAAGGGGAATAATGCCCATACAGCCTAGTCTTAAGTTAAATTATTCTGTTTTTCTTTTTACATTAGAATGTCGGTGTGACGCATTCTAATGTTTCTTGAAGTGTTTGGCACGAAATGTATCGAGCTGGCTTTTTCGATAAGCTTCTGTGAGGTAGTCAATACTACAATAAAATTCTCACGTCCACTTGACCGGAATAGCGTATATTTTGACGATTCTACTAATTCTTCAGTTACGCAGACAGTTGTAACACCAAATCACACCAATTTTATTTCACAATATCCACTATGAACGAATTTAAGAATAATTAAAATAAGACGCCAACCACACTCGATGAAATCCCGCCAAAAACTCCTCTTTTTTTTATTATTTAAGATGCCGATAAGATGTTTTCAGAGAAGGCAAAGAGAACAATGCCAATACAGCCAAGTCTTAAGTTATTTTAATCTTCTTTTTTTTACATTAGAATGTAGTTGTGACTCATTCTAATGTTACTTGGAGTGTTTGGCACGAAATGTATCGAGTTGGCTGTTCCAATAAGCTTCTGTGAGGTGGTCAACACTACAATAAAGTTCTCACGTCCACTTGACCAGAATAGCGTATATTTTAAAGATTCCACTAATTCTTCAGTTGCGCAGACGGTTGTAACACAAAATCACACCAAATTTGTTTCACAATATCCACTATGAACGAATTTAAGAATTATTAAAATAAAACACCAACCGCACTCGATGAAATCCCGCCAAAAACTCCTGTCTTTTTTTTATTATTATTTATTCAGGCCTTGATTACTACTGAGTAACAACCTTAGTAAAGAACTGTCTTTAGCCATGTCAACTGTCTGTCGAGTGTATCGAGTAGACTGTGGTGTCTATTTCGTCCGGCGTGAATCTCTAAACTTAAAATATTAGTCTCTCCTTTTTATTCTGTATCCCTATACATTGGGAATGGCAATGATGTATTATTGTCAAATTTAAATTATGGTTTAGAGAATTATGCCAGAATCACCACCAGACCAGGGCTTGTAACTGGTTTTCGGTAAATAAAGGTTAATACTGGTTTTTAGTAAAGGTTTCGTTCGGAGCGCGTCCGAACTAGGGACACGAAAAAAGTATCGATACTTTGTGGTATCGAGTACTTTTCCTTTCGATACCGATACTTTTGTACTCGATACTTTGTATTCGATACTTTTACTTATTGAGTACTTTTTTGCAAGTAAGTATCTAAGAGTAAGTATATCGATACTTTTAAAATTTGGACAAGCGCCTCATATTGTGATGATATATTCAAATTCTTTCCAATCTGTGACTGTGTTTATTTTGCGCTTTGTTTTGTTTCATAGTTATTTATTTAGCGACCATATTGTTAGGAATTGTGATTGATGATTCGCCGTTTATTGTGCTTTTCGCTTGACTGCATTTGATGTATTCAAGTGTAACACTATTATTCTGTCTGTGCTGTGTATACCTATTTGAAACCACGGACCTGAAAAAAAGACGGACGTAACCTCTTCTACAATTATAATATTGAGTGAAGCATGCCAATGGCCGCCGTTAACTGCGTGTCAGATTCAAGTAACATTTTAATTATTAATGTGATATTAATGAACACTGATCACTTGATCTATCTATAAAAAAAAACTATAATAAAATTGGATTGTTTTTCTTTCAATTTTTAACCCGGGGGGGGGGGGGGGGTTGCTCATCGGGCCACAGAGGATCCGATAAGGCCCTATGAAATGTACTCGATACTTTGAAGTATCGATACTTTTGTTTCGATACTTTTACGAGTACGATACTTTTTTACCGATACTACTCATGAGTACAGTATCGATACTTTCTATTCGATATCGTGTCCCTAGTCCGAACCTACAATCTAAATAAACCTGTTTAATCCAGAGCGACACGTGCACGCGTCGGTAACGCTTGAAGTTTGTTTTGTTTGATCTAATCAAGTTACAACTTGTTAATGCTCAGAGATTGATGCATTTATTGGCACGTTTGCGAGCGTCTAGTGAGTCAAGTTATTCATTTTGTAGTTGTGTACTGACATACTACTTCACTCACTCGCTCTGTAGTTGGAAAGAAACTAACATAAAATCATTATAAATTTGAATGGAAACGGCGAAGGCGATGCCGTCAGTAAGAGCGAAATGAAACCCTTTAAAAACTGCTAAATTAATTCAAACCCTATTTGATTTTGCTTTTTAGGAAAACCGGTTTTTTAAGGTTAAGGTAGAGCCAAACCTAAATAAAACGCTCCTAATGTACTCAGTACTGATTAAGGATACGGCCATAGTGCACTCAGATTCAGACTCAGAAAACAAGCTCGAGAAATAAACAGTGTAGTTAAAGCAGGGTGGCCATAGTGGCTGCAGGCAACCTGCTTAAACTACACTGTATATTTCTCGCGCTTGTTTTCTGAGTCTGAATGCACTCTGGCCGTACCCTTGGGGTAAACAAGCCCTGCACCTAGGGTTACCATCCGCCTTGATTTGCCTTTTGTACGGCTTTTTAATTTGTCCGGTTTTTTTAACTAGATGGAATATGGGTAAATTACTTTTTAAGTTATATCAAATAAGTCAAATAATCTTTATTAAGTTCTCATTAATTTAAAACAAAAAAAATAACCTAAGAGACTCCCCTCCCGATGCGAGCGTCTGCTACCACGCGTATAATATCACTGTTACTAAGTGGGTGATGTTTGCATTTTGTGACTAAAATGTCCGGACTTTTATCGAAATGTCCTGCTTTTTGTCAGGACTTTTCGAAATATTTGAATAGTAACCCTTCTTGCATCAGACTTTGGACCACAGAATTTCTCTTGGCTACGTTCTAAAGCTACGCTCTGCGTGCAATTTTTTACCCTGACGTTTAATATTAAGAAAAAAAAAAAACGTCATTTTTTTTCTCGTTGAGCGTTGGTTTTGAACGTAGCTTTCTGATAATAATCTGTGTTCTCTTTTCTGTCCGTCAACAAAAAAAAAAGTTTGTTAAAATCAAATTTCTATTTTATTTAATCTCAAAATCAAACTTCCTGAAAATGTCTCTAACAGATTTGAAACATCAACTCCGTAAATTCGATTTTCCAGTATGTGCCAAAGAAGCTCTAAATAGAATAGGTTAGAGTGAATATTAAGTAAATAAATAACTGCTGAATATTATATGATATATTCGTAATAAGTATGATTAATTGTTTTAGAGCAGCTGCTGGTAGGTCGTGTGGCACCGTCGAACAAGCAACTGGATATTGCCATGGACATCATAGCTGAATTTGTATTTTGCGAAGTTGACCGCCGCAGTGGTCGACGCACTGCCGGCATCACTCCTCTTCAAGAATTACAATTGATTGATATAATCTGCGAGTACTTGTCTGCCTGCGTCAATGACACAACCAAGAATACCATATTTTTATCTTTATTTGGTGGCATGGAGAGTCAAAGGAGATTGAAAATTTTGAGTATACTTGCCAGTATGGCTGTATCTGCATCGAGTACACCAGTGAGTTTGGTCTACTAACCACTATTTTAATATTGAATTTTATAAGTTTAATCAATTACTGGCTAGATAAATATAACCTTTTTTAATATTTCAAGAACTATGTAAGTTCTTAGATACCATAAAGATTAACAGCAAGATTTAAGCAGTATTGTGATTAAATTCCTGACTGTTTACAGATTATATGATCTTTTCTAGGATTTTTGAAACAAACTAAGCTGGCTTCTCTGTTTAATTGAGTAACAAACTGTTCTTCATTCAGCCGCTTTTAGATTTCATATGCTTAAAAATTTATTACCTCATGTGTAGAAAAGTTAAGTAATATTTAGGTATCATAAACTTACTACTGGATAGGACTTTGAGTCGGTCAGTTCAACATGTAATTCAGGTAATGAAAGGACAACAAAATGTTTTATTTCAATATTTTCAAGGTGTTACTGGCAGTTGGAGTGTGGTTGCAGCAGATGGGTTGTTCATCCTCCCAATCCTTGCAACTTGTGGAGAATATAATCAGGGATCATTTTTTTCTGAACACTTCTAACCAGAATACACTGAAGTCACTAGCCAACACTGCACCACAGTTTGTGTCTAACTTTATAACGGCCGTGACTGAGCTTTACATGCATGACTTGCAAGGAACAAAGAAGCTGCCTCCTAAAAATTTATTAGAAGTCATAACTTCTTGGGTGAGTGGTTCAAAGTTAGAAGATGCATTTAACTGCTAATAATGATATTGACAGTGGAAAAGCAAAAACGCTCATACGCCGTTTCGGAACTGCTTAAAAATTAACTTAATTTTAGTTTTTGCTTTTACACTGTTGATTTATGCTTTAAATAGGTACATTATTGTTATGACATGTTGAATTTAATTTTCTAAGCTGATAGTTTACTAATTGACAGTTGCTTTAAAGTGAATAACAAAGGTAACAGCAAGATATAAATGCCTCTTCTTTATACCTAATATTCAGGTGTTCTCCAACCCGACCCTCTGCATGTCTGCACAGTTGAATGCTGCTGCTTTACCAAGTGGCTCCATTCCTATGGCAGCTGTTACTCCATTAGCCGGACTCATCCATTGGTGTGCACTAGCGCCCCTTTATATTGATGAAGGTTGGTACTTTTGTTTATTATAATTTTCTTTTTAAGTGGGCTCGTTGTATTATCAGAAAGTATTGAATGAAAAATACCATTAAATGTTAATTTACATTACAGATTCAGAAATGGTGGAAGTTCTTGTGCCAATAAAGAGGATAAAAATTGAAAATGAGAGAGATCATCCAACATTGAAGACAAATGTAAACAAAACTTTGACAGAGGCTGAGTTGTATACTAAGTTGCATCTCGCAGTGCTACACAGTCTCCGCGCAGGTAGAAGGAATCATGGCCCACCAACAGCAGTGAATGCTCAGCATTTAGCAGGACTTGGACCTCATGTGCAGGCATATGCACACCAATTACTTAAGAGAGGCATAAAGCTGCAAAATGATGACAAGTTGCAGGTTTGTGTTATTAGCATAAATAATCTTTATATTTTGTATGGGACATTCCACATGAAGCAGACAAGAAAAAATTACGATGTTTTTGATTTTAGATAGATTTTGTTTAATTTTACCATAAATTTTTACCTGCTGCTTTACATGGAACGCCTCATATAATAAATAAATTATGCTATTGTAAATATCTACAATAGACCACCACCCTTCAGGAACACAAAAACATACACAAAATGATAACAAAGTCCTAGAAAATAAATTTTTGTTTTACATATTGTACCCCTGATGCGACACTATCACTTATGCAAATAAATCATTTTTTCAGAAGCGTTTAAAACTTTAACATCCCAAAACATACAATATTTAATGTTTTTTTTTTTATTTTTTTTAGATGAATAGCTAAGCAGTATAAGCTTTTCATCACGTAAAAATCTTTAAATATTGTATGTTTTGGGATGTTAAAGATTTAAACGCTCCTCCTGAAAAAAAATTGTTTTTGCATAAGTGACAGTGTCGCACCGGAGGTGCCATTATGTAACATCGGAAATCATCAAAGAGAACAAACAATATCACAACAAACTATACATATCTACTTAATGTGAGAACACTTAGCAGAATTAGAAAAAGCTCCGGAAGAGGTAAAATGGGACATGATCAAACTAAGTGAGACAAGCAAGATGGGGAGAGGAGATTAGAGAATATGACTATTATGTCTTTTACCACAATGGGGAAAGAAAGGAATGTATGGAATAGGCTTTAAAATAGGCTTTAGAAAGTCCTCAATATTTTTTTGGATGATTTATTAATTAAAATTTTGTCAGACTTATACTCCAGAGATTTTCTTATAGATAGTATTGCTTGACCCCATTCAATGTTTCCTCACATCCCATGTCATATATACCCAAATTTTAACTGAATCGAATAGTGATTGTTCCAGAACAATAAATTATGAGTGTTATTAAACAAACCAATATGTCCTCTGTCTCCAAAACCAGTCCCTTCTCACTGATAATAATTGACAAATGTGATGGCAACAAGGATTTTCAAAAAAAAAAAATTACAAGAGTGATTTAGCTTAATTTTTTAATAGCTTTTTGTTGTCTTAAATATTTTATATTAATTACAGGATTGCCTAGACAGAATAGGCCAAGCAGTTCAAGTTGCTTTGGCCAATGGGTGTGTGTATGGAAACATTAGCAACCTCTTGGCTGCCCTTGATACACTTCCCGAGAACAGGCTTCTTAGGATAATTATTAAAACACATCAGCAGACAATTTAACATAACATTCATATAGGTAATAATAGAGTCTTAGTTTTTCATACATGTAATGAAATTATGTTTAATTTAACTATAGTATCCATGTAAATATAATGATCATTGTTTAAGAAGTGTAAAGTTTTATTTATTTAAAATGGTTTAAATCTTCTACTTTGTTTTATTTGTGCTATTTTCTTCTTGTCTTCTTCAAACTTTTGGCGTAAAGTGACAATGTGTTTCATTTTTGATTCTCTAATTTGGAAAGTGTAAAAGTTTTTCAGTTCTTTCCTTTTTTTATTTTTCTCTTCTTTTTCCATTATTTTGTTTTCTACTTTTTCCGATCGAGCAAAGCTTTGCACTTTGCCTCTTTTAGTGACAGTTACCCATCCTTCATCATCTTCTTCTGTTAATGCTTTTTCTTTCTTTTCTGCTTTGGCCATTTCTTTATCATGGTGTTTCATGAAAATTTCAATTCTTTCTTTTAAAATTTTAGGCATTACAACAGAATTGTTGTACTGATTGATCCACTTTTTCATACCTACTTCTATTTGGTGATCTTCTGAATTTAATGGATTTAACTGTGATAAATGTAATGCTTTATCTAGCTGTGATACTTTTTCAAAAACAATATATGCCACCTTACAAGTTGATGGACTTTCATCTTGAATATACTTGAGTTTTGCAGCTTTTTTTTCTGCAGTGGTTGGTTTATCACAAAATTCTACTGATGTTATAGCACCAGCTTCTGAGAATGCATTAGTAATTCCTTTTTCGTCAACATAAGGAGGAATATTAACAACGAGAAGAGTTCGCCCTGATGGTCTATCCGCTGTATGTTCTCTCACAGCATGCTCCTTAATATATATTGTGTGCAGGAAAATAGAGTTTGTGAGTTTCAGTTCCAAAGCTGCAAAAATAAAAAGCCATACAATAGTGAAATTATTTTTGTTAGTTATGTCCAAACATGAAGGATTGTGAAATGTTAGTTTGACTAATGATTCAACTTTTATTAGATAAATTTATTCATTAATGGTTGATAATAATGAAACCATTAAATTCATATTTTATTCATTAGAAAAACTACAGTTGTTTTTTTACAATATAATATCTTAGATTAAAACAAAAAGGGTAGATACGGTACGCTCATACTTGCATCAAACAAAAACTGATCCCACTTTACTACATATGCAACACTCACACATTCACCTGTTTGTAAAGATACAATCGAACGAACGAAACAGCAATATTAGTTTCAACGGCAGCGCGAACGAGACGGCGAATCCGCGTCACTGCACTACCGACCAATCACGCGACCAGTACTCGACGTCACTACCGAATAAGATTCAAAATAATCAGCAATTTTTATGAAAAATATATTTTATAGTAATTACGAATGAAAAGTGATGCCGTGGGTTTTATTTTTAGTTCTTGAGCAATTTGAGCACTTTTTAAAAACACACTTAAGCATTATTTTATCATATAAACACAAAAAATTAGCAATATTTCTTTTTGGCGTTCACATGTTCGTCATTTGCATGTCAAGTTGTGACTAAAGCGATTGTGGTCTTGGGCCACAATTTATGCGGATCACTTTTGTGAGGCTAGTGCCGTATCTAACCTTTTTGTTTTAATCTAAGTATAATCATAAAGAGGGATATTCTAGTATCAGCCAAATCTGAAAAAAAAAGCTTATTTTCACAACATTTAAATGATCAGGGATTTTGCTTAAAATTATGTGATTATATTATTAGGGAAACAAACTTATTTTGTGTGTGAACTAAAAGAATTAAGGTTGTAGTTTGTCTGTGACTGTGGGCCAGGCATCAATTTCCGATATGTGGTCACATAACTAACCCAACTAAAGTATATACTTTTATTTTCGTGAAAATGCAGCAAGTTTTTATTAAAAATTTCATTTATTTATCAAATGCCTCGATTACAGTGGGGATTGAAACTAACGATTGATGACAAACAGTTTAGTCATGAATGGAATAATTTATTATTTATAAATTTTGTTAATTTGCTAAAACATCGGCTTCTATACAAATAAATTAAAACCTTACCTTTAAAATCTGCTGTTCGTTTTGTAGCTTTCATTGTTCCTAAATGAAAAACAGCTTTACCATGGATAGCACAAACACTACAGATTTTTTATTTAAGATAGTCTTCTTTGATGATTGATTTTATAAAACTATTTTATAAAACTACGACTACTGCTACAAGAGATTTTTGCGACTGCGTGCTAATTTATTAATTTTATAGGTTGTTCTGCTCAATAAGGAAATAACAGAGGTTTATTTTTAATGCCGGTACTTTATTTGGCTGTTCGTGATTGCTATATGTAAACTTGACAGCAGTCTGTCCTTATCATGCTTAATGAGGTATGAAAAGGACAGTCTGAGTCAAGTTATAAATAGCAATTAAGAATAGCCAAGTGAAATGCTAGCATTACACAATACATTTTTTTTACTATTCTCCCTTGTCAGGAAAGGCAAAGGGAACAATGCCCATATAGCCTAGTTCAAAATTTTGTAAACTGATGTGGAGTGTTTGGCACGAAATGTATCGTGTTAACTTTTTCGATAAACTTCTGTGAGGTAGTCCACATTACAATAAAGTTCTCACGTCCACTGAACCGGTATAATGTATATTTCAAAGATTCCACTGATTTGGTGCAGATGGTTGTAACACAAAATCACACCAATTTTATTTCACCAGCACACTATGAACGAATTTAAGTATAATTAAAAAAAGAAAGATCGGCGATACTGTGGTACGCGGTTGTTTATGCATAAAATATCTGTCTTATTATTTTATATTTGAGTGATTATTATTATGTAATTTTTTACCTAGCAGCACGATTTAATTATAAATCTTGAAAATACTGTAGGTGGTTGTGTGCTGTTATGCAGGGCAGGATATTATATAGTAAAATGGTTAGCATTTTGTGGACAATTAACTGTAAACATTTGTTTTCATAGATACCCATATCGTTTGGACTTAGAGCATTAGCTCTAAGCGTTTGGAAACATTTTGTTGAGTTTTAGAAGCTGAAATAGAATTGCTTTCAGTATTGTTTGAAAGTATGGATTTCACCTAGCTTAAGGCAGTTGAATATTTCTGACCGTAAACATAATATACTGTAAATTAATTTGGAAAATCTGTAATTAGCCTTACTGTTGGTTTACACTATACATAAATACTTTTGTAAACGCCGTTGATTTTCAAATAAATAAAAAAAGACCAACTGCACTTGAAGAAATCGCGCCTAAAACTCTTAAAAAGCACTAAAAAACAGTGTTTCCAGATCTTTAAACCAATGTTTTCGTAATTTTCATTGCCAAATTCCGTTTGACATCCGTATAAAAATCTGAACCTTTGATCTTAGATTAAAAAAAGGGAAGATACGGTAAGTTCATAAGTAACTCTCACACACGTATACGTCTGTGAATAACATTCAATCTAGCGAGCGAGACAGAACTGTACGCTTCAACGCAGAGCGAGCGAAACGGCGAATCAACTTCCGAGTGCGAACGGCTGAGCTGTATTGTTGTCCTTTTCTTGATAACAAAATGGCGATAACACAAATAACATTCAAGTCAAACCGTATTTTTTGAGAAAAAAAAATATTTTACAGTTTAACGCATGAGAAGTGTTGCCGAGGCATTTGTTATTTTAATTTTGAACTATTTATGCTCTTTATAAAAGTATCGAAGGCATTTTTTATCTTTATAACACAGAATATATTCAATATTGTTATATTGAGTGTACATGCAGCGTGTTGCAAATTGTGATCGTGCACCATAATAGGCTAGTTGACCCTTTTTGGAAAAAGGTTTTAAATGGTTAATAAATGTTCTATTAGACCGAAAAAAAATGTATTGTATTTTTTTTAAACCTAGAAAGCTACAAATCTTTAATTTTAAAATAGTCTTTTCATGGACATACAAAAACGCTGTCGGCCATTTTAGTCTATAGATTATCTATGCTATGACGTGAACTGCGGTAAACAAAAACTCGTAAACACGTAGAAAATTACTTTTAACTGAGTTTATAATAAAAAAAAACATGATTTCTAATAAATACCACGAAAACTAAAGTAATTATCATTAGAGATGTCGATTCTGGCATGATTCTCTAAAGCTAAACTTAAATTTGACAACAGTGCATCCTTGTCATTCTCTATACAGAATGAAAAGGAGAGACTGATGTTAAATTTAGTTTTAAGTTTAGAGACTCACGCTAGAATCGACACCACTGTATTGTACGAGAATATAAAAACACATCCTTGAAGACTCCAGAAAAGTTGTGGATTAAAGTGCCGAAAGAAATTAACCTACGCAACTTTATTACACTTATTCATATGTTGTATCAGTTTTATGTTTATTACTACATTGTAATACTAAATGCACTCTACTTACATAGATGCCTTGTCGTTTCTCTGCTCCGCAGAGCAGAAATCGGGGTTTAGTGCAACAAATTCACCAACCATCAATGCGTCAATTCTTGGCAGATTTGTGCTTTCTGCTTTCACAAAGCCGGCATCCATAATTAGTTTTGTCAAAAAAAAACTAAGTTTACTGTTTTTTTCTTTCCTAAAGTTAAAAGTGTTTTAAGATAAAAGTCAGACGAAAGAATCCACCTACAGTAACACGCGAATGACATTTAGTTGTTTACCACAAGAGACGTCAAAATCATGGCGGATATGGCGAACAGCGTTTTCAGTGTTTAAAAAATATAGACTAAAAAATATTTTTTTAAATTAAATTTCTACAGCAATCTTCTGCTTTTATGAAGTGAAATCGATATATTAAGGTTCCTTAGACTAAATACTTTAAGAAATAAACATTTATTTAATATAATTCGACATGAGTAAACTAGCCTATTAAGGCGGATCACGTTTGAGCCGCGAGTGCCGTATCTTCCCTTTTTGTTTTAATCTAAGCCATTGATTGATATAATTTAGAACACTTCAAGAACAATTTTTGCGAGATATTTGCTATTAAAAGATAAAAATCTTTAAAAATCACTATTTTTTTATTTAAACTTTAAAACCAAACTATTTCCAATCAAGTTATTTATACCTATACAAATATTAAGCCTGCTAATAACGCCTCTGTATATGTTTATAAACAATGCCGTGATATATACAAAAATAAGACAATGGTGTCGATTCTGCCGTGATTCTCTAAAACATCAGTCTTTCTCTTTCATTCTGCGTAGAGAATGAAAAAGATACACTGTTGTCAAATTTAAGTTTAGGTTTAGAGAATCGTACCAGAATTGACACCAATGGTACCAATTCTGGTGTGATTCTCTAAACTTAAAAGTAAATTAAACATCAGTCTCTCATTTTCATTCTGTATAAAGAATGACAAGGATATACTGCTGTCAAATTTAAGTTTAGGTTTAGAGAATCATGCTAGAATCGACACCAATGATTAAATTATAACTAAACAAAATAGTAAATATCACTATTATACATATTTTAAACTTTTTCTTTCTCTCATTGTCACAATCAACCAAAATATTTCGAGGGGATTCCCTGGTGCAATATGTATTGTACTAATGTTTCTGCCAGATTTTTGATAAATTCGCAAAAAAAATACAAATCGCTGGTATTGAGTAGGTCTCAACCTACTACGTCAAGTATCTCGGTTTCCATATGCAGAAAGGGTTAACTTGGAAAACACAAATCAATAAAAACGTGATCAGATAAATATAAAATTTAACAACCTGTATTCCTTGAAGGGTCGGAATTTAGTTCTGATAGTGAACACCAAACTGTTTAGTTTAGTTAGGCGGTACGGGCATTGTTCCCTTTGCCTTTCCTTAAAAGTGTAAATGATAAAAATGACAGTGACACTTTTCAGTAGATTGTTGGTTAAAAACCTCTGTTTTGCCCGTATTTTGTCGTAATTTTACGGCCATGTGTGGTCATATTTGCATTAGAAACGTAATTTTCAGTGATGCTATCCACCACTGCAAATAGTAAAGTGAAAAACCTGAAGGGAGCGGAGAATTCCGACATCTCGGAGAGGGACGAAACAGGACATGAAAACACAACGAATGATAAGGTCAGAGGTTATGTTGCCTCTTATGATGCATCTTCATCGTTCGGAGGGCCTTCTAGAGATGGCCGGTTCCGTTCCCGGGGGCGGGTATCGGAGTTTCGTCACTCTCGTGGCGGCGGGAGAGGTGGCCGGGCTCGCGGTGGTTTCCCGCCCCGCGGAGATCGTGATCCCCTTGACAATTCCAGTAAATACAACGAATCGCTAAGTCATGCCAACAATGAGACTTGGTTCCAGGAAAACGTCGGTAATAATAAGTTTTATGAGAGATCTGATCTTGTCGTGAATTTGCCTGAGGATCCTCGGATATCAAAACTTTTGCGTCGTCTTTGTGCTGAGGTTGACATTGAGAAGTCACTCGTAATATGCAGTAAGCTTCAAGATGCTGTAATGCTGCCTGAAAATGCACGATATATTCGAAGAGCTTATGACATTCTCGTTGAATCCTTATTGGATGTGTTATATGATGGCCCCGGACCAGAAACTAAGGAAGGAGCAGCTGTGGTGCTTGGCAGAATAGGCTATGTAATGGGTCCAGACTTTAGAAAGCATTTAGACTGGTTTACAGCTACATATTCAGTTCACAACACATCTATAAAACACTTGTTGACTCTATCTTTTTCAGAGACGTTACAATTAGATTTTCAGACACCTAATTTATCTGACTTTGCTGAGATGACTTTGGAGAGAATGCAGAACGTTATTGAAGGCACAGATTCTGCTGATGTTTTTATAGCTGCAATCAATGCGATGATAATAATGTCAAACTCTTACCCTGAACACTTTGCAACCCATTTTGTAGATACTGTTGATATACTAGTCGGCTGGCATGTGGACAGTGCTCAACCCAAGAAAATAAAAGATTTTGCCCTGCAATCATTGCTTAAGCTGAGTTGTCACTGGCAAGCAGATGTTGGGTTTTCAGTGAATTTGCTTTATCAGTTTGTTGAAGATATGGTTGCTTATTCTGCAGATTTGGACATGAAGAGTGATAAAGACTCTGAACAATGTTCATTGCAAGATTCTATGCAGAAGATTACATCATTTCTAAATGTATTTAAAACTGTAGTAAAGAGCCTTGGATCAATGCTAAATCCTTCAGTAACACAAAGTGTCTCCTGGTCCTTTTTGACAGATGCTTTGACTAAAATTATACAAGTTATGACTAAAACTTTGAAAGAAGATGTAGACATTGATTTGATATTATCAGGTAATGAAGCTATTACTTTATTGATGAAACATTTGCAATCTAAATCTACATCTAGTTCCCAGGCCTTATTTGGCTTGATCTTAATGGAAATGGAAAATTATTTGGTGACAGATGACAGTGTGTGCCTCAGTACCATTAATCTAATATCAACAACAATAAAAGAGATAGCGTCCAATCTTCCAATAGAGTTCATCAATCAAACTATTGGACCTGACTCCTTGTTGAGATCACTGCGTTATTCAGAAAACTCCCAAATCCTTAATGCCATTCTATTATTATACATTAACCTATTAAATTTGAAAAATATTCCACTTCTACAAGAAAGTTACAAGTATGTTTTGACAGATATACAAAATGCTTACTGTAAAATTATACCAGATGTGCTAGTAATTAATCCTGAATATACGGAAGAAATGACTATTGATGATGCTGAAAAAAATATTATATTTTATTTACAATGTTTGTCAGAACTTGCTAATGCTAGCAACTCTATAATTGGCATGTGGGCATTGCAGCCCAGCATATTAGAACTGCTTGCCATTAAAATGTGCCCCCAAGACATGAATTTGATGAAAAGGAAACCAGCCCTACAATATTCTGTGCTGTATCTGTTATATTCACATTGCAAGAAAAATAACCACTTTATTGCTTCCAGTGATTTAGTGAACAATCCTCAACAGCGAGCTACTGATATATTTAATTTGTCTAATATCAATTTAGGCGAAGTTTCAAGTTCAAGCCCTACTTCAGGCCATCTTGCTGTCATTCTGAATACCTTGAGCATGATATTAGATGAAGAGGTACCTAAAGAAACTTTATTGCTTATACTGAACTGGATATCAGATATATTTCATCAACTGGACAATTATTTATCTATAGTAAGTATGTCAAAAGGATTTCTTGTTTTAATAACAAACATGTTAAGATTAGCCTACTGCTTTGATGATGACATTGTATTACTTGTGGTCAAGAACAGTAAGTGTTTATTAAAAAATAAAACACTAACATGGAATCTCATAATTCTGAAAACAATAGCATCATTGTGTTTGCTACATGTTGATAACCAAAATAAAGTACTAGCAGATTCCTGCAAGGAGCTCTTGTTTGGGTTGCCATGGGATATTGTACAGCAGGAAATGGATAAACAACAGGTAAAAGTCTTCTCCAGTCGCAAAATTAATCTTTGTATTATTAATAGTGACACAAAAGTTAACTCATTTAAAGAATATCTAATGAAAGGGTCATTTTCCATCCTATCTGTACAACACTTTAAATCTATTATGAACAGCTTGCTACAAATTACAATTGATGATAAAAATTACCTGTTGAGTGCATTTTTACTATCCTGGCCCATACATAGTCAAGATATAGAAGAAAACAATTTGCTGTTCTTCAGGCAATGTGCTAATAACTTTTCTTCAATAATTATTGGATGGGCGTTGTCAGAATTGGCACAGACTTGTGTATCTTTAAAGCTAAGAACAGTGTTGGGAAAACCACAGGAAACTTTTATGAAAATAGAAGGAGTCCTAAAAGGAATTGCTAGAGAAATATCATCTCATGAGACAAAGTTTATTCAAGATGAGCATAATAAATTAATAGACATTATCATGGCTGAACAGGTAAGAACTCGGTGGATCACTGAATTTATGATGTTTCTGGAGAAATACATATATAATGCAGCAGAAGGTACTGCCACTGTATTGCCAGCTGTAGCAAAACCAGTCAGGACTTTCTTTCATACAAACTGGTCTACATGCCGTGAATGGCTTACTAGAGTGCGTCCAGCAGCTTTGGCTGTAAGCATATATGCTGGCAATATTGGGGCTGCTATTTATCACGCATGTCTGATATTACAAACTGCAGCAAATTCAAACACAAATATTGACATTGAAGCAATTGCAATCAGTGCAGCAAAAGTTCTAATAAAGATAGGGGAACCTGAAGTATTACATGGTCTATATGTGTGGATAAAACAAACTTTCAATAAAAGGCTGCCTTGGTTGAAAGGAGCTGCTGAACATGCTAATTCTAGACATGAGTTAGCTATTGACTATTATAAAAAGTTGCAAGGTACACAAGAACAAGAAGATAGCAACGAATCATTAAATCAAAATGATACAAGGGCAAACAAATTCATTGAACAACAGTTAATGGAAAGCTATAAACAAATACAGAGCTGGGAAGATCTACTGGAGTGGAGAGATAATGAAAAACAGCAAAACTTATTTAGCCCATCTTATTCGACATTAAAAATGTTTGAAGATGGTATTGATATGCCTGAGGAACTATGCAACTGGGATGTGTTAAATATTGATGCCAATGAAATATCAAAAAATACATGTTCTTATCAAGGAATGTTAAATAAAATAGAATCAACATTGTTGTCTACTGCACTGAATATGTATTACTCTGATTATACAGATAAATATGAAAAGCAGTTGAAAGTCTGTAAAACTTTGCTGAATTCCAGCACTGAAGAATTTGCTAGAACAAATTCTGTGCATTTTCTTAAAGAAGTTGCTGTTTTGCAATTAGCAAATCATGGTTTGATTGAAGCTATAAAGAATGGCAAAAATGGATCTAATCCTTTTAAACCTTCCTCTGTCAAAGACCTTAAATATGGAACAGAGTTTAAAAATTTGAGTCGCATTTTATGGTGGAGCCAATACTTTTCAAAATTAAATTTGACTGAAGAAAATCTATTTTATACAGAATGTCTCAGACTAGATGTGATTAAAAGTGCTAGAAAAAACCTCAATATTAAAATGGCTAAAAGAGAACTTTTGAAACATTTTAAAAATAATTCTGCATTTCAAATGTGCTTAGGAAATGTCAACAATTTAGATGATTTCAGTGATGTCCTACTTATTTCTACAAATTCTTATGATTTCGACATATGGACTCTAAACAATGCTACTGCTCTTGTAGAACTTTGTAAATTGACTTATGTAAAAGAAGAAACCAAGTTAAGGGCCATAAATTTATGTGCTAGCATATCTCTTGGATTTTCCCAAAGATTAGCAATGGATGAGCCTAGTTATGAACTGAGAGAAAAAGGCACAAGAATGTTACTTACACTATCCAAATGGGTACAAAGTGAAAATGAAAATGTACTTGATCCAGATACGCCACTAATGAAACTTATATCTGCTCTACCTGAAATTGGCCTTGTCGATAATAACATATCGGAAAATGTTATTCCTTTATCTGATTCTGCTGTTGGGAAATTATTACAATTTGGAGTAAACCAGTGTCCCGGTCTTGCCAAAGCTTGGGCCAATTTTGCGGCTTGGTGTTTTAGATGGGGTCGTAAAATGGTTGAATTCAGTGCGAAAACACGTGAACAACTAACGGAAAAGGATAAATTGCAGATTGAAAGTGTAATGATAGGATGTTCACCCCAAGATTTTGAAGCCGTTTGTGAAATATTGTCCAAAACAAAAGCTACTTGTGATGATGAAGATATCGATTGGAACGAAATAAATACATCAGAAATGATAGAAAGTCAATTACGCACTGTGCCTTCGTTGAGCAATGCTTTCCCAGAACATCTTGCACTTTTGGTAGATATTTGGCGCCAAGCTCAGAAAAGGGTCTTTTCCTATTTTGAACTATCGGCTGATGCATATTTCAAATTCCTTCAACTTATTTGCGCTTCAGATTATATAAATCATAGTGGCGAAAACGCTGTAGTTAATGCGACATTACGACTACTTCGTCTAATTGTAAAACACGCAATGGAGTTACAAACTGTTCTTGAATCTGGTCTTGCAAATACTCCTACTCAGCCGTGGAAAGTTATTATACCACAGCTTTTTTCAAGGCTGAATCATCCTGAAACTTATGTACGGAAGTGTGTTTCTGATTTATTGTGTAGGCTCGCTGAAGATACGCCACACCTTATAACATTTCCAGCTGTTGTTGGTGCAGTAGAAAATGAGCAAAATGAATTGACAGAGCTTAAAATTACGAAACTTAATTTGTCTAACGATGCAGAAAGTGGGGACGAAAATTTAGATTTTGATGACGCATCCAGTGATAAAGTTGTCAATAACGAGTTGAATTCTTGTTTTCTCGATATGGTAGAAACACTATCAAAACAAGCACCAACTACCATACTTCAAGTAAAATTGTTAGTTAAAGAATTACAGAGAATTAATCTTCTCTGGGATGAACTATGTCTTGGTACTTTAGTACAGCATCACTCTGATTTTAGTAAACGGTTATCTCAGTTAGAAACAGAAGTAGCTAAAGTACAAAATAATGTTAACTTGAATGCTGAAGAGAAGGAAAAATTAATTGCTGAGAAACATCGTATCATATTTGAGCCCATAGTCTACGTTCTCGAACAATTAGATAACATTACATCGGCAAAACCAGAGACTCCACATGAAACTTCATTTCAAAATAAGTTTAAATCTCTTATAAAAGATGTGATCGACAAGTTGAAAAACCCGGGTAATCCCGAAAAGCCTCAAGAGTCCTGGGCTCCTCTGAAACAGTTACAAATTAAACTGCAGCAAAAAGTTCATAAAAGAACTTCTTATATCTTGAAAATGTCTGATATTAGCCCCGTACTGGCTGAGATGAAAAATACAGTCATAACAATGCCTGGATTGCACACCAATCAGAGAGCGGTCAGAGTCACCATAAAATCAATCGAGAACAATGTAGCGATATTACCCACGAAAACCAGACCAAAAAAATTAGTTTTCTACGGATCGGACGGCAAAACGTATACATATTTATTCAAGGGTTTAGAAGATTTGCATTTAGACGAGAGAATAATGCAGCTTCTTTCTATAACTAACACTATGTTGGCGCGTGATTCTGAAAATAACGATAATCAAACGTATAGAGCACGTCATTATTCCGTTATTCCGCTCGGGCCTAGGTCTGGCCTTATCAGTTGGGTGGACAATGTCACACCGCTGTTTGCTTTATACAAGCGCTGGCAGAATCGCGAGGCTGCTATAATGTCCGCGAAGACCAATAAAACAGTGAACGTCCTGCGTCCCTCTGAGTTGTTTTATAATAAACTGAATCCCTTGCTGAAAGAGGCGGGGATATCGACAGAGAATAGGAAGGAATGGCCAGTAGCAATACTGAAGCAGGTGTTGCAAGAGCTGTCAGCGGAGACTCCGCGCGACTTGCTGTGGCGAGAATTGTGGTGTAGTAGTGTGACGCCCGAGCAGTGGTGGCAAATGACGCGTCGGTACAGTTACTCGGTGGCAGTGATGAGTGCCATCGGATACATTATCGGGCTGGGCGACAGGCACTTGGACAATGTTTTGGTGGACTTGACGTCAGGTGAAGTGGTGCACATAGACTATAACGTGTGCTTCGAGAAGGGGAAGACGCTGCGAGTTCCTGAGAAGGTGCCCTTCCGGATGACCCCCAACTTGGTGACTGCGCTCGGTGTTACTGGCGTTGAGGTAAGTCCTTAATATTTTTCATGTAAAAAGGCAATATTAATATTTGATTCTTTGAAATATAAATATTTTTATTGCTCTCGCAGTAATATATAGTTCAATATACAGTACAAAACGATATGACAGCGTGAAGAGAAATGGATGTGGCTCAGCATAAACTGCATCGTTGCGGAAGGTCACATTGCAAATTACACGTTGTAACGGGCCAAATTGATCTATATTAAATGCACAACATATTTGAGGTACTTAATTGGATAATGATGAATGCTGTATTGCTGAAAGTAGCTTCGTAAATAAGCTATTATTTCTCGTAAAAAGTAAAGAATAAAAATGTTTATTGTGGGTTATCTCTGAGAGATAGACATATACCATCGCGGACTTTTATGTAGACCTAATTGAGGTGTACAAAACTGTAGTACATTATTTTGATCTATCACGTAGGGTTTAGCCAGCGTTCGCAATGTAAGCGCAAAAAATGTGTTTATTTACGACCTTACATTAAATATCTCTAAAATTATCAGTGTTTCTCAACTATATTATGCATGTATTATAAATAAAAACCTTCCTTGTTAACGTAAACGGCTATTTACTTTTCATTCAATCAACTCAAATATTAAAAAAAAAACATAAAAGTTATGCATAAGCCGTGAACCATTATTTTCTAATAGTAAATCTGTAATAGGTGCTTATGTGAATAATAATTGTAATTCGCGCGGGGCGTGGCTTGATCGGTAGCGGCTTGCGGGGGTCAGGTTTTATATTATGTTACTTGTTGCTACGGAACCCTTCATGGGCGAGTCCTACTCGCACTTGGCCGCTTTTTTTCAACTATCTTTTCCACTGCACAATTTTGCTGGTTAACGTTTCCGGTTCAGAATTAAATAGCGAAGAAAATTTATCGCTAACTAGTTTTTAACTCATATGCACTTTACAAATTTTTTGAATGCTAACTAATACGGATTGGTTGTTTACTTGCCGGATTCTTAATAACTATCCCCCGCCGTGGTTATAAAACATTACAAAGCGATGCCACACGTTTTACGAACTAAGAACAAATTGGGCCATATTTTATTAAATATTTACTGTTGTATATGGTGGGTGTTTAATGGTAAATTGACAACGATATTAAACACCCTAGATACAACAACACGAACAAAATCGTGCCCGAAATCTGTCCAAAAGGTACATTGGACGATCCACAAAGCTCCGTAAGATGAACGCGTTGTCAAACAGCAATATAAAACATTATTTAAACATTGAAAGTCACCTTTAATGCATACTGTATAAGGTCTTCATTAAAACGCATGCGTCAAACAGTTATGACAGTTCGAAATAATAATAATAATAATCATTTATTTCAGGCGTAGTACCCATATTAACATACAGAGTTAGAAAAAAAAATGATGAAATGAAAGTTTACGACTTATTGGGATATGCGGAAGAATATAGCCTTACCTACACGCAATTCTGAATGCGCTGTTAGCAATAGAGCAGGTACGGACTATATAACCGACAATGCATTTGAATATCACTAATATTTTCTATAAAATCAGTTTATAGTAACAAATAAAACAAAATTTGCAAAAAAATTTAATGCATTAAATTAACAAACATTAATTAGATATCTGTCGAAAAAACGACACTGGGTACTATAAGTAATTTTTTCGCCTTTTTTTCACGGAGCTCTGCGGCATCTTGACCTTTCAACGGTCCGCGCGTGATTATGAACCAAGAAGTGCTTGAGTGGAGTTCAAGCACTTCTTGATTGGGACACATTTTGAGCGCACGGTATTTAATATCCATGGTATTTCATATCGTTGTGAATCGCTCACAAAGTATTCGATTATCATTCTGAGGGCCCTAAACGCTTTGAATGTAAGAAGATGTCTGGAGTACTTTTTTTTTGTCATTATGATTATTTGGAAATTATGTGTATAAACTCAACAATGACTAGCATTATCTAAATACTTTTGACACCATAAGCCTAATAAAGTCATTAAGTGTTCACTATATTGTGGTTAAATAGGAAAGAAATGATATGAGTGTTTTGCATCCAAGAACAGTGATACTGCAAGCGGTTTGCGTAGAATAATAGACTTTTCCATAGACATTTTCATCCTCTAATATATCTCCTTTATTTTCTTACAAATATATTTAGAATGCAGCACCTATTATTCGATTTATTATTATACGAATTTTATTATCTATACTAAGATAAAACATTAAAACTAAAACAAATTTAAAAACTATATAGCTACCTACTTACCTACATAAATAACTAATTTACAAAATAAAAAATATATCACCCCAGCGCCGCCATTAGGAATGGTGCCCAATCTCCTTCAAGTTTTATTTTCACGATGAAAATACTCTATAACCGTCTCCAGGGTCCTATCTATCTCTTTACCAAAATTAATTGATGGTTATGGTTTAGGTGAAGCGTAATAAACCAACCAAACGCAGTTTAGAATTTATAATATTTTTGTTAGGATGACATCTAGCGGCTGGGATGAGTACTACGTAACGCTAAAGAGAATTAGCAATTTGTTCTTAATGGGTAGGTGGCGCCGCTGAACCATATCAGTACATAAATTTTATGTACCTATCTATTTAATTAATTCATTACTTCACACGAATAAATTTACACATTCAATAGTTTTTATTATTTTTTATTTAATACAAGCAGGTCGTCTACTCGTGCTGAGTGCTGGCAGATGTTAGTATGATGAGTACGAGCATTTGTACCTAAGTCATGGATGTTTATATATCGCACCTTTAGAATTGAAGTGACCCAATCCAAAATTCTTGTTTTTTGGTAAACGCTAAAAATGTGATTGAGGAGTTGGTAATTTTTTTCTATTATAATGCTATAAATAAGTTATTCTTTTATTATCATATTTATTATTAATGGTAGGATAGGAATTGTTTTCATGATTGCTTACTAAACCAGTCTGTATAACTAATGAGAACCATTGTTAATTAATCATCAAAAAAGATGTCACTTATTTTCCGATAACAGTTTAGGTATTATAATTGCCCATTTTTTACTAAACAACATAAAACAAGAACGTAGGTAACTATTTAATATAGAGACGATTCATTTCTAATGTTATATTTTTGATAGATGACCAATTTCGTAATATGCTAGTTTAATAATTAATGATTTTCTAAATTAAAGGAAAATGTAATAAATGTCCACGCAACACTGAATGAGGTACTTTTAGGGATACTGAGGGAGGCGCGCTATGCGTGTCATTTAAAAAAAGACGGAAATAGTACGTTTGTCTGTTTCTGGCCTAAAAGAGCCTGTTTATTATTAATAAACTGATATAATACACGTTTTTATGTCGTTTCACGTTTAAAAGTCTTTTTGCTATTTTTTTTATTTAAGTCACTTCTATATAAAGGTGAGATATATTTTATAAATAAATATACTTTCTTCTATCCATTACTTTAGTATTCCATAACACAAGCCTTTAAAGTGTTTACTTTGGGGCTATGAATATCGGTGTGTTATATATTTAAGTGACTATCTCTGTGGTGAGCTTCACCGCGCCACTATTCAAGGTATCGCCGTCTATATGGTTCCACGTTTGATGCCTGAAAAGGTTTAGCAGAGCATCAGAGGTGTAGCGTGAGAGAAAAAACTGTATAAATATTATTCTTATAGTGACATCGTACTCAACGACCGACGGGATATGTGACAATTCACTGAGATGTTGCCTAAAAAAAGTAACAAAATTTTACTCTATTCTCAGGGAATAGAATTCCGAATATGCCATGTTTGTTGAGAGCTTTTCACTATTTGCCCAGTCAAATTAAAATTCCTTGTTCAATTTGTTGTCCGTCCGTCCGTCCGTCCGTCTGTCAAGACCGTTTTTCTCAGAAACGCGTGGAGGTATCAAACTGAAATTCATATCTAATACTCATGTCTACTGTCTCTTGGAGCTGTGAAAAAATCAAACTTGTAAGCCAAAGCAATCAAAAGATACAGCCGTTTATGCCGCAAATTTTCGAAACTCGCACGGGAATCAAAACCTACAGGGTAATAATTCCCGTGAACTTAGAATCTTGAAATTTGGTACGAAGTAACGTTTTATGGTACAGATAAAGGGAAAATTTTTAGTTACATCATATAAAAAAAATATTTAAGAAAAATTTAAAGTTACCTCCTTTCTCATGCACGCGTAGAGGTATTAAATTGAGTTTGTACGGAACCCTCGGTGCGCGAGTCCGACTCGCACTTGGCCGGTTTTTTCTGCTCCGTCCAGCCACACCTTGTTTGGGACAAAGTGGAAAATTTTATTCTTATTAACATTACCTTTTAAGACATTACCTTTTGTGGTCGTTGTTTTTCTGTCGGTGAGTAACGTTCCAGAGCAACACGGGATAGGGGTATAAGTTGAGTTTTGGTAGGTTCAGCGCGAATGATATTTTTAGATCGCTAGCGTTTTTAAGCTTTGGCGGAATCCAAAGTCAGGCCAGTCAGTCAGGCGGGCCTTATGCATAAAAATAATGCCCCGGATTAGGGTAAATGTAGTCGTTGTTTCGGTGTAAACAGTGCTTAACTATTTTAACTACTTTGGATTTTGTAGTACCGTTAGCTACAGAATTTTGGAGTTTGAGCAATGTATGTTACAATTTTAATAAACTTTGATAAACTTTTTTCCCCAAAATTAAACTATAAGGGAATAAAAGAGTGGATGGTGGTTTGTACGGGAAACCAATTTAAAAGTAAGTTGTTGTTTAAATCTATGCCAATAATTACTTTGTTTTAATAATAAAAATAAAAAATAAACATAAATGTCGTCTTAAATCTATACAATAACAAATAACAGCATTAATAAGGAAATATATTCGTTTTAAATTTTAAAGTATTAGTAGGAAAGCACCTCTCCTTTTAAACCGTTTTGATTACACAAGTTCTGGGTCCTCCTAAAAGATCCTTTTTACGCTTCCAGCGACAGTACAGGGAAATACTAGCTGACCCAACTTAAAGAGCCCTTTTACAAAATTGCGCCGCTGCCGTACTGATCGGCGCGTAGGTAGATTTGCATTAGTATATATTGCATTTTACGGGTGATGTTTCGAGTCTTATAAAATAATTATTAATTAATTAATGATAAAAATATAGACATATTTTAGTAGTTCAATGATGCTAGATTAGTTTTATGAAAGTTTTTGATAGTAATTCTATTTAATTCAATATCAAAATACGAGGTAAACCTGCATTATTTTTTTGGGAAAACTCACGGAGGTTAGATGTTTTTTTTGATAATTAATGAGATGGAGAATCAAAATTCTAATACATTATGTTACAACAAAAACATATTTCTGATGTCGTAGTAATTAATTTGATCTAATTTATTGAATATTATTGCGAGATTGACGCGTTTGAAGTTGTGCATATTATCGTTTTTCCGTAAACAAGCTGCAGTAGAACGATCAGTACAAAAAAAGGAAAATAGTATTTGCAAATATTCTACATTAACTTACAATAGGAAGAATAAATATAATTTTAACTTCTATTGGTAATAGTCAAAATCTTTTCTAAGGGGGTAAACGAGGCACTCAAAAATTACGATTTTTTGCAAAAATTTCACATTTTAGGGCTCTTAACCACACTAATATTTTTTTTTATATAAATATCGGTAAAGCCGTTTTAGATGAATTCATTAAAAAACCCTGTGACACGAGAGTTAAGTACATAGATGATATTCTTGCATTGTAGCTGTGATGAACTTCTACTGTTATTTAGAGTCGATATATTTTCTCTACTGATTGCATCGTAAACATAGAATCTTAACACCGACTGTGTCCGTTGCCAATAAAAACGCAGCAAAATAGAGCTTTAGAGATAGAGATCTTTATTTAGGGAAATTTGTTGATGCACGCTGAGTAACCTACTTAGGAAACAAAATATCACCTAAAGAAAAGTTTCACTAGAAAAAAACCACGCGGACCAGGCAGCGAACGGGACTCGAACCAGCACCCTTCGCAATCCGGGCGAATGCACTGACCAATTATGCTACCACGGCCCTGATGGCCTGGTCGAAATTTTCCTAGCCTTAAGCTGCAAGGCAGCGCCGTCTCTTCCCATTGTAGGTAACCCACAATGTCAAATAAGCCCCGTCCGCTGCCTGGTCCGCGTGGATTTTTTTCTAGTATAACTTTTCTTTAGATTTAAACATCTAGCAGCTAAATGCTTAAAAAATAAAAACATAAAATATCACCTGTAAAAGGGTATTTTTTAAAACTACTTTTTTTCTTGCCATAAACGTAAATATGTCGAATATCTAGTACTTATGTAATATTTTTCATCATTTTGAACCTTTATTTTTACAATAATATGCTTTTGAGAGTCCGTCCTCTATCTGTAGTATACTAATATTTAGTAACAATGATTCAAAGGTTTTTAACCATGAAAACGTGACAAAAGTATTTGGCATTCAAAATATTACTAGAGATACACTTATTGTTGGAATTACATACATCAATAAATATATACAATTTATAAAATTTCAGTTCAATAAAAAGGGTGTCTATATATTATATAAAAACCAATACCCAAGTCTATTGAATGAGCAATCAAATTAAAATGATTTATTGGAGTAATGAAGTTAGGTTCAACTACGTATTTTTACACCATGACTCGTATTTTTCTTTTACATACATTATTTTCATATCATCAATTTAATACACAAATAATAGGAGCAAATGAAAATCGCATTTATCATGTTAGACATATTATATATTACATAGAACATTTTAGTTATTACGTTACTATATCAATTTTAACATCATGATTTATTCGACAGAGAATTTCTTTCTTTATATATTTATGTATACATTAAAATCTTCATTACGCCGGAAACTAATTAAAATCTGTGTTCAATAAAAATTCAACAACAATAAAGCCTTTGAAAACTTGAGCGTAGGTCGTAACAGGTACCTAAACGCGAGGGGGTACTATAGTCCAGGCAACGAAAAGGTATAGAGGGAAATGCTTAGAACACAATTTTTGACTTCGTAACTTTGTTAGGACTAGTTAGGAGGTAAACATATCAAAAGTCCCCGCCCGTAGCCCTTAAGCCGGGGGGAAGGGCCTCCCCCTTCCCTTAATTTTTATTTTTTTGTTCCATAATTACAGACTTTTATGAGCAGATATCTGGAAAACTATACAAGATATCAAAAACTTGACTGAATAAGACTTGTAGCAAATTTAATCAGCTTTCACTTTTATCAAAGTCTCAAGTCGCTAGGATGCATAGTTTCCGAGATATATGCGAAAAACCTAAAAATGGGACCTTCAATCCCCCCCCTTCCCCCCGGCTTAAGGGCTACGGGCGGGGACTTTTGATATGTTTACCTCCTAACTAGTCCTAACAAAGTTACGAAGTCAAAAATTGTGTTCCAAGCATTTCCCTCTATACCTGTTTTTGAGCATTCGTTGCCTGGACTACTAGTCACTGAAAACTTTAAATACTAAAAGCGTTTCACGTTTCCCACATAACGTCTCGTCGCGATCATGTTTACACTGGGTCCGGTCTCGCGGCCCGGTGCACCGGGGTGGGCCCGTCGGGCGCGTACGAGGGGTTGGTGTCCCCGCAATCTGCTTCGACGTACCCGGCGTTCTCTATGATGCGGCACCTGGAGGTGTCCTCGCTCTCCACGTACAACAGCCGGGCCGGTCGCCCGCCGAGGTTGGACAGCGCGCTCGGAGCACTGGACCTCGTGATGGACCCTTCCCTGAGAGCCACCGAGCATCTCTTCCTCTCGGGCGCCGGCGAGCCGCGGTACTCCGAGGTGTCGGGCCTCTTACACCGCAGCAGCTTGGCGAAGGCGGCCCGAAAGCCGGCGTTCTTCCACGCGTAGATGAGCGGGTTGATGCCCGAGTTGGACATCGCCAGCGAGGAGGTGACGCGGTAGGCGATGGGGTTGTGCAGCGGCCGCATGGGCAGCGTCTGCGCGCACGCCACCACCACGAACGGCATCCAGCATATCGAGAACGAGCCCAGCACTAGTAGCACCACCTGGAAATACGTTTACGTGCGTTCTTAATATGTTTCGTTTGTAGTGTGTGCTTTTAGGAAAGATCTCTCCAAATGTTGTTTATTTTACTTCTTGAACGGGTGTAAAGCGCGATTCATTTGTCTCTTTTTTATTTTTTCTTGACGTTATTTTTATTTTTAGGCCCCGTGGCCAACTCAACCCTCCAGTTTCGGACTTGCTAGAGGTCTAATAAAATCTTTGCGTAATTACATTATGACGGAATAATAGCCCTAGTCAAGGTGGGGTACCCAAAATTAGCGAGCAAGTACGAGGACTCTCATGAATAGATGAAATAAAAGAAATATGCGAGGGAAACGCACTGATTCTTATTTGTTTCTTAGGTTTTCACGCACATCGCTCATTAAATAAAACTAGTTTTAACGGGTTAGTGCACGAAACTTTATTTATTTATTGACGTTTCGCAGCCTTTTCAGGTCTGCTTCGTCAGAATAAATATGTCAGAATATTCTGACGAAGCAGACCTGAAAAGGCTGCGCAACGTCAATAAATAAAGTTTCGTGCATTAACCCGTCAAAACTAGTTTTATTTAAGTACCGATTCGTGTTTGATATATTTTAGATAAAAAAATGTATACTCTATAAATGTCGGTAACGTAAAATGTATCAGTCTGATGTTCAAATAATTAGAAAATAGCTACGTATTCACCTGTATGCTCTTCCAATCGTTGCCGCCCGCCGGGCAGCAGGAGTTGGCCCGCAAGCGGCGCGCGTGGCAAGTGGCCTCCCGCCATATCCGCCAGTATAGGATGAACATCACCATCCAGATGAGCGAGAACATCGGCGCCAGGATACTGGTCGTGTACCGCTGGGGCACCACCTGGAAAGCATAGAACTAATCGTTAATCACAAGTTCGGAACGGTGTTCAGTAATGGTTCGTAAATCATATCTCGTTCGTGTCTTTTTCGAAACTACGTTTGTATTCTTAGCACGAAACATTTTCGAATTCGAATAGTTGAATTCGATCGCGATAAGGTCAAATGACAAGAAGTTTTGTATGGTAATTTGAACAGCGCCACAGCGACATGCCACAACGACACGACATTTGGCACGAATCGAGATCTGATTCAATTATTCGAATTCGGTATTGCTTCGTGCTAAGGCTAAGTACTGTACCCCTAGCACGAAGCAATATCGAATTCGAATAGTTTGCGAGTGCGAAATGTCATTGTCAAAATTTGTATGGAAACTTGAACAGGCAGCGCGATATGGACGTAACGAGAACTAAAAATCAGTACACATTTGACAATGACATTTCGTACTCGCAAACGATAGGAATTCGATATTGGTTCGTGCTAAGAGTACAGATCTCTGACATTTTTAACGAAATGTGTAAAAAATTACAATCCTTTTTTAAAGCTCAACACTACGCTCTTAATTATTTCGATCATGTCGTAGAATAGACGCAGTGCGTCCGTCATTCGTCTATGATATTCAAAGAAAAATAGAATTAATTACATTTTTTAAAACAATAACGTAACAAACTATTACTGGCATAATAATTTTCAAAACTTGTTTCGTAATTCTCGCACCTCACTTCACATTTAGTCTGTTGTTTCTTGTATAGCATTGTATTTTTTATAGATACTAAAACATATTCATGTTTTTTGTAAAGCAAGCGTCTATAACAGTGTTTCCTAAACTTTCCAATACTGCTACCCCTGTAACCTATTAGGGAAACAGATTTTACCCCGACTTTAAAATGTATATTATCAGTCCAAGAAATTCCAATTTGGCCGCTACATCTTCGTCTCTACTAATGTCATCATCAGGAGAAAATCGCGCCCCGCTTCCCACACTCAGCACCCCGCGTGTTCACTAGCAAGAAGGAGCGCATGCTCTATTCAATAGTTTTTTTTTTTTATTTATTTAATAAGGAACAAACAGTCATACATAATATCATATGAACAATTTCATTGTAACAAACTGACCTAACAGTTCCATAACATATGACCTAACTTATATAATAATGAACTTAATAGAAGTGGAATAACACCATAATTTAGAAAAGAAATTCAGTACAACTTTTGAGACAAATGGTATAATGTAATAAACGAAGGGACAAATCTCCAATCTGCAGTATCAATCACCAACACCACCTGGTCTTTGACTCAACAGACTAATACTCCGACCCTTCGCTCATCGCATTACATGTTCGCCCACCAATTTTTTATACGTATTCCAAGATAGGAAAAACACATCAACATCTCCCAAAAAACCATTGTAGTACCTACAAGACCGCCGCATGAACGTACTTCTATGAACGTATTATTTAGATTTGAACAAGTAATTAGGTTCTTTGTTACCCCCGAAGTATGGCTGATTTACCCCCGGAGGGGTAATTACCCCCAGGTTCGGAACCCAGGGTCTATAAGCTATGGTGGCCGATTACCATTAGGCGAGCCGAAAGCTTTTTTGCTACCCTTTTCACAAAAAAAAAATTACCATATTCATCTCGCACGGGACGCCGTCGTGCCAGTCGTTCCAGAAGATGGGTATGCAGCTGATGCAGACGGCCACCGACCACGTAGCGCTCATCAGCACCCGAGTCACCACCTTGGTCATGTACCGGCTGTAGTGAAGCGGGTGCACTATCGCTATGTACCTGAACATTGCCAGATATAAAACCTTGAATTGTTAAAATATCTAATATCATTTATATCTAAACAAAAGTTTTACTAGAAAAAAATCCACGCGGACCAGGCAGCGGACGGGACTCGAACCCGCACCCGCACCCGCCAATCCGCACTGGGCCCGCGTGGTGGGTCATGGCCCAATCTCCCTATTCCATCCATAGGGAAGGTCTCTGCCCCAGCAGTGGGGTCATTAATAGGCTGATGATGAATATGATATGATCTTACGTTTATCGCTAATAGCTGTTACGGTTTAAGTAGCTAAGTTCACTAGTCGCATTAACTATCAGTGTGAAAATCCAGCACCTATAATGACAAATTAATTTAAAAAGGTACTTGTAGGCCCTTTTCACCTGCACACGGTCACGGCACGGCCGCCATGCCGTGCAACCGTGCTAGCTCTTTCACATGTATACGGCTTACACACGGTCGCCGGCTATGGATGTTGCAGTATTATCGAGAATTTTGGGGAACGACGACGTCTTTTATCATGGATTTGTTCCATTTAACGTTCCAAAAGATTATTTTCATTATCATCTAATTCTTCAAAACTACTATTTAATCCTATACATACTTCTTTCCACGCTTCTTTTGTCTCGTTCCTGTTTTTATAAGACGCGATGGTTTTATCCCATAAAGTAAGACGCGCTTCAACTAGCGAAATCAACACATCAACATCGATTTCGACAGACATTCTGCAACAATCGTCCGTCCGTTCCCGTATGACTTTAGCTGACGAATGGTATTTGCGCTCGCCGTGCCGTACCGTGCCCGTGTTCATGTGAACACGTCTATACAAGTCCATACAAGACTATAAAGACGGTTGCCGCGTCAAAACCGTGCTTATAGTGGATAAGGACGGCTGACACGCGGTCACGGCACGGTCGCCGTGCAATGTGAAAGCTCTCATTGTTGCTCATACATTACTATTTTACACGGCACGGCAACCGTGCCGTGTCCGTGTACATGTGAAAAGGCACTAATAGTCGCTTCGGTTGGCTTAGTAACGAACGTGCGAGTGGTGAATGTTAACAATGACAATTGGATATCTAGCCGTTAATAGGTATCATTATTATTCAATTAACTAGTCCCACAGAACTGCGGGCACCAGTTAAATTTGACCTTCACTCCGTAAATTCTGTTTGAAAGAAACAAAATATTTACATTGTCCAACAACTGAAACACAGACATTCATTTTCTCACTGTTGAACAAAGTTGCATATTTTACGACCAAAGAAAATTCTTGGTGGTACTATGACAGTCCTACATTTTTCTAATATAAAATGTAAAAATATTGTGAAAGTCGTGTGTTTGTATTTTTGTTACTCAACCGCACAGAAACGGCTAATCGGATTTAGTTTAAATTTTTCAGACAAACAGTTTATTACCTGGATTTATACATAGGATACTTTTTATCGCGAAAAAAATTGAAGTTCCTGAGTGATTCTCAAAAAACGATGAACGATGTCGCGGGCGGCGGCTAGTCATTTATTTTAGCGTCATGTCTTGTTATCGTAACTTAACGTTAATTGAAATGTAATTTTGCGGTAAACTTCGATACCACAACAGTTATGAGTTCTGACACAATCGATATAGTCCGTAAAACACACGCAAGCGATAAAATACTAGGTCGTTGAGTTTTTGAAGAATTCGGAATACATTAACAAATATAGTTTACAAGAGTTATTATAGTGTACAGGTTTGGTTCTATCGAAAATATTTTTCAAGTTATCTAAGTTATTTATAAATAACTTATAAGTGATGGCCGATCTTAATTAGGGCCGCGGCCCCCGAGCTACCATCACCCAGCTCGGAGGAAGATCTTTACCTTTGGCCTTCCTACATGTACTCCAGTCATGGATGTTTAATATGTATTTCTATATAAATATACTTATATATGTACAGTATATGTATTCTATCCGTTACCCTAGCATCCCATAACACAAGCCTTATAGTGCTTACTTTGGGGCTAGGCTAATTGGTGTGAGTGTTGGAAATATTAATATATTATTAATATATAATATATTATTAATTGTTGTGTAAAATATCCTATTGTAATATAAAAATACTTTGTTTTGTAGAGGTGCTTCCACACAATTTAGTGACACACCAAACGGGCTTGTTTGTCACCGATTTTTTTACTCTAGACGTTCGTTAACAATTTATTGTTAAATTATAGTCTAAGATCTCATAAATGCCAGACATTTTTTTTTCTGATGGACGAAATATTGAAAAGGTTGTTGTCTTTCAATATATTGGACGAAACATAGTAATATTTTATTTTAGCGTATTATAATAATAAGTCTCTAACTAGGACGTCCAGGTGGCAGCTTTATTGCGAAGAAAATGCATTTTTTTACAATAGAGCGCTATGTGCGCTTAAACGTGATTCATGTATTCTACAATAGATGTCGCTAGGTGCGCTTAAATGTGATTCACGTAAGTTGATTTTTCTGAGAGATAAACTTTGTAATGTTATACAAATTGTCATGTTTGTGTACTATAGCGCAATAAATAAATATTGTATTCTACCACATAAATGATAGTACTTTTATACTGATAATTAAAGCAATTCGTGCAAAATTATTCCCTAACCATTCCAAAATTTCAAAAATGCACACCGTTAATATTCAAGTTTTCACTTCTTCCAGCACTCCCATAGTGCACCCTGTCTTTTTTTTACGGTGTCATAATAAAAAAGGCTAGTTTTTCATAGATCTATGGATTCATACTAATTACATTGTTGGCGGAGCTGGTTGTATTTTTCCCATTGTCCTTGCTAACAAAACGGTTAAGGTTCAATGAACCTTGTTAATAAATTCATCAGGTACATTGAACAAGCAAAGCAATACCACTACTATTTTAAGTCTAGCTCGAGTGGCCCCGCTAGATAGAAATTCTAGAGCTAAAACCGTGGTTTAAAATAGAAAAAAATACCACAACGCTTAAAACCACAAGTTTTGTTTATAAAACTGGTTTATGAACTGAACTGGTCTACAAAAGTCGCCAAAAAGTAGTTTTGTTACTAGTTGTCATCGACATTCGCTCACCTATTGTTTGGATCACCTCTATTCTGCTCACGGTGACGTAGTGTATCGACTGGTTAACCAAACATAACAGTTGTTATTTGTAAATTACGTTAGTTAAGAATATCATTTTATCGACCGCATTGTATTTATGGTATAAATGGTAACCGGTCGTGACAGAATTTTGATTTATTTTGCTCATTTATTACTTTCCATTTCATGCTTACATAGCGTGTTTGGAAAATAAATAAAAAGTGTTTTTTACTCCTGTTATTAATAGTTTTCCTAGAATCGCGTCTGTCGCGGCGATAGTAAAAGATTTTATTTGTGATGAAGTACCTAGCGTCGCGGTTAGAATTATGAAGAGTTCTACTCACCTGTCGACAGCTATCGCAATGATGTTGTAAATGGACGCCAGGCATGCTAATATTATCAAGATGAATCTCATTAGGCACGACCACTTTATCCTTCCGAATTCAGTGTCTATGTAGAACACGAGGTGGTACGGCAGCGTGAGGCCCACCATCAGGTCGGAGATGGCCAGGTTGAGCACGAACTGGTTGGAGACGAGCGAGGAGAGGCGCCTGCTCAGCGTGACGGCCAGGATGGTGAGCGTGTTGCCGCTCACGATGAGCACCATGAGCGCGCCGTCGATGATGCTCCACGCCCAGTAGTTGTACAGGTCCGGACTCGCCCTCTCCTCGGTCTCGTTCCACCCCCACGCACTGTCATTGCCGACCAAGTCCATACCATCGCTGGCCACGGTCGCCAGCGTGTCCCACACGGAACCGTTCGACGTCGTGGTCGAATCTCACGCGCACATCGTCTTAACTGTTAGCGTCACTCGTCACACTTATTATTTCACCATCGGCACACAAAGTGTTTGTCTCTTCGTAATGATTGTTGCACATTTTTCGACACTTTCGCTCGCTCGATTCGATTACATCTGTAACAAAACACGTGTTTAGAATTACTTAACTTTTTGTACGATAGATGGCAGGAATAGTTCACTGAATCACGTTACCATTTTGTTTTGTTTGAAATATAAGTATGTTATATAAAAGCAATAAACGCTCTCTCTATTTAAAATTGGAACAGGTGTTTAATTCATTTAGTTAGTTCCACCTCCTTTTTGGGACACTAAACATTGGTCCTTCGAGCCGGATTAAGGCTCACCTAGAGGCAACGTTTTCAGCGCGCCATACTTGAAAATCAAATAGATGACCATTGACAAATGAAGTGCGAAAGTTTTGAGTGTGCAGTGGGGCGGTGTGTGGGATGATCGCGGGAGAAAGGATAAGTCTCGATTGAATATGCAGAGGCGCGTGCTCCCCACAAATTACTCGGTAGCGTGACGTTCCGCGGTCCCCGGGGTGTTCACGCTTCTAAATCGCGTTATGAACTTTTTAAGGGATCCGACACTATTTGCGCTCTCTCGCTGGTCGGGCTATCACTGATGAATTATTTATACACCAGAGAAGGTTTCGTTCGCTTGCAGTTTAATCAATAGATCTGCTACTTGCAATAAATTATTTGCAAAGACCTAAAGCTTTGTTCCGATTTCTGATATCCCTGGCTGTGTCCGACGTTTATTTATGAATGCAAAGTGTGCCTGAAATTCGTGAGAGGAATGCACATTTAAGAAATTAATGGGTGTTTAAACTTTGTCACGCTTCATAAACTTGCAGCTTAAAACCTATAATTATCTTGGATGTCGGTGAGATGAGGCAATTTATGACAAATAAAACAAAAAGTAATACTAAGTGTCTAAGTTACTTTTATCATCAAAAATCAAGAGGTTCATTTCTGGGATGTAGTATTGCATTGTTTAACAAAGTTCCCCAAGATCTGATTGAGCTTCCACTAACCAAATTTAAATATCAAGAATTCTCTTATGAGTAAGGGCTATTATAAAGTTAATGATTATCTAAATGATCGTAATGCATGGACATAGGGTTTCTTGTAATTTGTTATTTGATGGGTATGAGTCAGTTTTTGTAACAGTAATATGGCACCTATCTAATGCCGCTTCCTATATATGTTATCGCCAGCAATAAAATATCGGTATTTGACATTGACGTCACATCCGACAGCTGTCACATTGGCGCTAGTGGACTTGGCGCGCGATTTTCCCTCCAACACGTATTTTTCCAGCGGTGACAGGTGACTATCGGCTCGGCACTCGGGCCACTTCTTGCGGAGCAGTCGAAGAGTGAAAACGGAATACGGGGTTATAATTGTGTATTTCCAATCGTGTGATTTCTGTAAAGGTTTAAGTATAGTGCACATTATTTCTGATTATTATAATATTTATTGAGTGATAAAGAAATTTGCTGATAGTGATTCTTAGTATGTTAGTGATGTTAAGCAATTGAATTAACTAATATTTAAATAAGTATCATGAAGTTGGAAGTTATGTGATTATTACTTGATGAAATAATTATTACAATTAATGTTAATACTTTGTATGCTGGATATGGGAATGTTTTATAAATAAATGTGTGAATGACGGTACTTTCTTTTATTATATACTAAATATAAAATTATTATTGTAACTTTATATATCTATATCCTAAATAATGTAATGGAAGGTGACTTCAGAAGTATCTCTGAAGTCATTTTTCAACTTGACGACTCTGTATATTTCAATACAGGGAGAAAAAAGCAGCCCTTGCTGAGTTTCTTGCCGGTTCTTCTCAGTACAAGGCCTCCCGCCGTAGTTTTAAGAACCGATGGCGTAGCTTCTTGACCTTCACAAGTGCTTGTAACAGCCTAGACTAAATAAATGACTTCATTTCATTTCATATAATCGCATAGTTACTATTTATATTGTTAAAGGGGGACAAATCCAATTATATTAGTGTCTGTCTAGATAGAGGATGGGAGCTCATTTGAAATTCCGATAGATGCAGATTAAAGGCAAAACAGACTGATTCAGTTTTAATTCCAACACGTGCACGTGCACTTCTACATCAAACGCTTTATAAATAAACAATATTACTTAAGAATTATTAATGAAGCACTTCCGAAATCATTACATTACATATACGGTATTTCTAGGTTGATTAAAAGTAAGGTCGTTGAATGTTATAACGATTGCTTTAACATACACCGAATCTACTTAAAGATATTTAAGTAATGTAGTTCAAATAATAATCGCGATAAGCAAATGCGCTCATGCAAATAAAGCGGAAACGAAAGTGTGTTTTTATGAATATCTGGAAGTTGTTTAAATGTACTTGGGTTTCTCGAGGTTACAGGTTCATCGTCCTGTTTGTGATGTTGTCCAAATCCTTCGGAAACTTGATATCCAACCCAATGCTGGGTAATATTTTTTATATATTTTCATGTTGCTTACTGTCCAAGTAAGCTACTGCCATAACATAAATCTTCGGAAATTGATTTCTGATAATGAATCGGTTTTCCGAACCATTAAAAGATTCAAGCTTACGGTTTTCTTTCATGTCTGCTACGACAAATTGCTATTAACCGTTATTCAATGCTATTAAGGTCTATTGATTTCATTATGGAAAGTAAAACAAAGAGGTTTAGAACATCTTGTTGATGTTGTGCGGCTTTGACTGGTAAACCGTTAGTGTCGCCGCACACGGGCCACACGCCACAGCCACAAACGCCGCCACGAGAAGCTAGAAGCGGCTACTAAAGTGGCTGAAGCGCACAAAGTTGTATACTTTTTTAATTTTTTTATCTGTGTTTCATAATTGGGTAACGTAGTCTGGCAATATTTGTCATCAGCAGCTAGCTGTCATCTGTGGCTCCGTTTTGTATCGGCGCATTAAGTGGCCGGTGCGGGCCACAAAAAGCGAGCAACGACGATTTGTAGCGTGTGTCGGCCACCGGCGTACCGTGTGTGGCGAGTCCATATAAAACGTATGAAAACTACAAGAAATATGCCGGTGGCGGCGTTTTTGTGGTTGTGGTCGGTGGCCCGTGTGCGGCGACACTTATTCCAATAACTTATTCCATTGTACGTACGCGTCGATAGATCGTAATATCGGTAATTTTAAAAGTAGTTCCGGATGAGCTATAACTTCTTGTTGAAGTAGTTTCTCGCAATGAATAATTTATGAGGTGTCTGTTGCTTTGACTTTACTCGAGTTTTCAAGATATTTATGCACGTGCATATTTGCTATGTTCGTGGTTGTTTATAATTAAATTAGATTTTTACTATTTTTGTGAAGTGAAACTTCTTTGCGCGCGATGAGGGTAACTTTTCAAGGCCGCGTCACGATTTGAGCGTCACATTTTAGTGCGATGATTTTAAATTTTAAATGACTGTCTTTTTTGTTTTTTTTTTTAAATTAGTTAATAATCTTTGTTTCTTAGGTTTTCACGCACATCACTCAATAAATAAAACTAGTTTTAACGGGAAAGAAGAAGCAGCACGAAGCTTTATTTATTTATTGACGTTTCGCAGCCTTTTCAGGTCTGCTTCGTCAGAATGATTTTTAATTAGTCTTAATATCATCATCATCAATAAAAAATCATTCTGACGAAGCAGATCTGAAAAGGCTGCGATACGTCAATAAATAAATAAAGTTTCGTGCATTAACCCGTTAAAACTAGTATTTATTTATGTAATAATGTTAATATTTTTTATAATTATTATTTTAAAAGTTTGCTTCACTTCTGACATGCGTACTCTGTACACACCCGGTTTTTTGTAATGAGAGCAAGGGTCTTGTACCTGGCCCGTGACAATGTGATGTGAATGTAATGAGTGCTATCTGGCTCGCAGGACCATGCCAAGGCTTGGCTTTAAAGATGGCGGCTGGAGAGAAGGTAACTGCAGTAACAGTATCTATCTGTGAACTCATTAACATGCGCCGCCCGCCGTCTCCGACGACCCTAGATATACTATGTGACAGGACGATACTATCGAATTGCACATTTCCGATGCCATGTCACCATTGCTGAGGAAATAGGCAGTACCTATTTTATACTTAAGCGGAATTGAAAAACTGCTCATACAATAGGAAGTTTTTTTACTTTTATAGTTTCAGGTTTCGGGTTAAATATTCACACGCAAATGTGTAATGTTCCGATTTTCATAGTATTAGTTGAAACAACTGAACTTCTATTTCGGTGATCTAGATATGACTAAGAGAAACTGGAATGTTATGGAAATATAATTTATGTGAATATTTTGCTTGCTATTTAAGAGAAATCGTGCGGGTGTCAAGGTTGCCAACCGTAGATTTTTTTTCCTCGTATACATGCAACTAAAAATCTCGTAATGTGGCTTTCGAACCTCGTACACGTTTTGCACCCCCCCCCCCCCTAGGATTGGTAAATCAAATTAAAAGCTAACAGGTCAACTAACCATATGTAATGACTGTAAACAAATGTTTTTCCAGTAAATTTTCGTTTAGATTCAAACATCTAGCAGTTAAATTCTTAAAATAATAATTATAACAAACAAGGACTGGTTTGGAGTTTGGTTACAAACAGTTTATGCTCCAACAAGTTGCCATGAATGCAAAAATCTTGTTAAAAATTTATCTGACAAAATCTCGTACATAGTTGTACGAGATGTGTAGTGTTCTCATACTTCGTACGGAAGACAGAAATCTCGTATTTGTACGAGAATTCTCGTACGGTTGGCAACCCTGGCGGGTGTAATGCTCCTCATTTATTACACGATATTATGATAAGACATGAAAAAATTTTTCCTGAAACGACTCTGTCTGATACCGACACTCAAATTTCAATGATTATCAGTAAATGGAATATAAATTTTGTTTATTATTAGCGTGTTGTTAATTAAGTGCAGAACACCAACGCGGCTGCGGCTGTCGGCGACCACTCCTAATTGCTTATTTTGTTAAATCGTGCTCACTTGTCTGTATAAAGGGTGTTAATTGGCAGTAATATGCCATCCGTGCGAAGT